GTATACGCCTGAACGTTTCGTCCACAGCATCAGCAATCAATGCCTTGCCAAACCCCTGAGCCATGCACTTGAACAGAGGCATGACGCCCTCGGGAAACCCGCCAAACACCATAAAGTCGGTGAATTTTCCATACGTGTCGGAGGAGATTTCCTGGGTCTGAATCATGCCAAAGCACACGGGAACACGGACGCCCTGGAGTGCCAGCAGACGGCCGTACATGTCGACTTCGCGGCGCAGGTGGCCGACCTTTGCAGGGATCACGCCCTTGAGCAAGAGCGTGTAGCCATGCGACGCGAGCCTCACCTTGAGCAGCACCGTATGCAGACCGCACCGGCGGAGAAACTGGTAGTTGGCGTGATTCCCGTTCGCCACGTCGTTGTCGAGCTGCGTCCGCAGGCCATCCAGCAGTTCCTGCAGCCGAAGGTGCCTGTCGCCGTGATACCGGAGGTTGGGACAGTTCTTGTCCAGGCCTCGGAAGCGCTCCAGTCCCCAGAGGCACTGCGGGGTGCAAAAGGGCCGCTGGTCGATGCGGACTCCGGCCGGGTTGATGCCATGGTTGGAGAGGAACGTGAAGAAGCCGAGATCATTGAAGACGGCCTCGTTGAAGCGAGGCTTGAAGCCCGGCCAGAGCATGCGAGGGAGGCGCTGCTGGATGGGCGACCACAGCGTAACGGGTCTCCAGTCCTCGGGCACATATGCGATATTGCGCTGCATCTTGCGTACCGGGGGAGGGATCTTGTTGAAGATGTCGTCGGGATTCACGTGCCACTTGCAGAGGTTTTGGCGTGTCTCGTGGTACCACGCCGGGGGCATGGGCCTGGTGTGACGGGCTTCAAGGGCTCGCAGCGTAAAGGCCAGCACCTGGGCAACCGCCGTGCGATGCAGCCCCGTCGCGGGATCGGATTCCACATCGCGACGGGGCACGCAGACGGAGTATTTCAGGAAGCGGGCATCGTCGCAGATCTCGACAAAGACGTAGGCCTCGCCGGTGGTGATGTAGCCAAAGCGCGTGCCGACGACGAGCATGTGGTCGAAGAGATGCGAGATGACGGCGGCGACGAGAACCCGGGACATGCCGTCGAACCATCCCTTGGTTGGAGACGCAATGACGTCGTCGAACACGTCAATGCCTCCTTGCAGCCCGCTGAGGATCTCGTTGAGGCTCAGCCTGTGCGGCGGTCGGTAGCAGGTCACGAGTATGGGTAGCGACTGGCGAATGATTACACGTCCCGATCTTCTTCCGTACGAGAAAGTGGTTGACAGGCCGCGGTGTATGGGTGAACGAGCCAGGGAGACAACACCTTGATTGCCAACTCTCCGAATAAACGCTGTCAAGAAGCCGTCGTTAGAAATGACACATACAAAGACATGGAAAGGACTTTAGGGGTTCTCATATAAGAATCAAAGCTCAACTCACGTCTGATCTGAAGACTCGCAATCAACTGATCCTCCTGGGCGATGCGGTTCATGATTGCCTCAACCGCCTCGTCCACGGCATGCCCGATGAATGTAGAGAGCGTGGATGGACAGCCGACAATATTGCCGTCCACTGTCGCTCGCACCCATTCGAGCTCAATGATGCTCGGGTAGCGGGCATCATCGCGCAGTACAGTGCTCTGGGACAACTTGCGCCAGATGGCCATCTGCTCTTCCGCAAAGTCCACGGCCGGCACAATCTGCTGGGGATACGCAATGCGCTCAATCACTTCATGCTGACGGACCTCGGACGTCGAAGGCAGGATGTCGCGCGCCGGCATCGCCAGATCGATTGAGTGGCAGGCCTCGAGATAATACTGCAGCCTGGGCCGTTGACGCGGGGACCGTCGCAGATTCGTGAGTAGTTGGTTTGCCTCTTGCAAGTCAACGTACAGAGCCCCCTGTTGTTGGCTGGCCGCCCCAAAGTCGAATGGAACGGACGGCAATAGCCCTTGTTGTTCGTTTTCCGTGGCAACAGCTATTTCCTCGTCCAGGTCCCGGATGAGACGCATGAGTCTCTGGATATTCCGTTCGGTCTCATTCTCCCGGGCAGCCCAGCCGTCAATGTCCCGGTAGACTCGTACCAGCTGGTTGTCCATGGCAGCCATTGATGACAAATTCCACAAAAAAGAGAATTTTTTTTTTTTTTTTTTTTTTTAAAAAAAAGTACAAAGGTCTTTCTCTCTGATTCGAGCTATGCAATCTCTCGAATGAGTTGGCAAGCGCTTCAACTCAGTATCACAATAGCGGCAACTAACAAAGAATCTACACGTTAGCAGTTGCTCCCGCATTTAGTGGAGTGGGCGTTCGTCGACCTACTGCTTTGAGAAAGACCCGACAGATCGGATGGCTTCCCGTTAGCGCTGCGGGATAGGCGGTCGATCCCCTAAAACGCGGGATCTAGTGTGGGGGGCGTTCGCTGTAACGTGGTTGGTCCCCTGTATTGCAGGTGACGTCGGTCTATCTTGCAGATGGACGGTATATCAGACCTGATGGGTAGCACACAGGATAATAACACAGAAGAAGAAGATTCTGCGCAAGCACAGGAACAAAGGTCTTGGTAAACTTGAATTACACAGAGTCGTATCACTACTTCTTGTTTAGGAACAGCTATTGACAGTACATGTACTTGGTAGCAGAGGTCCAGCAGTAGTAGAGGTAGCAACAGCGCAATGCGATGACACAAGACATTGATAGATAGAGAGGAAGAAAACTCAGGTCGAATAGGAGACCAAACCTCTTTTTTATATCTGCAAAAAAAGCCTCGAAGTCCACTTTGCATATGCCTATGCCTCGTTCCGGAAAAGCCATCTCGCAGTCCTTGACAGCAGAGACGACAGCACCGAAGCTGCCGTGACCCTCGCTTGCTCAACAATTTTTAACTTTGCTCCAGTTTTGCTCTATTTGAGGCGCCTTTAACTATTTTCAAGCCCAAAATCCACTTCGTCGGACAGACTATTCTACCCACATCACAGACTATATTCCGCCAAAGGTAGCAAGATGAGAATAGATCGTGAATGACCATGGAAAGTGGCAATCTGAAAGCATCAAGCCAAGCCATACTGGTTTATACAGAAAGTATGAGCGATTTGCCATCATTCAAGTATCATGATTTTCAGTCTAGTGCAAGAGAATGGGTGTGGAACTAGAGGCATGCATACGCGTACTTGTTATGGTCGAGGCTACAGGGAGAGTTCAGCACTCCAGTATTTTATTTTCAAGTCATGAAATTAAACTTTGCTACTTGATACCAAGTACAGTCACGATGTTTGACACACACCAGTCAAGAAGCGAAATTACTTACCCATCTGCCCTGGGCACACCTGGCTCATACGAGATGGGGAAGAGATGGAAAGACTTTCTTCGATATCAGATTCTGCTACATCTCAATAGTCCCACGCCCTGTGGCAATATCGTGTATGTAGTTTGCAATGTCAGTGCAGTCAAGCAGTCAATAGAGAGGCTGTCAAGCAGTCAATAGAGAGGCAAGACTGGAATAATGGTGGCACAAATGCCCCTAGCAGCCACGGTGAATGTTCTTAAAAAAATACTAGAAGTACCAAGGGAATTAGCCGTAGCCTAGTTTTATTTAGCACTTGTATTCTACCGCTAGGTAGTGAAGCGCCGCTCGTCAGCTAATTCGATGGCTCTCTCAGTTCCAGAGACCTCACCTCCGATGGGCGAGAGATACCCTAGTAGCCACATGCGAGAGCCGCAAACCTTCCAGTCGAGGGTGAAAGTACGCTGCATTGCGTGGAGATCTACTTCACATCAACCAGCTGCAAATACAGTATTCTTATTCACAGTCATTCACGACCCTTCGGGCACCAAGAACTTTTTTTGTGCCGTAGCCCCTACCAATCTTGCCAGTAGTCAAACACCAACATATCCATGCATAAGGCGGCAAAAGAGTACACTAGCTCGGCCATTTATATCCTAGAGAGCCAACATGTCGCGCACTTATGGTATGTACAAGGGCGTATTTAGAGCAACCGTGGCTGTAAATTGACTACTTATTCCTATTTACAGCGTTATGAGTCAAAACACCAAGCCATATTTAAGCGAAAAGTGTATTCGCCATTTCGTGGCTGCAAAGACTATACCAGTCTAGCCCCTTACAACCAAACGAGCCCTGCGTACCGCTCGCGATCTTTCTCTAAAAAATCCCCATACAATGTCAGAGCCTTCCCTCTCAGACTAGACCGAAAATATGCCATAGAACCATGTCGTGACGTTCCTAACTAACTCCTAGGATTGCTACACTCAACTGGCATATCTCAAGATAGGTCGCGCAGATGTCATCGTTCGGATAACTAGAAAACATCACGCTGCTCAAGGGCAAACCCTGATATATGGAACGCATATCGTTCCCTGCTGAAGAGATGCGATGCTGTTCGCGCTGATCTCTATGAATATGATCTCTTTGTGGAAGTGAGTGCGTTCGAGATATCTTGCCTGGGAAAACTGGCCTAAGCGAGATGGGGAAGAGATGGAGGAGGAACTTTCTTAGGTTCAATATGTACAAAGTGTAATTACCTAGAGCAGCCTTGCCTGTAAAGGGCCCATTTGCAGTCACGCACGAGTCAAGACGCCAAACCTGTTCACGCAAATAGTGTTCGCCATGATCGCAGCCGCAGAGAGAATAGTAGTCGTCCTTTCAAGCTATCACAGACTAAATATTCTGCATTTTGCTGCATTCAGTATGTAAAACGTGTATCCATGGCAGCCATGGTTGCAAAAGGAGCATATATACGCGCGTGCCATCATTCACGAGTCAAGACGCCAGAGCATGCCGCGCAATGCAAAAGTATATTCACCATGACCGTAGCCACCTGCAAAGGGGTATAACACCTTCTGATCCTCCACAAACGAAAAATCTAGAAGCCCAACAAAAACACAAGCCACGGCCTTTCCACATTGTCTTCACGCCTCCCCCCCTCCCCCCTTTTCGAACCAGGGCTTCAAACCAAGCCTTCAACGCAACATGAGCACAGCCTCGAGCTTGTCGGGCCCCCGTAAGCTTTCAGTGACCCATCCCGTCACGAATCTCCAAAAAGTTGAGATATCTCTGCTTCGTCCAGCGCCGCGCACGCTTGCCCCATACAATCATGGGCAGTGACAGCATCAAAATCACAAAACCCAAAACGCCCAGCTCGATAAAAGTATCCTGCACGCCCGTGTCTAGCCAGTAGCTCGCCACAAAGGTAAAAATCATGGCCAGCGTGTTGTTGATGACGGCCACGCCCACCATGCCCTCGAGGACCATATCCGGGTAGCAGTCGGCGAGATAGGTCAGGCTCAGGTCGCCGGCGCAGCCGTAGCCAAATCCAATAAAGCCAAGGCCAACGTACGGCACGGGCCAGTCCCAGCCCTTGGCCGATCCAATGCCGAAAAGCCACATGCCCGTAGGGAAGATGATTACGCAGAGGAACATGAGATAGAGGCGGAACTCGGCCTCCTGAATGCCGCGGTTGCGCCGGCTCGCCCAAAGCACGAAAATGTCGCTGAGGTAGCCACCGTAGAAACAGCCAATGACGCTACCAATGAGGCAGGGAATGTTCATGTTGCTCACAGCGACGTCGCTATAGTCATAGGGATCGTCAGTCCAGTAGTCCTCCTCGATGGTCAGGTAAAAGGACAAGGCAATATTCTGCATGCCCCATTGCAGGCCGGCGAACCAGACAGCTGGGAAGGTGAAGATGCGCAGCGTGTGCCACAGACGACCAACGTACTGCCTTGCGCCAATGCCACGCAGGTTAGGGGCGGGCGTAACGAGAGCAATGCGCTGCCAGTAGGATTTGGGGCGCGTAAAGTTGATGGAGAACTGGTCGGCATCCTGAGCCTGGGCGGCGGCCTCCTCGTCAGATGCGCCGGTGCTAACATCGGCCATGTTACCTGTCTTCTCGCTGCCAATCGCCGCGGGGGCCGTGGTGATGCGGTCATCTCGCTGGTAGCGCTCGCGGGGGAACGCAGTCTCTTCCAGGCCAAAGTAGAAGAGCACAAAGTTGAAGCCAGACATGATTGCGCCAAGGTATCCAATCCAGCGCCATCCGAGGTTGCTATCGGCAACGTAGCCGCCCACCAGCGGGCCGAGATAGGTTCCTACGGAGGTGGCCAAAGTATACAGGCCCATGGAGGTTCCGTTCTGGTGCTCAAACCAGATGTCCAGCAGAGACAGCTGCACCACGGCCTCGGCCACAGACTCGGAGGCGCCCACAAAGAGCTGCGTCCAGATGGCATCCGACGAGGTTTTGAGTCTCCCAAACCAAATGTTGCCAATCAGGCCCCAGGTGGCGCCAACGAGGTACAGAATCCGGCGGCCGTAGAGATGGACGGCGGGTGAGCTCAGCAGCGTCCAGTAGCCGATGGCGAGAAACAACACGCCAGCACCGGTGTTGAAGACGTCGTAGCTGATGCCGTACTCCTCATTGACGCCCGTACTTGCGGATCCAGCCACATTCGACGTGGCGGCGGTCAAAGCAACAGCAAAGCACACGAGGCCCGTATGCCACACCTTGCGCCACAGACCCCAGTTCAAGGGATCGTTGGGCGACGCGGTGGGCTGCGGCACCAGCACGATGCCGTCGTGCTTCTGCAGCAGGCCATTGGCCGAGGTGCTACTGGCGGATTCATCGATGAAGACGCATCGCGTGCCCGGAAGCACTTCGTCGATGTCGATGGGTGGAGAAGACTGAACGGCCATCCGCAGAAACGAAGCCTCGCCGGCGATTTGCTGGAGATGAAGAAGAGCTGCTTGACTGGGGAGCTAAGGGCTGGCTGGTTCGGTTCGCGCGAGAGGAGCGAGAGGGGGATCGAATTGGCTCACGGGAGCCTCATGCGGTTGCGCCGAAGATGTGGGATGCAAAGGAGAAGAAAAAGAGAAGGAGAGGTGGTGACCAAAAAGCAGAGGTAGAGGCAACACAGCCAAAAGCTTAGGCACTTTTTTGTGCGCGCATCCGCTAATCGGGCTTATCGCAGCACCCAATGGAGCGCTAAATTTTTTCATCGCTTGGCCCAGTTAGGCAGTCGGAGCGGGTACCTGCTGGAGGGCTGCAGCGCTCGCAAGTACCGCCTACTTGGCTACGGCTGCCAAGATTGCTGGGCGCGCCAAGTCTCTCGGTACTTGTTCCCCCAGCATGGGCCTGACGCCATATCGCAGCAAGCGGCGGATAAATTCTGGGGCGCGCGGAGGGCTTGGCCTGAAGTAGGCAAAGGCTGGCAGAGATGGAGCGGCGATTGGCCAATCTGGGGGAGGCTTTTGCGATTTTGCATTCCTCGAGTCGTGATTTCGGGCGCTGATGAGGGAGGCGATGGAGCTGGCAGGGATTGTTTGACGCAGGACCGCGCCAATCAGGCTGCAAGTCTTTTCTTTTCCTTGTTTCTCGCGATAAGAGGAATAGTAATCAGGCGAGAGCGAGTCAAATTGTTATTAAGAACGAGTCAATTGGGCGTAAAAGAGGGTGAATAAAGATGCATTCTCGGTGTAACATGATCCAAGGTGCGAACTCGATCTGATATCGATAAGAGCTACAGAGGCACGTACTGCTGGAGCGAGAGCCGAAATTCCAGTGACACTCCAGTGTAAGCCAAAGCACTAGACAAGTTAATGACCTTTCATCAGGATGCATTTACTCAGATCCCAGTGATTTATCAGTCCTACCGTCGATAATTACACACATGAAGACAGTGACTAAGCACATGGATAAAATAAACAAAAATAAGAACAACTTGATAGGATAAAATAAATAATATCTAGCTGAAAAGGAAATCGTTTAGCTTACCACCAGCCAACGGCTACGCCCTCACAATCGCAACATCAGTCTCATATCCCGCAACCTCCAACTCCACCGCAACATCCTCCCCAAATGCCCCGACGACAACCTCCTTGCTAAGACTGCCATTCACATAAACCCCATACCGTCCCACCGGCAGCTGCTTAAACACTGGCTCAACACCAACACTCTTCCCATGCCACGTCCGAAACGACGCAAACATGGCGCCCTTGTCCTCGTCCCAGCTGCCCGCCAGCGTATCAACGCCGCTATCCAGACTCACGCCGTCAATCCACGGCATCGTCCGCACGTGCTCCTTTGTCCACGGCTTGTTCCACATCGTCGCCTGGCCGCGCTTCACCGTCAGTCGGGCGTATGCGATGCCCGCGTTGCCCGTGAACGGCTCGACGTAGACGTGGTTGTCGTTGGAGTCGTACTGGGTGTCGTTGCGGGGATAGAAGAGGCCGCCGTTATCCCACTGAGGGCGGAGGAACTGGTCTGCGTGCTTGAGGAGGCCGTTGAGATCCTCGGCTGGGCCAATTTCGGCGGCCCATTCAATGACCCAGCCGTAGACGGGGTGCATGAATTCGGGATACCGGGGAGAGGCTTTGGCAGTCAGCTCGCGAGCTTTGGCGTGGATCTCATCGGCATCCGCGTGGGGGTTTTCCGCCGTCAGTTTGCGAATCGCTCTCGCCACCGGATCCGGGTTGATGTTGACGCGGTCTCCAATCTTGGTCAGATATCCATGCGCCATCTTTGGGTACAGATCCTCCATCTGCTCGACATTCCAGGCCATGTGAGCTGAGGCCCAAGCAGGGAAGCCGATATCAAAAGCATCGACGGGGGAGTCTTGCTTGACCCGGTAGGCATCTCTCAGTAGGCCATCTTTGCCCATCATTCCCTTCTTCTGCCACGCAGCTTTGTACTTGGCCAGCACTTCGTCTGCAACATTTCCGCCGTTTCGGACGTCGTTGATTCGCATGGCAGTGCTGATTCATTAGCTTCTATTATTCACTTTGATCCATAAAAGTGCGGGGACTCACAGAGGAAACTGGTTGCATGCAAGAAACACCATGTTTGGCTCGCAGCAGACGCCAATCCATCCGTTGGCCTCCATCTCCTTGATAATTGCTTCCTGGAGAGTCGCACGGTTGTAACTGTATCTCTCAGGGCCGAATCCCCAGTACACAGGATTCCAGTTGAAGACCAAGCTGTCATCCTGTTCATACTTGTCGTCGTCAAACAGCATGGCATACAGCGCCGTCATGAGAAGCAGGTGTCCGGAATACTACAAAGAATTAGCCTCACATATCCAAATACATCTATAGCACTGCTACTCACCATGATGTTTTCTCTGCAGATGGGGTCTGCCCACGGCTTTCGCAGCTCCTTCAGGTCGGGATCGACAAAGCTTCCACTGTGCGAAGTCAAGAACCAGTACCCCCACACCTCTCTCCTCAGCATCTTGTGAATGATCCGTCCCATCAATGGTTTCAAGGCGGATCGAGCAGCCGGCATGCGGTGATACTGCGCCGCCGCAACGGCATAGGCCATGGTGGCAAGCTGGTATCGGTAGCCGTCCAGCCACTCCTGGCCCGGCTCCTGCGTGCCCATAAATCTCCATTCTCCGTCTACTTGAGAGACAATATTGTGGATGTGGCGGATGTGTCCGGCCTGTTCACGCGTCAACTTGGCTGGGTGGACGTATCCGGGTGGGAGTCGTGGTGGGAAAGCCGTGTTGTTGGACTGATTGAGCAGTATCCGGGCTTCAGACACGGATTGAGTTTGTGTTTGAGACATTGTCTGTTGCTAGATGAGTTGTCGATGATGTTGTTTGGTGACTTGGATGACGAAGATGTGTCGAGACGTTGATTGAGTGAAGAAGTGTGTTGAGATGTTGATTGTGTGAAGAAGCGTGTTGATATGCTTGATTGTCGAGTTTGTTGATCTATAACAAGCTTTTTCGATAATTACAAGCTTGGATATATATACACGTTCCTAGGCATGACGTCTTGTTATAGTTGTCGTACATCCCCCACACGAAGCGAGCTTCTACGGAACAAACGGACTAACGCACGGCAGTCTGTAGATCAAACCAAATAACACGCCATTTTACGTCAGCCTGGGCAGCGGGATGTTCCTGATTCTTCATAAAATGACCCAAAATAGCAAGTGTGGCGTACTTGAATTGCACAAAGCTCTGTTTTGCTTTTTGCCCAGATACTATACAGTGGTTATGCTAGTGTTGACAGGTCAGTTCGAGATATCTGTCGCTGGTTCTATTGCTCTGAGACTGGGAGCAACGCTATCAATTTCCAGCAAACAGTAAATACAATGTACTCAAATGTAAAGCGTCTCTAATGCTGGAGGAATGTACGGCCACGTTCCTCCTAGATCTTCACACTCCCCATAATCCATCGCCAGTTTCATCACTGGTAGCAATGCATACCTACTACAGGACGTGTCAATTCTTTCAACAGAAAACCTCTCTCTTGAACCGTCAAAGTACAACAGCCGGAAAAGTCAACCGCTTTATTACTACTAGCTACCAGTAGCGCCACTCATCCAGCATCTCTTTTACTAAGAACCTGTCGGTACCTGCCGGCCGGTAGTCCTCCCGCTAGCCACACTACTGGCAGACGCTGATTGATAAGTGGGGACGCCGTTAGACGTTTTGAAGTTTGGTGCGAATGGAAGAAGCAATTCGATTCCTAATCGTAGCCGCCGGTCTTCACAGACCACGAAGACGCAAATATTCTCGAAATTAGCCTTTCGAATTAAAGCCTAATTCTGAGCCTTTCCCGTCTTTTTAATTCTCTTTCGGAAGTTCCCATCAAGCTCCGGAGAATATTGAAACTACCTATAGGTAAAAACGGCAGTCTATTCTACGAAAAGCTTTGTACTGTAGGTTGAGAGTAGTCTGACAAGGCTTCATTGAAACGTAATATACCCTGTAATGCGTCAAGAAGCACTGCAAATAACTCCATTACGTTCAATTGGATATCAATATCTAATACTCAGTGCATTCTTTTACACACTTTTTCTCAATCTTTACCCGCTATAATACAATGCTAGTCGAAATTGGCCAGCTCCCATGCCGGTCATCGCTTCCCATGTACTCCCATCTCCGAATCCCAGATTACCTCATCCCAACGCCCTGTACCAGTCCAGACCAGCTACTTGACTTTCAGACAAATTCCCATTCTATGTACAAACAAATTCAATAGATGCAAAGAAAAGAAATAGTCTCTCATCAGCAATTACTCACAGAGTCATCCCCAACCTCACTCTCTAATTCCGAAAACCGCCTTTCGTGCCTCGGCCCCTCCGACCTCAGAACCGTTTGAACGGCATCCACAACATCCTTTTCAAAAACCAGCATCGCAGAGTCCGGCCGCGCACCCCTCTTCCTCTTCTTCGGCATCGAATAGCTTGCTCTGCCCCTCTTCGAATACTCGGCGTGCCGTGGCGTCGACGACTCTCCAAAGTTGACAATCATCACCTCGTTGCGCGACGCGTCGTACAAAAAGTTGCCCGGCTCAAGACTGCCATTGTAGATAACGCCTTGCTCATGCAGCGCTCGCAGAATATTTTCCACTTTATTCGCGACTTGGTCTCTGCTGATTTGCTTCAGGCAGCTTTGAAACGGCCGCCCAGCCCAGCTCAGAAGCAGCAGTTCCTCAAATTGCCGCCTATACCCCTGCCGTGGCTTATCCAGCTCCAAGAGGCCAAGGCATAAAGGCACATAATGGCCCTGATACTTTTCCATCTCGTCATATACAAGTTTCTCGCTCCATAAATGAGCAAGCCCTTTCCCTTCCTTTGCCACAAAAGTGTAGCCGTGAGCCGCCTGTCGCAGCTTGAAGAGAGACTTGTGCGGGCTCGAGGTCCCTAGAGGGATAAAGTTGGCGTCGCTGCTTGCCTCCTTAGCCAGCTGCTTGCCGAGGTCGCTCAGGAACTCGTCGAAATCAACATGTCCAAAGCCGTGATAATCGTAGTTGGGGCAGCTCTCGTCCATCTGCGTTCCATGCATCAAGCCAAAGAGGCATTTGTGCGAGCAGAATGGCTGATCTTGTATATTGGGCTTTTTAGTACTATTCTCGTTGAAATCCCCATCGGCTACATCCTGGCCAGAGACATTGTCCAGCCAGTGCCGTATTTCTTCGCCTCTCTTGCGATCGCTGCGGCCACGCATATGCTCCGCCAGTAATGGGGACCGATCAAAACCCCGCCAGCGATGCTCCTGTGCAGACGATGGTCGGGATTTTGGGGCACCCATCTTGCGTACTTTATCCAAAAGATCGTCGTATCCCATAGTCCAGGCGTCCAGATTCTTGACCGAGTCGTACCACGATTCGGGAAGTGGTTTCTCGCGGAGAGCATGTACCACAAGGGCAAAAACCGATGCTGCAGCCGTCCGATGGAGTCTTAGAGGATCATCCCTTTGCACATCACGCTCTGGCACGCATGCTGTGCAGTATATGTTGGAGGGGTCGTTTCTCGAGATGCAGCAAAAGATGAAGGCTTCTCCAGTCGAAACACATCCGTATCGAATATCCTTACTGACCATGTAAGAATAGAGCTGAGTAATGGTGGCGGCCACGAGCGTCTTCGAGGCGAATTTGTAATCCCTGCCCTCTTTATCAATCACGTCCTGTACAAGCTCAATCTCGGATGCCAAGCCGCAGTCGATTTCGTCCAGCTGAAGCCTGTGTGGCAACTGATGCATGAGAGCAAAGACGGGCGTGTTTTCGCCGTCGAGCTGTCGGTATATGCACGACCGATTGGCCCAGATGCCCTGCCTCTTCGCCCTGCGATGTGAGTTACGCATATATAGCTTCAACTCGCCTGCGCCTTTGTGCCATGAAGATTGGAGCATGGGCTCGTACACCTGACCAAGATCCTTATCGGCCTCCATCGTCACCCGCACATCATCGCTAAGCCCGAGGCCGTTCCAGAGCACATCGTCTTCGGCCAGTCTGTCCAGCATCTCCATAATCGTGCTCTCAATGGTGTATCGCCCAAAGTGTTGCAGCGAGGCCTCGCTGTTCACGGGAGACAAGGTCCGTCTTACATTCTCCAGCCGCTGGGGAGATGAAAACATGCGCTGCTCGGTAAAGTAGCAGTCTGGTAGGAGACGATGCCATACGCTCTGTTGCAACGACTGGAAGCTGAGATCCCATGGAATGATTCGCCGCGGAAACGTCCAGCTGAGAGCCTCTTTCTGCGTGATCAAGGACCGACAGGCGCCCTTTTTGAACTGGAGGTGCAGTCTATGACAGGCTGTGAGATAATTGGTGAGACTCAGCGGGAGTTCGTCTTCGGATAATGATGATAATTGCTGCTTTCGTTGCTCGATCTGGCGCTGCTCGATCTGGCGCTGCTCGATCTGTCGCTGTTCGACCTGACGCTGAATCTTCTGATGTTCGCGGTCGAACAGCTCTTCAAACTCGTCGTCCAGCTTCTGGCACTGGCGCTCGAATAGCCCGTCACGCTCGCGCTTCAACTTCTGGAACAGCCGCTCGTACAGCTCGTCGCATTTACGGCCGATCTCCCTCCGTTCCTCGCTCCTCCTGTCGCACTCGCTGCGCACAAAGTCCTGATATCGGCGCTCGTCGTCTTCGCGGTCGAATCTCTTGCGGTGGCGTGGAAAAGCATCGCGATGGCGGATTCCCTGCAGCAGATCCAGACCCAGATCCTCCACTTCCATCTTGACTTCCACAAAGGGATCCGTCATCTTTGTAGGGGTGTTGGCATTATTGTAAAAATTGAAGCAAGGAGAGAAGAGCAAGAGGAAGATGCTTCACGGACGGAGCAGGGGAAATTCAGCAGTATCTCGTATTATATCATCTGGCTATAAGACCTCGATATTACGGCAGGCCTCGAATTGGCTGTGGGGCCTGGAGCGGTGGCGGAGACGGTGACAGCTTCCGCAAAATTATTGACGCTAGGCGGGCAGGGGGGAAACAATGAGCACATGCACACATTTCTTGACTTTATACACCATAATAACACAGATCTACTTCTACTTCTGCTACTGCTGCTACTGCTGCTATTACTGGTACTGCTGTTACTGTTGTTACTACTGCTGCTACTGCTATTGCTGCTATTATTACGACTTTCATGATGGAAGCTACATTATGTCTAGGATTTAAAATCAACTAATAAACTAGAGTGCTAGACGACTTTCCTTTAATAAACAAGTGCTTTATCCTAAACCTGTGTGTGTATTTTCATTGTGCCGTCCCTATTCTTCTTCCCACCCCTTGGCGGGCTAATTTGACAGCCGCCACGATCCCTGCCCGTGCTTGTCGTCTTCATTGGCTGTTGGCGTTGCTCGTGCTGAGCCGGGCGTGCGGTTGGCCGGTTGCTTTTATTGGTGGCTTGCTTAAATTATGGGCTATCGTCTGTCTGTCACATTTTTACTGCCACTTCGTAAGGCTATTGCGACAAACAATTGGGCCTGTCTAATTATAGGAAGAGGCGAAAAAGGAGGAAATTGGTGGCGACGGCTTACACGGTAAAGTCGAAAACATTGTTTAGAAACCGACTAATATGTGCTGCATTCGTGCTGCTCAGCCCTGAAAAGTTCATAACGAGATTGGTAGTAGTAGACAAAGTCGTTGACCTATCAGACGCTACTTCAAGCGACCACGGTCTCAACCAACCACCTAACCAATCTCACATGTTTCTTTCTAGCGCCGACTGGATTCTCTCGGCTCGCATCACTTCTGTTCCCGTGTACGGCCAAACCGCCAATCTCATATTTCTCTTCCTTCGATGATATGTTGTGCATCATCCTTTTCGACTCATATTGGCATGTCACAACGCCCTCCCTCTAAAAGCCGGTTGCGTCAGCCGCAATCTCTGCTGGCCCCCCCAGCAATGCCGTTCCTCTGTCCTTCTGTGCCATGATATCTTCTAAACGACCGCTGATCTCGGTATAAAATGGCGGGCGAAAACTGTGCTTCATCCGGCTGGACTTTGCTCCACGGCTGCGCTCCCTTGTTCAATATTATCTTGACGTGATCGTCTGCCGTTTGCGGCAACTTCACGTCGACAGCTGCATGCTCAAAACCGTGCATCGCGGGTAGTCTCGTAAGAAGCAGTTGGTCTTGCTGGCTTGGTAAATCTGCAGACTTTAATCTACCTGCGCTTGGCAGCCTCAACTCAATGTTTTCGTTATCGAGAGTAACACGTGCGCTGACGCGTAGAGCGTTTACGTCCAGGGCGAGTGATCCCGTGCTAAGCATTTGGTGTCTCGAAGAGAGAGATACGAGTGGAAACTGGTTAGAACGGAGGTCGAGAGTCTCGTGCTTCTCGCTTCGCCTGTCAACGGCCCGTGGCGATGAGGCGGGCTGGAGACCAGCATTTTGAGGCCTTGTTTGGATATTCTGCATATTCTTGGGAATGTGTTTTCTCTTATCGAAAAACATTGTGGAAAATCGCTTATTTGGTCTTTCCGGTATCGGAATTACGGCCAAGCCATCCTTGTCCATCTCGCAGATTGCGTATTTTCCATTGTCGGAGAACCGAATCTTCTTGATCGGGTAGTGTGGTCTGACGTGTTGATGGCTCATGGTATTTCCTTAGCAACGAGAGGTTAGTGTTGATCCCAACATTGAAAGAATGAGGCTGCAAGGTAATTTCTTAGGGCACAGTACTTTCGATATCCCATATACAAATCTTATTGTATAGGTTGACAACAACACCACCACCATGGCCCGTGCCGTCATAAAAGCCAATAACAAGATCGGCCTGGTACGGGTGAAAAGCCATGGCAAAGGCTTTCCGATCGTCCCACAGTGCGCGCGTGCAGGTCGTGTCATTTGGGTCCGGCACCCGTAGCCACATCTTTCGTATTGCTACAGGCGAGGCCTCAAGTCGACAATCTCGGTCATTGGTGGCCATTGCAATAGAAATGATGGCAACGGTGTTGGGTTGCCCACATTCTTGATCCACAAAACAAATGTACCGGTTATCAGGGCTCAGACACGTCCAGTACGTATATATGTTGTGACAAGACGTTCTATGTCGTCTTGTTGTCATTAGAGATCCATCTCCGAATCCGCCTCTTTTAGATTGCTCGTATATACTTTTCGAAAAAACCCATTGTTCAAAGCCGTCTAGCGGAATCGTGACCGACATGACTTGGGGCTTTGCATCCTCGCCCTCGATCGATACATTGTACACGGTTCGTAATACGCTAAAGGCATATCCGTCCTGGCTGATGGAAATCGGAAACTGTATCACTAGCTTTCTACATTGTAGCCACAGTGATTGCTCTAGTTGATAAAAGACTTCATCTGCCGGAAGCATTTCGCGAATTGTGAGTTTGTGGCTGCCGTCGTCAACTTGGTAGACTTCGTACGTGGCAGTCCATCCATCGCATTCGGCGCAGAGTCTCGTCACAATATCCGCTATTCGATCATTCTGAATAAACACAGCGTTGTAAACACTCTCAAATGCCCTACATACAAAATTAGAAACAAACAAAAAGGGGATGCAAGTAGAGCACAGCAACATGACCTACGCAGACGGCCAAATACTAAGTTTGCCCACAAAATTCCGTCCTGTGTTGTTTGAGATATCTCCCTCAATGGGTGTTTACTCATTTTGCTGCTGTTTGTCTGCCCTTCTGACCGCAGCTCTTTGTAGACCATGGCGGATGTAGTCTGTAGAAATCGACTTGGATTGAATGCTGTAACCTCTTCCCAGACGCATCCAGGATTCTGTAGCAGCTTTGACCCCCAGCACCAACGGAGGTTGTCAAGGTCACTGCAAAACTCCTCAATATCGCTGCTCAATGCCTGCACATCCACCGGAGCGCCTCTGAAGACTGTCTTGTTCAGGCGCAAATACATTGTCCAGGTTCGTAGCAGCGTTACCAAAGGGGGCATTTGGTGGGTGTAGCACGCTTCTATCCAGGTCATCAGGACTAGCTTCTGGGCTATGAAAGATGAGATTACGACAAATAAGGCGTTGTATGCTGGAGAGATGGAGTCCGTGTTCTGCTGAGAGTGGTTATCTGCGTGTATGTTGTAGACGTGTGTAATCCAAAAGACCGATGCGTATGCACAAAAGGGAAAAGTACGTTGGATGTCAACGATACTCGCGTCTCTTGTAACCTTTCCGGACAGAGGCTGGGCCGGTAAATGGTAAGTCAAATATTGTATACATGCAAGTGCTAATTCCATGTGTGCCTCTGATGGAGATGGTATGAAACGCAGCCCTTTAGTTTGGACCACAAAGGCCTGATCAGCAGCTTTTTGTCCCATGAAGTATTCTCGAAGCGACAGGTGAATTAGGCGTGGATAGCCGTATTCAAAGTCAACCAGTCCCGCGCACGATAAGACTAATGTGTCCTCAAAATTTTGATACCGATTGTACGTGTCTCGCTTTCGGCTAGTTCCTGCAACGAGAGCTTCGTGCAGTTCTTCCGAGTTTAGTGGTTGAAAGCCGTAAAGGATCCAAGTGATGACCCGCCGAGCAAGCATCCTTGATGACTGAGTGCTTTTGTTGACGAGTCCAAGAATCTGCTCGTACATTTCATCCAATCCTTCTGGTAAGTTGGTATCTTCACATGCTTCTAGTCTCTCGTTGATGGTGAGAGCAGGACTTGACAGGTATGAAATCATGAGCTTTGCCCACAAAAACATTCCCGCGGCTCTTTGAAGAAGCTTCTCGGAGAGATCACTGAGATCCGTGGTATCGGGCAGTAGACCGTCGTCGAGAAGCTCGGAGAGTCTGTTTGACAAATATATACGGATGTCATCCATTGTCATTCCTTTGACTGATATTCTGCGCCCGGTGGGAACAAGTCGGAGCAGAGATGGCACGTTTGGTCTGCTGAAAAAGGCCAGGCGCACCGATGGAATGGCCGATAACTTTAGCATTGCAGAGATGACAGCGCCATGATCGACGCACTCATCAAGTCCGTCCAGTATGATGAAGACACGCTTGAGCGATCTGCAGCAGAAGTTTAGGAGGTCTAAGAGCTCCTCTTCCGTCGCTGTCCGCTGCCCGCGTGAAGCGCAGTCTTTTAGATATGAATATTTGTCCAAAATCGAATCACTCTGCTTATGCTGCTGGAGGATCTGGGCCAGTAGCGCCCTGTAAGCTTGCAAAGATGTATTCATGTCTGTCTTTGCCGATTCGAAGAAGAAATAGCACATAGTCTGGTCTTTCGTAGAGGCGTCACGTGTGGAAGACGAAATATTGCTGACAACTGAACCGGCGAGTACTGTCTTTCCATGGCCGGGATTGCCTATTCATTACAGCCAAAATCAGTGCTGTCCATTTGAGCACAACATGCAATCAAACTTTGTGTGTCTAGCATACGCACCATGCAACCAAAATGTATTTTCACTGAAGAAACTTTGAGCCGAAACAACTTGCTGCATGACATCTTCACAAGGAGTCTTCCACTGCTCAAAGATGGCGTTGCCCAGGAGCCAAGCAGTTGTGCCATCCTCTTGTAGATTTCGAGCTCGAATCAGAGCCGTGTCAAAGTCAGGAGGATTCACCCACGCGCGTATTTGGTCGATAGCGTAGTCTATCATGGGAATAAAATAGTTAGCAAGCTTCAAAAATGGGAAAGAAAAACAAAAGATGCCAGAGGAAGAACGGTGATTCCAGAGTTCAAACATTATACCTCTATTGCTGCCATGGCCAGCAAAGGCGTCCTTTCCCCTGCTTCTCTCATTGTAGAGACTAGTAGATTTCTCGACTGCTCGACCCTCTATCTCAATATCAAGTTTATAAAGTCGTTTTTGTATATCGTCTAGCATTTCGAAATCTGCCAATCGGATCGCATGGCCTAGAATCAGGTGGTGGTGCTGCATTTTGGAAAGCGTATCAGCAAAGATTGATTCGAATGGTGTCCAAAATATTTTGGCGAAAAGCGCCGGCTTGGCTTTTGGTCCTTTGGCAAAGCAACGTCAGTCAGTATATTAGAATGATTGCAAGAATATCCTCTTTGACATACGGCCATCGTCTTTGAAGAATATGCGGATGACGACAAACAAGAATTCCAGCAAGTCCACGTAGAGGTTTACGAGTGAGTCTTTTAGCTGCTCTCTTCCGACGGTGCTAGAACGTTGGATCAACTCGGAGAATCGATCAAATATGGGAAATTCGGCTGATATGGTGTAGAGCGATGAGATGAACCTGTCGGTAAAAGTTGTGTAGTTGGCGACGAGCTGTTAATCAAGGCCATTCCTTAGTCATCTTATATGAGTTATTGTACAACGTTTGCAAGTATCTTACTTGAAAAGCCAGATCAATGCCTCCCCAAACTGTGGAGCTGTGCAGTTTATCTACCCGTACAACTGCATCAATGGCTTTAAAGTAGGACTGCAGCCGCTTGACGGTACGAGTAGATGCGCTGACGCCCTTTAGCCTGTTCTTGAGCTGCGGCAAGGCCTGAATGCGCTGCAGCAGCTCATCCCCAGAGCCACAGGTCTCGAAGTGGGCATTGTACAGGGATGGAATCGACGATAAGGACGCTAGGAACTGGTCTTTTGCCTGGTCAAAGAGTTGCTGGGCCATGGCAGCGAAGGAATAGTTGGAGCATCCCGCCTGGCATCAACTCAGGGCTGGATACAATCTGATGAAAGTACGGTGGAAGTACTCAAAGATGAGAGAAACGAAGAGATGGTTACCTGATGTGTTTACTGCTGCTAGTATGTCTGGACTATGGATAAGGTAGTCAGCATCTAGAACTGGACATTTGCAAAACAGGTTCATTCAGTTGGTGGCTATGCAACCCCCCTCTTGTTGCCTGCCTGCTTAGCATTTCAAGAGCCTGAAACGGCAGATCGAATCAAATCGTAGGATGGGCTCTCAGCCGCTGCGGCTGCCGCTTGTGGCGCAGCAAGGCGTATTGCTGGAAGAAACAAACAAATGATACAGATTGACGTGTGTGTCTAAAGAAGGAAAAGAAGAAGAAGAAAAGAAAAGAAAAACAAAAAGAAGATTTCAATTTTTTCAGCGAATGCTGCGCTGAAAAAGCAGCACACTAGCAGCTGTAGGTCATTCGTGCCTATATTTCTCAGGCGTTTTCTCAGGCGTCCACTGTCTTGGCTGCTGTGCCTCTAAATTCTCTGTCACGCTCGCTCTCCAGGGCTGATGTTTGCATCAGTGCGCAGAGTATAATTTAATGGGCTCCTGTAGTTGACCTTGGCATTTGAATCAACTTTACAGACAACCAAAGGTTTCATGGCATTACCTATGAGCTCGGACTCTTTTTCTCGTGCTTCTTCTGAAAATGGCTCGGCTTCACTTGTGAAATGGACCCAGCGATGTTTGATCCATGAGCCAATCGCCAGCTGTAGAATGATTTATCGTCTTTGAGCCAAACGTTTGTACCTGCATTTACTTGAATCATGGTTTCAAGCCTTGGCACCCCAACTAATGATTGCCTCGCCTTAGATTGCCCTTCTGGGGAAATGGCCGCCTATCTAGCGCGTCTTGGTCCTGTTTAGGGCGCAGGCTGGCACATCTGGAATTTGGCTGGGCATTTACGTCAACGAACTTGAACCTTGCAAACCAAGTCTATGTCTGGGGAATATTTTGCTCTACTTTTGTAGGCAAATCGTATCCATTGCCCCATTGCAATGTTCACTGGCTATAGGGCTGTTGCGGACAGTTTTCGTCCAAGGTCTTATCAGCCAGTCACTTGATTGGCGACTTATCGGTCAACCTTGTCTTTTGTCTAGTAGGTGGCGAGATTCTTGATCCAAAACACCACATCATCTCTGCAGCCATGGTCATTTGCCGACAACAGGAGATGATACCACGGCATGAATTTCCACCAAGTCTTCCACAAGGCTTCTCCGCAGAGAGGCGTATCCAGAGGCCCTCTATTGGTGGCTTTCTCCATCAGCCGCTACATTCCGAATAACGGCGCCGTTTTCCATCTCCACGCGGGTCAGATTTCCTCTTCAGGCATCGCTGGCGTCACCGCGTTCGGCAAACGACTCCAAGAAACTCCACGATCGGCCACGCCATGATGACAAGCTATAAAGATGGGCGGCCCTGGCAAATGTGTAGATAAGCAGGTGGCTCCTCGCCTTATTGTTGTGCATGTTTACCCGTGAATTCTTGACGCAGCAGACTGGAATTCGTCTTCAAAAGAGCTGACGCAAAGAGCTGACGCAGACATCGACCATGGCTTCTATGGACTCCATCTTCGCAGCTTACAGCGAGCGGCGAGCTGCTCTCGAAGCAAGCAACAATCCTTATGCCGACGGTATCGTCTGGATTGCAGGGGAGCTCTCACCGCTGGCTGAGGCACGCATTCCGATTATCGACCAAGGCTTCCTTCATGGCGACATGTGCTACGACGTTCCCTCTGTGTGGGACGGCAAATTCTTCCGCCTAGACGAACACATCAACCGCTTCGACGAGAGCTGCAAGAAGATCCGCTTAAAAATCCCGCTGCCAAAGGAAGAACTGAAGAGCATCTTGTTCGACATGGTTGCAAAGAGCGGTATGCGCGATGCCTATGTCGAGTTAATTGTCACGCGCGGATTCAAGGGCGTTCGGGGATCTAAGCCAGAAGAAATCGTCAACAACTTATACATCATAATCCTGCCATATGTTTGGATCATGAGCCCGGAAATGCAGTACAGCGGAGGCAGCGCAATTGTTGCCCGCACAGTTCGACGAACGCCTCCAGGCGCCATGGATCCCACAATCAAGAACTTGCAATGGGGAGACATGGTGCGCGGAATGTATGAGGCGAATGATCGAGGAGCCGACTATCCATTTCTTACAGATGGCGATTCCAACTTGACTGAAGGATCCGGGTACAACATTGTCTTTGTCAAAACCGGCGCCCTTTACACGCCTGATCGAGGAGTCTTGCATGGCATCACTCGCAAGACGGTAATAGAAGTTGCGCGAGCCAAGGGAATCGACGTTCATGTTGAGGTGGTGCCTGTTGAGATGGCATATACGTGCGATGAGATCTTCATGTGCACAACGGCCGGCGGTGTCTTGCCAATTACTGTTCTCGATGGCCAGCCAGTCAAGGATGGAAAGGTTGGGCCGATAACGAAGACTATTTGGGATGCTTATTGGGCGATTCATTCTGATCCTTCATATATCACTGAGATTAATTATTCGACAAGCTGAACAAACAAAGGGCCAAGTTTGCAGTAGTTTTATTATTTCACCACCATCATTAGATCTTTTTGCCTACCTATATCTAAGGACCCATGCCCATCTACGATAAGACTATTGACTGTTTTCATCACATAGTGTTGACATCAGCGGCCACACCCACTAGTGTTAAGTTGGCGTAATGCTTCAATTCGATTCAATCTATTTCGCATCATCTCACATTCTGTCACTGTATGACTCTGCATCCGATTTCTAAGCCAAGATGCCCACACACAAATGGGAATCCCGATGGCGTAGATCCACTCGTTTCCGCACTCTGTCAGCCACGAAGCCGGCCTTGTCTCCACAGATCTCCGCAACCCCAACACCTATAGGAAGCGACTATGGTGTACACGGTATAGGTTGTTTCCCCTGCAATGTTTGTATATAAACAAGAAGCAATTGTCTAATATTGTTAGCCCAGGAAAGGAAGTGACCAACTATGTTCAATATCCTTCGTACAACTTCCTACAAGAGGAGCAATCACTTTTTTAACAGCCGCTTCAGCAGAGTACACTCGGCCTTTTCCACGTCAGCAAAGATGCCCATCACCGAACTCGTCTTCATTCGCCCCAAGCCAGACGCTCAGTTGCGAAAGGAGCTTGACGCCAAGCTGCCTGGTGTACTGAGTAGTGTCTTCTCCAAGATCCCAAAACTTGATGTTTTGTATATTGGATCCAAGCTTGATGGTACATGCGAGGATACACATCAACAGGACGAAATGTGCCTCTTTCTGCGTGAGTCTACTCAGCCCATTGTGAGCATGAGAGATTCTTATCTCATTTCATAGAATGGCAACATATCTCGGGATTCGATTCCTTCATTGGGTCACCCGAATTTACCACGTTCAAAAAATCCATGTTGCCGTACTTGGCAGGTCCTGCTGATATTCAATTGTATGAGTCACCCGAGGACGGGCTGATTCGCACAACGGAGAATCCCTTGTATCTTCACGTTCTGAAGTCAAATCCCAATGTTGGTGACACTGAGACTAGCTCACAGCAACGAACCGCTATCAATAATGAGTGGCAAGCTTTTATTGAGCGGTTCAGACTGGCCTCGGGATCCAATGGCAGTTTAGATTTCTCCTTGAATGGCTTTGGCTTACGCAAAGACAATGGGGCTTTCCTCAGCATAGCCGGTTGGAGAGATCATAAGGTGAGCAGTCAATGATTTGTGGTGCCCCATTTTGATCATTCAAGCTCACCATGGAATAGTTGATTAACTTGGCTCTGAACGATTTGGACGTAAAGAATAGTCTCCGAAGACTGCAAGACGTGGCAGAGAAGAGTACTTGGGATCACTTCATCTTTAAAACGCAACAAGTTGCTTTGGATAAATAGTAGAGACTACGAGTCTCTACTTAACACGACGCTAAATGTCGATTCTGGGGCACAAATATAGCCATCATCATTACCGAACTGTAGGAAGGTCATAAATTGGGTTGGCAATAAGCACCGTCATAGTCCTTCTGGTAGAACATAAAAATGTTATGTCATTAAAAGAGGATAAACAGCAGTTAGTCATAGAAGGATTACAATATTATCACGCAACAAACACCAAGAGGCCCGTAGCCAAGACATTAAAGTCGGTTAAAAATACAACGTGTAAAGACTCTTGCTGAAAGTTGAAGCCATATCCACTCTATTAGTATGACTTACTTATACATCTAGATTCTACTTACCGTCATAGCGCAACTATAAATTCTAATTCGTTTGACTTTTTGCTTGCGGAGGAAGTTCTCCAGGCTCTTACGCGCTGCGGAGCAAAGTGGGTTACTGTCGAAGATATTGAGACTAACGCGGAATAAGGCGGATATCAGCTGTTGTAAAACACGGTTTGTGACTTATATATTGATGCTTTGTCCCTTCACCTCTCCGAAGGTGGATAGAAGCTGAGTAAACTTCGTAGCTTGGGCGTTAAACAAACTATCGTGTAACGCAAATATTGCTACTGCTGATCATGCTTGGTGCGCCCGTGAACTTGCCGAAATGGTAGGTTTTCCAAGTTGACTCGACAGCTCTATTAACGAGATACGAATTTGACACGAGTTACGCCAATGTAGGCTAGAAGAGAACTCGCACCTCTTGGAGCCGCCCGTCAGCAACTACTGCGTCTGGAATGAGGATTTCAGTGTCATGGTGAGAAGCATGATTTATTTGCGATCCTCTCTCCATCTTCTCTGCCTCAACACACTTATTCATTCATCAATAGATCGTCAACGGCCCTAACAGTCGCACCGATTATCACATCAATCCGACACCCGAGTGGTTCTACCAGTACAAGGGCACTATGCTGCTCAAGGTAGTGGATACCGGAGTCTTTCGCGACATCTTCATCCGCGAGGGTGACATGTTCCTGTTGCCGAGCAACACGCCGCACAATTCTGTGCGCTTCGCCAACACCATTGGCCTCGTGCTTGAGCAGCGCCGCCCGCTGGACTCTATTGACCGCCTGCGCTGGTACTGCGCCAACTGCGGCTGCGTTGTTTATGAGACCGCGTTCCACCTGACTGACCTGGGCACCCAGCTAAAGGCGGCCATTGAGGAGTTCCAAAGTGATGATGAGAAGCGAACGTGTCACGAGTGTGGAGCGATGGCAGACGCGGAACCAAAGCCTGCGTCTATCAAAGATCCGAACTTGGAGTGAATGGAACGTCGGCCACCGAGAAATACATGAGCCCTTAGTGAATAGTATCATGCCTTACTGTAAGGAAGGCGGAACAAAGAATTCTTTGTCAGTATTTTTGTCATTTTTGCTTCTATACCAAAAGCTCTGTACTGTCCGTAAATTACAGATTGTAGTGGATGGTGTCGCTGGCTGTCTTCTCTACGAGACATGATAGCTTCGTCTCAGAAGAGCACCGTAAGAGGGCCACCCTCCTCCTCGAAATGAACTACTATACTAGTCGCGTCATTGTCTTTCGCACGATGAGAGCAGACACTTGATCGACGCTCCAACGAGCTCAGCTGAGTCGCCAGAGCGACTCGCACATATTGTCCCAATTGCCCATTAATAATGTAGTCGCGCCACCGCTCCGCTCTACTCCGCTGCCCTCGAACTAATAACTTTCTCCGCTAGCTTTTGTCTCCACTAGGCCATGTAGTTGTTTCTTGTAAAAGAGCTACTCGGGCACTTCTTTTGATCGAAACTAGCTTGTTACCTTGAACGTCCTTTCTCACTCTCCATTCTGAGAAAACAATCTTCACGAGACATCACTATTCACAATCATCATCTCACCATATTGCAAGCTTCATGACTGAACATTTTCGAGGATTCATAGAAACTCCTTCTACGGCAAGACGTTAAGACAGACGACTACGGCCCATGTTGGCCGATCCCTAATAATTAGAATGGCAACGACTTCGAAGAACATCAACCCACCGGAGACAAAAAATGAACTCTTTTTTCCTACTTCACATGATGAAATCATTTTATGGCTAACCAAGGTTTAAATTCCAACTATACCACTCCGTGATAAGTCACTAGAAGCCTCTCAGTCTAACAGTACCTCCAGTTTGCCGCCAGTCAAGATGGGCTGGATCCGACAAGAACAAGTTCGGTCTATGCACCAGACGCAACACTGCATTTCTCAACCTACCCGGTGATTTTTGGAGCGGATAAGATTGAAGAGATGGTGGCGGCACGTTTCGCACGTCTCAGTTTAATAAATCATACGCATCGATATTTCGGTGCGCCCCTACCTACCCATTGTACCTTTAGTGAGCAATGGACTGTGCTAACTGTCCTATAACAGACTTGGCTGGCTCGAGACTATGGGCTGTATTTGATGTTCGATATCGCGTCAAAGGTGATCGATCCGGAGAGGAGTTTCTAGTGCCATGTGTCTGTGTTTTTACTCTTGCTGAACACGGCGATCACATGGGTAAGATTGCTGAATTGGAAATTTTCATGGATCAGAGCGCAGTGGAGGATAAAATGAAAAGAATTATGAAGGAATAGCTAGTAACTTGGCTATATATTTCTAGAGATCTACATGAGTAAGACCGATAAATACTCCTGATACAGCACCCTATCATCTGGACACGGTATTTGTTAAAAAAAACTGCTCAATAATAATATTATTGCGATTATTAGGATCAACAAAGATACCACGACCGATATGCAAGGCTGGCCTTCTGTACAAATAGTAAGTTTTGAGTTACTCTTCTCCCGACGAGTATTCTCTCTTTCTATTGTTTCTTCCCGACCAGTATATTCTCTTTCTACTGTTACTAACCAGTGGGGAACCCAAAGTTTCATCAACATCTTCAACTACCGGGCGTGGAGAGGAGGGGAGGTACTTTCCAGGCCTATCCCAGCATTCGAGTTGCTCCGCACTCATGAGTTCCTTAGTCTCATCAGTAATTTGGACCCGTTTCCCTTTGAACCATGAAATAATGGATAATATCTGACAGCTATGTTTTGTTCCCATAGCTGCCTTCACAGCTTTTTCAGTAACCTTAATCTTGTCGCGATGGACTTTTAAGAGGAGTGACAATAAATTCCAGTTATTCCCGTTTATGACCACCTCAATCAGAGACTCTTCTGTGATGTTGATATCGACGTATTCTGTGTTAGCAATGAGGATACTCATCTGTCGACTGCCAATGTTCATTTCCAACATCATCTTCAGAAGCTTCTCCGTAATGTGCGTCTTACGGCCATTTATCGTGAAAATGGTGCTCATCATCGCATATCCGTAACGATTTCTCGTTGCTTCTATTAGAACATCCTCGGTAATCTGGATCTTATCACCTTTCAACCTCCAGATGTATTTCATGATTTTATGGGCACCCCATGATCCGTTTCTTGCTACCTCCTTCAAAACTTTCTCAGTTATGTGAATCTCATCTCCTCCCATCGTCACGAATAAAGCTTGTATTGCGGAATCGCCGTACTTGGATTTCGCTGCAATTCTCACCATTTCTTCTGTATTGATCCAGATACCACGTCTATGGGCCTCTTTGAGAACGCCTTCTATCTGCGATACTCCAAAAGCATTTCCAAGTAACTCTTTCAAAATTGCTTCTGTAATCTTAACATCATCTTTCTTCGTGACCAAAAACTGCCTCAAAATCCTATGACCGCAGTTGCGATTTTCTGCCGCGCTTCTCAAAATCTCTTCGCTAATATGAAGCTCATGGCCTTTCATATGAATAAGGAGACGAATTGTTTCACCGTTAGAACGACGGTTAGCAGCAGCCGCTTTCCAGATACCCTCAGTCATATGTATCTCATGGCTTCTCTCTTCAAGTAGAAACTTCAGCGCCTCATTCTCTGAATCCTCTCCAGGTATGATTGCTTCCAATATTTCCTCTGTAATTTGGAAATCCTCGCCTCGTTCTTTCAAGAAAAACAGCAGCAGGTGCTCTCTCTTTTTTTCGTGGTTCGCAGTATCTATGATAATACTTTCTGTGATCCTGGCTTTTCCCTTATGTGCCCTAAGAAAGTTTTTCAGGTCGTCTGGGGGGGATGAGTTGACTAGATCCTGCAGACAATTTTCTGTAATTTTTATTGTATCCCCTCCCTTGTTCAACATGAGCATTAACAAGTCGTAATTTCCCTGTTTCATTGCTGATCCAAGTGCTAGTTGAAGGCCATCAAGCTGCTCTCGCTTGAACATCAGTTTCACCCGCTCCATGTCTCCGCTTGCAACTATATTGGCTACCGCTTCTTCGAAAATCTCTAAGTTGTGGTTGTCAAGGACAAATTGGATGATATCTTTGCCGTTTACATCGTTATTTTGTGCCAGATTCAAAAATTTGACTGTAACGATGAAGCAAATGTTGAGCTCTAGAATTGCCTCGACTACAAGCCTGCCATATTTGACGTTCGTTGCTGCCGCTTCAAAGACATTTTGCGTAACAACGGCGCTGGTTTGTCCGCTTAATATTTGTCGAACTAGCGCATGGTCGAGGTGTTCAACAACTAGACAAAGCTCTTCCTCTGTAAAAAGAGTGTCGTGTTTTTTAACAAGCTTCCGTAAATAGTCGTATTCTGTCATGCCATTCGCGACTGCTTTCTCAATCATCGCTTTCGTGATTACTGTTGAGTCTATTTGTAGGTCAACCAGCCACGGAATATTCACCTTCAAAGCAACTTCCCAAGTGTCTCTGGCCTCTTCTAGGTTGACAACTCCGTTGACTGCTCCCCATGTCAAAAGTGCCGAAGACTTAGGCTCTGTTAACCGACTAATAAGTCTAGCGAACTTATTTATATCCTCTTTCTCGAGATGACGGTACCAGTTGCGCGCTGCGTATTGTAAGAAAGGATACTGAATATTCCCTGCGTTTAGGAACTCGTCGTTTCGACAGGACCTTGACTCGACAATGTCTGTAAAGCACAGGTATGTCATACAGACTTTTGCTAAATATGAACTTGGATGTAGACTCGTGCAAAATGCAAACTCGGCAAGATGCCCACTCTTGAGGAGGAAATCCTTTGCTGATTGGTGCACGAGATGGATTTTCCCGTCAATAATCTCCAATATCAGTCCTGTGGCCGTCGTCACGCCGCTCTCGGTGAGAGCTACCGAATATTTCTTGGTGGATTCTTTACTCGTAGAATCATCCTGGACTGCTATGGCCTCTTCAAGCTCAGCTAATGTCAAGGGTCTTCTGCCGTACACGGCCCATATCAAAAGCTTTTGAGCCGTTATGTCTTTTGCTTCTTTGATACGACTGATGATGTTTTCAAACAAATTTTCAAGATCGGATGGACTTTCGTTAATCATTTCTTCCATCCCTGCTTCTGATAACAAAGGCGTTGCAACCTTGAGCCTCTTTAAGACGATCGATATCCATAAGAACGTTTGCTCAACACGGCTGCCCAGCAAGTGAATGGCCTTTTGCTTGAGATCTTCGTGAAACTGCAAGTCGTGCACTTTGTTCTTTATGAAAATCTCAAGATCCTCATGATTGGCTTTAAGTTGGATGTTCGGCAGATGATAAAGCTCGCCATGTATATCAACCGTTGGACGACTAGTGAGAAGGGTCTTCAGCGTCGGAACGGAACTATTTCTTCGGGTTGATGATTGTCGAAGATTACTAGCGATGAGATCAAGTAGCATCTTCCTTGAGCCATCGTTTTGGCATTCATCTAGCCCATCAAGGACACAGTAGATAGTACCGAGCTGAGAAGCTTGAAGCAAGTCCTTGAGAATGTCCCGCAACGAATTATCGCTGATATCAGAGCTTTCGATATCGAACGTTTGAGTGACAATTTGAAATGCATCGGGTGCTAGATGCAGCATTTGCTTGATAAGAGACCTCATAGCGGCTCCGGCGGTACGGTAACTTTCGTCTTGGTCGTAAAAGAAGAAGTATATGACAACTGACGGTATTTCTGAGCTGGGTACTGAGTCCTCCAGCGTGTCCAAGATGAACTTGGCCAGCATTGTCTTGCCCTGGCCCGGCGACCCTTGAATCCAAAGGCCAGACGGAGTGTCCGCACATTTCCAACCTCGATAAATATCATTGCGCAAGAACCAGTCAAGCGTTCCCGGCGTTCGGACACCAACTTTGTCATTTCTAAATGCCTCGCTATCAGGAGCCTTCAGATTTCGTACAAACTGCCTCTCCAATTGAGTTGTTTCTGCGCGATTCAGAATTAAATATTCACCTGTGTTCATACGTCGTGCAAACTACTCACTTCTCGTGTGATGATCAAAACGCTCCCTTATGGCACTCGGTGCACCATTGACTAGCTCTACTAGTCTAGACTGGATATTCAAGTAGTCTGGGTTCGAGATGTCACTGAATTTGACCATTTCGGAATGATCGGAGTTAATGGACAAGCGATTGTAAGTCTTCTCGTTCTGGTGAGCGTTGGTAGCCGATGTATGCCCAACTATCATGACTTCAGGTCCGGTTCTTTCCCATGTGCCGGTTTCTGAATTCCACTATAGACATGTTAAAAGTGTCTTCAACATTTAAAATAGAGTTTTATGCTTACTTCAACTGTCGCCGTATGTTTTGTCTCGCTGATCGACAGTATATGAGAGTCATCAAATGTGAAGCACGCATTAAACCGCTCATGGAGTAAGCTTAGAAATCGAGAGGATTCTCCAAGATCTCTCACTAAACTCTCGTTGGGCTGTCCTTTGACCATTGACTTTAGGCTTAGGTTGTTCAGTCCTCTGTTTGGGACGCCAAAGAGCAAAAGCGCATAGCATGACCTGTAGATCGTTTGATCTTCTTCGCTGCCTACTGAAGCTTGCACAAGAGCCTATATTGAGAGTCAGTCAACATGCTTAGCATTTATGAGCGCTCTGAGAACACTTAGTGACTCACCTCTTTAACAACAAGGCCACCAAGACTGTGCGCAATGAATATAATAGGCCGATTTCTCTACCTCATAGTGAGCTTTATAGCATTTTCTGTGTCTGCAAGACATTGATACTCACGATACTCTTTCGCCGAGTGGTTTTAATAGACTCAAGCAAGGCCTTGGCTAATTCTAGTATGGATTCCTCGGATTGACTTCCGTATATCTTGGTATCGTAGCCGTATGTAAGAATGCGCGCGTTTAAAACCGACTGCGGGAGAAAATCGCGTAGCCACATATGCGGCAAGCTTTTTGACTTCCATGATCCAAAAGCATGGCCGGCGAGTCCAGTTACCGCAATAATGCTACCGAAAAGAATACTGTCAGCACATGTTATACTTCTCCAGTGAGCCTAATTGATCATACATAAGACTTACTCTACATGGACGTTGTCGCTATCAGACAGTGGCGTGATGCCCAAGAAATCTCGATCGACTTTTAAATGACCGGCCTCAGCTCCAAATTTCTGCTTGAGAACAATCTCTAGTTCGTTGATGGCTGGAGCATGCTCAAAGGTGGCCGTGACAACTGCATATCGCGAGGAAAAAGCTGAAACAGCAGTTGGCGAATATGAAAACTCAAGTAGGTTTGGCTGGCAGCCAGTACCTTGGGCTGCAATTGGTAGATCTGACAAGAGTTGTCGCAAGCTGTCTGCGGTCACACTAGGAATACAAGGAATGTTGGAAATTCTCAATGTCAGGAATTTTTGCGGTACAAACGGTTTCCGGATGGACTTCTTTCTTGCCCGACTGGATCGAATCAGATTGAGGATGAAGTTGTACAATAAATTTACACTGAAGGCCACAAGCAATGTGATGGCCACATCAGACCAGGCGACCTTTGGGAGTTCCATTTGCGCCTCACTGGACATGTATGTAAATTTTGAGATTACTGAAAACGCAGTGGTGAAAGACAAGTGTGGGATACGCGGCGGCCGCTGCTTGCAAGGCAGAATTTGCTCAGGCTAAGATAGGTAAGGCATACAAGGCATGCTGCAGCCTGATGGATTGGGGCAGAAATGACAGCCTTGCCAATAGGATTGCCTTTTAACCCACATATTTAGAGACAATACATGATGCATGTCTCTTACGTGTCAGCTTCAGTGGTCGCCGCATCTGCCATAGCTGGCAGGAGAGTTCTTTCCAACAGGATGCTCACAGCTCATATAGCTATACCTAGCCCAAGCAAATTGCGGGACGATGCAGATCTCACTGCTATCGCAAATAAGGCAAAGTACCGTGAGAAGCTTGTTACTATACCAGGCCTAGAAGCGCTTTTGTAATGTGAATACTCTTGTAAAAACCTCGAAATGCTCCGAGAGCTGCTAGTTCTATGTAGCTCCTCCTACGTGTTGCTGCTGAACTTGGATCTGGAGAAACCGCAATGCTGTATATTTCTTTATCCATGCGAGAAATGACCAAGCCATTCAGAGATTAAACATTTCTCAAGACACCTATTATGAAGCACTTAACTTCTTGGTATCGTGATTATTTGAGACTGCATTGCGATGAGCGCTAGACTCTGGTTATGTAGCCTCTCTCGCAAATTGTTGCATCGTTCCACTATGAAGGCTTTCGGCTTATCAATTGTCTAAGTTAATTGTTGGACGATCAACTGACCGTCGGATTACAAATTGTTAATTAGAATTGGTATCTGAATATACTGCTGCTCGTAGAACTTACTCTCAGTAGCCGGCTAGTGCCTATATATACATGCCTCAGTGCCAATCGACTGCTCAAGTAGCAATCTTCGCGACAACTATTGAAGCCAGAAGAGAAGCTTCGGGAGCACCGGGAGCTACAAATAGATATGTCCGGCTTAAATCTTTACTCGTACGAAGGCATGGGCCAGCAGCTCCTGAGAGATTTGGGTTATTCTCAGGCACTCCGCGTTGGTGATAGAATTGAAGTCTGTGGTCAAGGTGAGAGAAACAAGACACCACGGTGTGGCCTCAATCTTGACGTAATTCTTTGTCTCTCGGTGGATGGCGCAATTCCCTTGAAGATATACCCACCGACGCGGCTGCGCAAATAGACAATGCCTTTGCAAATATTGAAAAGGCTTTAATGGCCGCCGGCGGCAAAGGGTGGTCGCAGGTTTTCGGCGTCAACACTACGCATCTTCCTCTTAATAAGGGGGCAATGGCAGCGGTGCAATGGAATATTTGAAAATACATGCCTAATCACCAGCCGCTTTGGACAGCTGTGGGAGTCCAGCGCTTTGGGGCGGATCGCATTGCCGTGGAGATTGAAGTCATCGCATACGATCCCGAAGGACGAAAGGCAGCGGGAAGCATGTAAGGAATATCGTGTCGTCAATATATAGTCAATAGGCAGCGAGTACATGAGATTATAAACAACTGAGAACTTGTCAAGAAAAAGAAAAGCAGTTTTATACGCGGTAATTGATCGCAGTGCGCAGTGTGCTTGGTAGCCAAAAATGGAGGACAAGAGTAAAAAGACTTGGAGAAACGAGGCTTAATACGCCAAAGCTCTACAGTGACATAGGCACCGATAAAAATATATATCAAGTAATTACGACGAATTATTCAGCGGAGTAGCCAAAAGAAGTCCAGGTTAAGGAGTCAGACGGAACATATGTATGTAATTGTCAGGTGCTGGGAGCCCTCAAGTCTATCTAAAGAGATACGGACAAGAATAAATTCTAATGACCTAGTTTTCGCCCATGCATCGTCTCTATCGAGGTGCCGGCTGGAATCTGCACTGGTTGTAGGTGATGGTGTGAGATGGAATTTAGCAAAGGACATACAAAGGGAGCACAAGGCCTTGTTGAAAACAAAAGAAGAAAATTGAAAAGTAGGAATGAAACAAAAGAGCTTCTCATAATATTAAACAGCAATGAGAAGAAAAGTAAGGTATTCTGTCGCAGATCAAATAGACGTACTCGGCGCTCTCACGTGCTTCGCAGCTGCCCAAGTGTCACGGGCTGTGAAACGGCCATAGCTTTCTTTTTCTTCTTTTATGACAACAGAAAACTTGCATTCATCATCTTTGTGCTTTTGTGACAGATTTACAAGCTTTTTCCTGCTAAATCTTTGTACTCACCATTTTGCACTCATTTCCATGAATCTTGGAGCACCTTGAGCCGCTTCCAGGCGAGTCATGCCGTTTCCAGACATCAAAATCTCAATCTTTTCTCGATGAACACCCAAATCAATTTGGCTCAAGGCCACATGCTATGTATCGTTTTCTCTACTAAATCTCAGCCAGTGAGTATCATGTTCGATGCTAGCGAGCTCAAGGTGACAGATAAAACGGCCGATCCTCGAAACTCCGACTGGTATGGCGACGCTTCCGAATAAGCAAATGTTTTTTGGTATCTTGTCAACACTTCTATACAACCAATACAAGCATCGAATATCTCAGCAAAAATGTTGTCCCATAGTCTAAGCATGGCCAATCAAGGAATTAGCAATAGCAACGGTAGCATGGGGGTGTTGGAGCATTGAGAAGTGTGATAAAGCACTGGCTGCGCTGCCACCAAACAGCAATAGCGAAGGTTCAATATCCAACTGATGTGATCGCATTTTGGCTGTACATAATGGAAATACGACTATACTTTCTCAATATGTGTCGCCGTATTCTCAAGTCCAGAATCATGCGCCCTGTCCCTGTTCTTGGACCTCAGACATCGCATCAAGCGCCGCATCTTATGCGGCAGAATCTTCAAGCGAGTGCGCACGAGTTTCGAGTTCTCGTGCTTCATGTACCTGTTGCTACCACCTTAAATTTCCTCACGATGCTCAACCTTTTGACGCGACATTCTTCGGGAATGTTGGCATTCAAAAGGGGATCAAAGTGCAGGAGCCGCATCAAAGATGCTTACTCACTAGAGAGGTATAATTGAAACCCCGTATGAATGATTCAATTTGGTCTCTGCAGGATATCTAATGGGCTTATAGAATCCAATAAACGAGTATTTCGAGCCGAAATTGCGAATTTGATCCGCGTGGCTGCCGTCAGACAGCATTCCGGCTGCCTTTAACTTTCAGCAAGTGTGCTCCAACAGCTCAACAGACTTTCGGGTTCCTCATAAACGACAACGCATGTTTCGCCCACTGCGACGCCACAGGCATGCTACGATCTAGACGATGGCTCGCTCGAACTTAACGTTTATGGCTAAGAGGCATTTAAAATCCATTCGTCTCGAAACCAAGTTAGCGATTACAAGTGGAGAATGCGACTGGCAGTCTAGTTCTTTCGCACTTGCACTTAGATTCTGATATGCTTCACCAACCTCGCGTATAAATATCTTCGTCATCATGCTGAGCTGAAAGATCGGGCCCATCTCGGTCCAAATACGAGTTACGAGTGGCTTTCTTGGACTTGGAAGTTGAAGACTCCGGATTAGGAATGCCTAGTATGATTCCCGAGAAGTCAGGTGGATCTCTTCGATCCAAAGTGCAGGAACTTAGTAGGTACGCAATGGTACAGGCCATCTGTCACCCTATATTCGGCGTTTTTCTTCTCCATTCTCTTCGGTACTCTATGAAGAGGAAACAAGGCAACCTACCACATCAAAAAAATGATGATTTTGACTAGTAGGATGAGGATTTGCATCTGTCCGTTCTGCTGCAGCAAAAGCTCCCCAACCAGACTAGTAAACGGTCAAGTCGTGTGTTGCATGTGGCCCTCTGTTCAGTCAGCTCATATGCCGATTATATACAATCAGGAAGTGTATCATCTTGTCATGGTACCAGCAATGACACCAAACACAGCTAGATTCTGCAGCCACCAGCACACATAGACCCGCCGTACTGCCCGCTCTTTTTAGTAAGAAGAATTACGAACCAAAGCATTGACGGCGAGTTAATGATACAGAAACGGACGGATATGAGCACATCTTCTTGCCGCAAAAATCTTGGATAAGCGCCGCACAGATATGCAAGGGGCAGCTATGCATGAGCTCGCTGGCAGGAGGAGCAAAGGTCTCTTTTTCCTACCTTTCTTGTCATGAGAAAACTCCGATACTCTCTTCATACAATATCTGATAAAGTATTACAGTTTCAACATATCTATCTAGAACAAACGTGGAGAAGGCAGCTCATAGGACCAACATCGACACCAGACCGAAAGTCTCGACCGACCGCAAGCCAGGCAGGTGAACACTCATAACGGGGCATCTTACTAAAGCTGTTGATTCGTATAACGTCTACAAGCTGGCTTACTCTGGCCTGGAAGCGATTAAACATGGATATTATTACAAATGTCTCAGGTCCCCGTGTGGCGCCGAGACATGGCTCCAGCCTCCCGCTTCCCATTTGCGCTGTTAACGCCCTTGATCCACAATCACACATCTTGCATCACCGAGATAAGTGTCTTTTGTCGCACAAACAAAATTACTATACAAAACCTTGAATGACAAGTGACATGTCTCATACAAAACGACAACACATCGGACATTACTACTCCCTAGTCACTATGACAGCTCGTCTTCTTAGTCAAAACTACATGTCACGGTGGTATCATGTCAGAAAGCGTAACATTATTACTGTATCATCCTGTCTTGGCATGCTCACAGGCAAATCAATATGAGTACTATTCTTATGTCAGTACCCAGAAGCGACTAATCCTGAATACTGCCCCTTTTAGTGGAGAGATGATTTAGGACGCGAGAACTGACTAGAAGACAGATAATGTGACGCCTGAGCTCGTCCATAAAAGAGCGACCCTCCCCCATATCTACGTCAATCACAATGTCCACATCCAAGTCAAAAGCGCAAGCATTCTTATAGAGTTTCTCCTCGGTATAGCCCGCCATGAAGTTAGCCATTGCATCGGCTATTACGGTTGGTCTGTGGCCGCTTGTTGCTGCAGCACCTGCTCCCTCTGCAGCAGCAAAGGACGTCGCCACTCCTGTGACTGTCACCATCTCGTCCGGCACCATCCTCGGCAAGGCGAGCGATACCGTCGATACATTTAACGGCATCCCATTCGCTGACCCGCCTATTGATGATTTGCGTTTCAGGCCGCCAGTCAGGCTGTCCAGAGATCTTGGGACCTTTGATGCCACTGGAGTTGCTGCAGCGTGCCCTGCTGGGCCCATCTTCTCCTTCGAACACCTGACACCTCCTCCCGATGCCACACAGCCCATCGCAGGTGGCTTGCAACCGCCTAACATCACGGAGGGTGCCGCTGCAGCGGCTATACTCGAATCTTCTGCTGGCCAAACTTCCGACACATCCAGCGAGGACTGTCTGACTGTTAGTGTACAGCGCCCTCACGGCGTCGAGGCTGGTGCCGGCCTGCCCGTGCTTTTCTGGATATTCGGCGGTGGTTTCGTTGGCGGCAGCACTTCCGGATTTGACGGCACAAAGTTGATTGAGACGGGCGCGCTGCACGACCAGCCATTCATCTTTGTGGCCGTCAACTATCGCGTCGGCGCCTGGGGATTTATGCCCGGCAAAGAGATTCTGGAAGAAGGCAGCGGAAACGCAGGACTGCTTGATCAGCGCATGGGCCTTGAATGGGTTGCAGACAACATCGAAGCCTTTGGCGGCGATCCAGCCAAAGTCACCGTCTGGGGAGAGTCGTCTGGTGCCATTTCAACTTTTGAGCAGCTAGTCTTGTACGACGGCGATGCCACATACAAGGGCAACGATCTCTTCCGTGCCGCCATTATGGATTCTGGATCTATTACCCCTGTTGATCCGCTAAACACGCAAAAGGGCCAAGACGTGTACGATGCCGTTAAAAGGGCAGCTGGCTGTGATGTTGAAGACTCGTTGGCCTGCCTTCGTGGCTTGGACAATGGCGACTTTGCTGTTGCTGCCAACTCTCTCCCAGGCATCATATCATACCAGTCTCTTGCTCTCTCGTATCTCCCCAGACCAGACGGAACAGTCCTAACGGATAGCCCAGACGTGCTTGCAAAAGCAGGCAAATTTCACCATGTACCAATGATCCTCGGCAACCAAGAAGACGAGGGCACGCTTTTCAGCATCTTTCAGCAGGATATGAGCACGACTGATAAAATCGTCAAGTATCTGTCCCGGTACTATTTCCATACCGCCACCAAAGAGCAAGTCACCGATTTCGTCAACACCTACAGCTCGAAAATCCCGGATGGAAGCCCGTATCGCACACTCCTCAACTTTGAATTCTACAAGGGCAGAAAGAGAATTGCTTCCATCCTCGGCGACATTGTGTTTGACCTGATCCGCCGCGTTACTCTGCAAATCTTGGACGATGTCAGCCCAGAGCTATCAACATGGGCTTACTTCTCTTCTTACAATTACGACCCTTTTTTCGGCATCTTTGGCACTGCGCACGGATCCGACGTTGACGTGTTGTTTAAAAAGGACAACGCGAACTATCCGACTCTTAGCGGACGCACGTACTATATCAATTTCTTGCACAACTTGGATCCTAACAATGGCACTCGTTCTGATTTGTTTTGGCCGCAGTGGTCCGAGGGACACCAGCTTTTGAATTTTGGTGCCAAGAGCAATAGCCTCAAGGAAGATGACTACAGAAACAGCAGCTACTCTTACATGTTTAACCATATCGAGTCGCTGCGTTTCTAATCAAAAGTGCGGAAGTTGTTGGGCTATTAGATTAATACGACAGACATGGTCAGATTGGACTGGGCTCGAGGATTGGATAATCATATAGGATACCCTTCGCGACACTCTTTACCCATTGTGGGCGTATACATAATTAAATGAAGTATTATAACGAGGTAGATGGACAAGGTTCTGAATACATTAAACGCTCACTATGGATGCATGCGATCGTCCAAACAAAATCATATACCGATTCATTCTAAACAAGGACGTGTCAAATTACTCATAAGTTCTAGTCTAATATCTCAATACCATGCAATTATAATAGGCTGCTCCCAATAATTGTCTACCGGTCACAGCCATTCTATCAATAAATCAATCTATCCAGAAGTGAAAGAAAATGTTATCCCAAAGGATACATGAGTGCGAGTTCCAGTGTCTTTTCAGAATGTCTCCATCCAAGAACCTCACAGGGGCTCGTTCCAGCGTACTAACATGATCGTAGAAATCACATCAACATCATACGCGACCATCAACTTCAACATCAGCGTCAACATCAGCGCCAACAACATCAGCTCATCAGCTACTCCTTCTTCTTTCCCCACTTCTTAGGCATGCGCACCAGCCAGTACAGGAACAGCGACGCAGCAATGTTGAAGATAATAAACGACATTCCAATGCCAAAGTCGCGCCACCGGTGAGCATAGCTCGAGCTGACGCTGGTCAAAAACACATTCGTGTCCGCAATAGGACAGTAGCTGCAGTCGCTGGTGGCATTGCTATCCTTCAGATATCCTCCCGCCGCACCAATAAAGTTGGAAAGATAATCTCCGCAGGTCTGGCCGCTTGGAGGCTCGAGATGCACAAGCTCGTTGCTTGAACAGGTGACGTGTGTGTTTGCCAGACCGGTGGATAATACAGCCGATACCCAATACGTAAAGGGCGATACGCGATACATGAAGACCCAGAATCCCGGCATGCTCGATGGAGAGGCAATGACACCGCAGAAAAGGAGACACATCATGAACAGAACGTTGGCCAAGTTGCCACCAGCTTCGGCGGTGTCCGTAATGGCAATACAGGCGTGAGCAAAAGTGCATGTAAAGACGAGGAATTGCCAGAAGAGAAGCCACATGAGACCGCCTCGTTCAGCGACTTGTCCAGCCGGCTCAGCATTCTTGTTGAATCCGACAGGGTAGTAAACGCAGAGGAACATGAAAAGAGACATGAGCGAGTTCCATGGAATCTCGACGGCAATCTGTGACAGCATAAAGACCTTCCAGCTGTATGTCTTGGAGGGCCTCTCACGCACTTCATACAACGATCGCTGGGTAACGAAATGCGGCATCTGCTGTTGCACCAGTTGACCGAAAATAGTCAAAATGTTGAAAACAGCAAACATTTGATTCTGCAGGCCTTGAATAGACAACGGAGCATTAAGGAAGACCAGTCCGATAAAGAGAGAAACCAGAACGCAGAGACTGAATTTAGAGTAGATGTACGACGGTGTCCTCCAAATCTGCTGGAACACGCGCTGAGTAACGACAAAGAATTGACTCCAGAATGGCGCGGCGAACTCAGCATATGAAGCCTTATCGTGGATCTCAGTCGCATTGTCATGGCCCTCGTCCTTTAGGCGCTGAAGTTCTGTCTGCACAGCCTGATATTCAGCGCTTTCTAGCCACGTCTGGTGCCAGTCGACCTCTGTTGAAGTTCCAGGAGCAGCACCGATAGCCTGAAGCATCCACTCAGCAGGGTTCTCGCCGGGTGAACATTTAGGGGCGCCGTGGTTCTCAAAGTAAGAGGTCATAGCCGAGGAGTTTTCGCCAATGTCACCGAAATACACAGTTCGGCCACCTTTTGCGAGAAAGAGTAGACGGTCGAAGCGCTGGAACAGCATTGCAGATGGCTGATGGATGGTACAGAGAATGGATTGTCCAGCTTTCGAAAGTTTTTCCAGCAAGTCGAGAATAGCCCAAGACGTCTGAGAATCAAGACCGGAAGTTGGCTCGTCAACGAACAGCAAAAGAGGTGGTTTAGCTGCGAGCTCAACGCCAATAGTAAGTCGCTTGCGCTGTTCAACATTGAGACCCTCGCCAAGCACGCCGACGACTGCATCAGCATATTCTTGCATATCCAGCAGCTTGATGACCTCGTCTACATATGCAAGCTTCTCGGCTCTTGGTGTACTCTCCGGCTGACGTAACAGGGCACTAAACTCCAAAGCTTCACGAACGGTTGTTGTCTCCAGATGAAGATCCTGCTGTTGGACGTAGCCCGTTTTACGCTGGAACGAGGTGTCGCGAATCTTGCCGTCGACAAGCATCTCGCCTGTGATTACCCCCATGGAGACACGGTCAGCCAAGCAGTCGAGAAGCGTCGTTTTACCAGCACCAGACACGCCCATAAGAGCTGTCAGCGTTCCCGGCTTGACCCAACCATCAACATGATCCAGAATTCGTCGCGGTTCGCCCTTGATCTTGATGTCATAGCATACTTTGCCCCAGTGGAACACGCTTGTAGACCCCTGGATATTGGCAGTCTCTTCAGCCGAGATATCGGTGCCTTTCTCCACAACAGGAACAGGTCCAGACAAGGAGGCTTCTGCGTCGCCATTCTTGGAGCCTGTAGCAGTAATGTGTCCACGTCGGAAGACGAGCACCTCGCCCTTTGACTTCTTTGCCTGAATGACATCGGTTGCAACAAAGTACACAAGGTGATTGAAGAGAGCAAAAGCAATCAGAATCCCGACGTTGCGCCACTTGTGAGCATGGAAATACTTGTACTGCGAATTGATGTAGGCATCGCCGCTGACGAAATTCTGGCCTGCGATAGATCCAACGGCTGTACAAGCTCTGTTTACTCCTGTCGCATTTTGGTATCCTGGAATGAGAGCGCTTGGGACGAAAGCGTCACATTCGTATTGACGGCCGCTGAACTCGTTGATCATGAGTGCTTCGAATCCATATGCGACAGGGTCGAGATAGTTGATCCAGCGACACCATCCAAGCATGTAATCGACGGGGATGACGAATCCAGTAAAGATGACCATGGCAAGAATCAGCAGTGAAGCCGGCACCATGGCTTGCGATAGGGTTCGCGACAGAGAAGCACTATCATCACACGTCGCAGTCAGCAATAGTCCAGCATGTTTTTTGAGGCTCAGAAACTCACATTGAGCGGAAAATTCCAGACATGGCGAGCACCATGAGGAACGTCACAAGCAGGAAAAAGAAGAAAGCTCCCGGCGTACGATTAAGATGCGTCATAAAGTAAATTACCAAGTTGTAGCAAATTGAGTTACCAACCTTGTACGGCATATCACAGAGCACAGATGAAAAAGCCTCGGCCGACGGGACGTAGAATCCATAGCGCTGATGCTTTTCGACGATAGGCCGCTGGGCATATTGAGTCAGAATTTCGAGAGCACTGGAGAAGGCGTTCATCAGGATAGCCACGTAGATAACCGCGGCTCTCGAGTAGAAGCTTCCCGTTGTTTGCTGGAGATTATAAAAGAGAGACGAAATAATGAGGGCCATGACCGAGTTGGCAAGGAGTTGGAAGACAGTCAGACTCGGGTCGCCCATCAGTCGCCGCCATCCTCGCCACAGGCAGAGCTTCACTTGTTGCCCGTACGAGAGCGTATACGGAGACTTTTCACGCTGGTGCTTGGCCTGGGTCGACTTCTTGTGCTGACGGAAGGCCTCGGCGTCGGCTCCTCCAATGGGGTGCTGCTTATTGAATTCGTCCATCTCGGCCTGGAGAGCTTTGTAGTCGTTGCTGTTCTTCCAGCAGGTGGCAAATTCGTCAGGCGTACGAGGTGCGCGGCTCTCCCAGCCAGGACGGACGATTCGTTCACTTGGCGCCGTCATGGAAGTGAGGAAATCAGGCGCTGTTTGACGAGCAGGACAGTCGAAGCCGAGGTTGATGAAATAGTCTCGAGCCTTGTCTGTGGGTCCAAAGTAGATTTGTCGGCCCTCGTACAGAACAAGCACCTTGTCAAAGACATCATAAGCACTTTGAGGCGCCTGATAGATGGAAACAGCGCTGGTCTGGCCAAACATGTCGGACTGCAGACGCAGCGTCTTGCAAAACTCAATGGCGTTGGCCGAATCAAGACCTCGAGTGGAGTTGTCCCAGCACTGCAGAGGAGCGTTGGAGAGCGTGGCCTCAGCAATAGTGACACGCTTTCGTTCTCCTCCAGAAACACCGCGGACATATTCATTGCCCACGCGGGTGTTGATGGTGTGGCTGATGCCGTACATGGCCATGACAACGTCGCGATTGTGAGTGGCAAATTGGCTGCCGTTGACTCCAGGGGGCAGAGTTCGGGGAGCTCGTGCCATGGCAGCAAAGTTGAGAGTGTCACCCACCGACAGCATCGGAAAGTGGACATCAACTTCGGCCGTGTAGATGGCCTCGCCGCGATGGTGGTTGTGCATCTCCTCGACACTGATGCCCTGGTAGTTGAACTCGGTCTCGCTGTCAATGTATATGCCGTTTGTCTCTCCCGCAATCGACTTCAGAAAGGTCGAGCATCCTGAGCCTGGAGGCCCAAGAACGACAAGCATCTCGCCCGACTTGACGTAGCCGTCGAGGTTGCGCAGAATGTCGATGCGTCGTCGTCCAGACTTACTAAGAGTCTGCCGAGCAATGTCAGGGATCGAAAGCCAGACATTTCCCACGTCTTTCTGGAAATCAGTCTCCGATCCAAACCCGTAGACGTTCAGGTTTTTAAACGCAACACCGGTACGGCGGAATCCAGACCCGTGCTCAGTGGCATATTTCGAGAGTGTCTTGGCCCAGGTGCGAGCACTGAACTTGCTGCTCATGGGATTCAGGGGCGAGTCGGGGTCATTGTTCCCAAACAGCGAGTTTGGCTGTCCCTGGATATCAACTCCAGAGGCGTGCGTATATTGACGAGCCAGCTGCTGCACGATGCTGTGGCGCCGCTGCATCTCCTGGAGGCTGTTGTTCTCGTCCGACTGGTCGTCATCGTTGGCAGCATCGTACTCCTTGTTGCTGTGGCCAGCCTCGTTTGCCTTCTTCGAGTCGTTGTTGGAGTTGGAGAACAGCTGTTGACCTTCGACGAAAGTCTGTGCACTGCCGTGAGTCGACTGGGCACGGGACTCTGGGCTGGACTCACCGCCCGGCGAGCTTGGCGGCTGCCCAAAAGGCATTTCGGGGCACTGAAAGGATTATCCTTTTTTCTCTACTCCTCGATATTCAAAGGTCGTATTTGTGCCCTTGATTATGATGATATCGACCACTGCACTGCAACCACAATCAGCTGATTTTCCTCCAAGATGACTCGATAAGAATTAGATCTTCTTACCTCAGCTACAACCAACCGTAGACTGTGATGAGTATCAGTCTTGGAGGCCCTGGCAGATGCAAAAGAAAGGAATTTGATAATCTAACGTTTCATCGACAGGATTTATATGAACCAAGTATCGGACAGCGGAAGCCTGCCAACGCACCGGAGCTCGGAAAGCCCATTGGTAATGGCCCCGAGTCGAAGACAACAAATCCACGATCCCGCAATCCAGGGGGCTATGCCCTTATGGACGCCCCTTTTGGACGCCGTATCGTCGGTGAAATACACGACATGCCCATAACACCATCCATATCACTGCTACAAAGTACATGTGCCGTCCCCATATGGCCAGGCTGTATTCCGTATTACTATCTTGCGGAGTTTGGGTAATGGAGCCTTGTAGATTCGATCCCGCTTAGCCAATCGTGGTCGAGCCTTGTTTCTCCACATCCACGGGCTCTTCGCAGACCCCGAAGAACCGTCAGCTCTTCTACATAGACGGACAGTTCATAGACCACGATTCCGCCCTGCTTCCCGAATCCTTGGGTACCGCCCTGCCACTTCAGCTTGGCACGAGTCTGCTGCTTGTTGATCAGCCTCACCCATGACTCGATTTGCCGCAAGACCCCTGCCAGTTCTTTAACAAAGTTTGTCAAAGATACACGCTACCTTAATCTGTGCGTGGGTCTATGCGGATACAGATTATCCAAGCGCTACTTTTGACTCTCACTCGACGTTTGACAAAAGCTTCAAAATGTGAGATTTCCACTACTCTTGGGACAGGTCTTTTCCTTGATGAGACAGGATGTAGCTCTTTTGACAGCAGCCATTATTCCTTTCATCTCATATCTCTTCAGTCTTTCGCCTGAGACATATCTCATTCAGCTCAAGTCAAGCTAATGATATCAATTCCAGCCTACATCTTCATACAACACTGGCCTTTTTTCCTTTCCCTTAGAAAACAATCATGAGTTCCGTCGGTCCAACCAGTGCTCCCAGTAAGGTTATGAAGGAAGGGAGAAAGCTCGCGTGCCGGCTCTGCCAAAAGAGGAAGAAGAAATGCAATCGAAAGAGCCCATGTTCTATGTGCATCAAGGTGCGGCCTCCGCCAACTCTCCACTCAAAAGATAAGACAAAAACCAGCGCGCTAACATACTCTTTTTTCCTTACACGTATTCAGCTCAAGGTTGTCTGCCAGCCAAGCACACCAGCACCTACTCGCAAACGGAGGCAGTCAACAAAGGACCTGTTTGCGCGGTTAGCATGGTGCGAAGAGCAGCTGCGGCGTACTATTGACGCCCGCAATCAGTGCGATGAATGCCTTCCATCAACAGAGACATCCGCAGACGAAGTAGCAGAAAAGCTTTCAGAAATCAGATCAGCTTCAAAAGCACCCTCTGCCGCAGCCACGGCCAAGCCATACTCTAGATCACGTCCGGTTCAGCAGAGCTGATAATTGGACACATATACCCTCTAATATTAATACCAAATCAACCTATTCTTCGGACAGAATACTGCTAGTATACAATCCTCAGTTGATGATGCGTTGGATGGAACAAAATACCATCCTCAACAGGCCTATTTCTCACTCTCTCCCTGATTCTCCTCGTAAAATGAAGCTCTGGCCAAACTATCAAAAAAACCTGGGGGATGGCCTCTACTTCGTTATTCTAAAAGTGGAGAGTTGATATTCCATCGCCTCTTATTGGCCCTTCCATCACCCCCAATTGCTTCTTTTGGCCATGCGGAGACGCGAAGATCCAGCATTTTCTTATGGGGCCGACGGACTTTTGAAGCATAAAGGCCCCCTAGTTCGCGAATCACGCGAGGCTGATGGCCCCTAGCCTGCCAAATACGCGGATAATGAAGCACTAGCACTTCTATTTAGTGGGATGTGGAATGATTTTGAGCCTATTGGGCTTAGTTGGCCGATTCTCGTTGCGAAAGTTACCGCAATTGGAGCCGTCTGTGGATCTTCCGCCGCTATCCTATGCGCTCTCCTTTTTCATGACATATTAAATCATCCATTCATGATGTGACTGCTGCTGTCATTGTATCGCATTCAAGAGGCTATCCGATCCCGTCTCCCCTTTTCGGAGGCGGATAGCTTGACGTGCCCGATTTGCCGCCAGAGTTGCGGAAGAAATCTGCAGTATTGTATACCGCTTTCGAGTTTACTGTATGCCTGTCAAGGAGTAGCCGCGATGGTCATGTTTATGATTACAATGTAAAGAGCTTTCATTGGGGTTCTGATACAATCTCGCAATAGGTTGATTTGTAGTGTAGTTTTACCAACAACCCAAAGCTATAGACCATGGATGAAGTAAAGCGTGATCTCTCCGATTACTCACGGTCGATTCTCCTAGCCACGCGCTTAGTCTCAACAAGTCTTTACATCTTCATCGCCTGCTTTTCCATCAAACGGCTCTGCGATGTCCTCAGCATCTTCGACGGCTTCATCATCTTGATGGTACTCTTCACATCAAAACATTTCAGTGATGCTCACGAACAAGTCATATTAACCGGCTCTCTAGTGTCTGACTGCCTTGGTCTACGGCAGTTTAGACGTCATTTTCCCATCACTGTTCGATTCGACACTTTCCTCGTACACGAATACCAGATTGCGTTGTGATGTTATCCTTTGTCTTGGATTCACCATTGCTTCAACTACGCTGAGTAGAGCGGCTTCGAATGAGACACTGCATGAGAGCTTATACTGGGAGAGGGATATGGCTTTGAGTGAGATGCGGCGTATTCAATCGACCTTGTCTGCTGTGGTTAGGTGAGTTTTAGTTGTTGTGGTATATATACGGATGCTAATAAATTCTTGGTTCTAGTACATTTCACATGGGCATGTGCATCTGGCAGCCACTATAATCAGGATCGGTATATGATAGCGCTGTATTACGACGAAGAGAATGGTTGAAATCGTTGGTTTGGCTGCACGGAGTAACCACAAGAAACCAAAATGAACTCTCTATGATCCTAATATCCATTCCATACCGGTTACATAGAGTTGGTTATCCATGTCACGATTTTATTCTCTCATGTCACGTTGTGTACTTGTACCGGATTACAAATGGCTGAACCAAGTTCCCACATCCTTGTCCTTACCATTACGGTATACATCTAAGCAGCTTTTGAGTGTAAACCAAAGTCAAAGGCCTATCTCCATTGCCTATTAGCATATAACATCGTTGCTATACAGGAAACTTTTCTAAGTTATAGTTTACCCGCCAGAGGCCGGCCGAGCTTAAACTCCAGTAGAGAACTCCATACAACAGCCGAAGGCTTTCTCTTCACAAGCAGATAACCAGTATCACGTCATATAACTGCCGTTATTTAGGCAGGTTGTTGCTTACAGCAGTTTTAGCATCCATTCTTTAGAACGTTACACGCAGAGAAGATGACTTACCTCGTATTGAAAGTTGCGGCACGTATATGGCTTACAACAGCTAGAATCGAGCAATCCGCATTTTGCGCCCTATAATCTCGCACTGATTAACACGTTATTTCCAAGGATACGTTTGCGTAGTTCATAGGCCTGACCTTTTACAGACATTTTCCCCCGACAAGAGCCGCGCTGGCCAGAAGCACTATATACGCAAGATTGAACTTCATGTTTTTCTTTGACAATATAATGGTGCGTCTTTATCAAAACTCTACTTAAAGATGCCACTGAAAGGGACGAAAACAGGCTTTTTATAGTCTTCAGTGCTGGCAGCATGCTACATTTAGCCTTACTCATAGGAATTCTACATGACTCCAACCACGTGTTTCACAGCATGAGCGAGCTATCTATTACTTATACAGCATTCATCTTCTGGGGATCACAAACGTAAAATGCCAAGGAAGAATGTTGCTCGTTTCGTCATTTCATAAGGACACTATCCTATCTTGCTTAGACCATGAATAGCTGATTGCTCAAGCTCTACAGACAGCTATGGGGGCATATAAGCCGTTTCTTGCATACCCAAAGTTACACAACCATTCATAACTCCCTCTTTCGTTTTATGTTAACGCGCCATATGAAATACAAGATGGAGCTACCTAAGCTCAGATCTCCAACAGCTTTGGTCTGTTGCCAATGATTAGACAAATTTGCAAAGAGACTGAGAGACATCATAGTGGGATCCGGAAACAAAAGGATAAAGGAAGAAAAGAACAATATAGGGTAATAATGACACTAAAATGTGAACTAATACTGAAACTGTGCGATGATGATGAGCCACGTGTACCTAGAGCAAATAGAGACGATCTGAGGAGAATCTATGAGCACTTTTCACGAAATCTTCTAATTCTTGGCATCTCTCGTGTAGGTGATGCCGGCTCCATGTCCCACATCGTCGATGGACTGGTTGGCTATACGGCCTTTAAACATCTAAATCTTATCGTGAATACTCATGAACATAATGAAGATACTTTGTATCGTTGGTTGCGCAAAATATTTGCTGATCTCAATGACTGATCGTCTGCAGCCCAGTCAGTCATAAACAATATTCTGTAGGACACAAGTCTGCGAGATTTCGAAGATGAAAAGACTGCCACAGGCTATACACAGTCCTTATGCTACTCATCTCAGCTTACTCAGATAGAGAGGACACACAGTCTGCCAAAGCGGGGTCACTTCGTCAATAGAGCGACGGCGACGGCCCGGGCGATGAGCCGAGCTTGAATCTTGCTTTGGACAATCAGACAACCTTGGATGCAGAGACGGCAAAAATCATATGTAAGAGCATATTCACAGCACATTCACAGCATATATTTGCTCTATATTTATCATGCATGTCATGGTCATGTATGTCGCCACCGTCGCCGAACCTCTCCGAGCTAACGTATACCAGAAGTAATATCAAGTTAGCTACTAGTATATCTCTCTTATTTGTTCTTTTCTTTCATAAATCTCCTTTTGACAAGTATGTTGCCTTCAACAACATCATTTACTTTATAGTTTGTTTCTTCCGCCACCGAGTGAACAATATCATCCATCAGCAACAAGGACTTGTCGTAAAACTCATCAAACACTGTCTGACCTTGTGCCATGATTTCGTCAATTTCCCTTTCAGTGTCCGACACGATTTTAACTATAGCAATAAACTCGCCAGTAAACCTTGTTTCTCCAGGCATCCTACGCCTAGTCCCACGAAGGCTAACTTTAACAGATCTCAGCTTCTCAATTATTTCGGCCTTGAAGCTATGATGATATTCGTTTAGAGCAAGGCCAACATTGCCTAGACGTAGAAATGGGGTAAGTCAACGCGATCCTTCACTTATATAGCTTTATGTCGAGAATAACAAAGTGTGGTCCGGAAAGCGATAGGATTAGCCAGACTTACTGAAACCTATCTGTCGAGCGTTGCCTTGATGCATTTTTAAAGAATCCTCTAGCTTCTGAAGAGCATTTTGTAGATCTTTGATCTCTTGCTTCCATAACACAAGTACAGCTAAGTCCTTAGGAATCTGTAGACGAGCTTCTTCAACATCTCTTAAAAGCTGAGCGCAGCTCTGTTCAGTATCATTCATTGCAGATTCGGAGGTTTGGGACGAGTTCGAGTTGGCTGTGTCCCACGAGGAACCGGATTCATCCGATCGGACTGAACCCGTCTCATCAAGTGATTGTTGCCCCTGAAGCGTGTCGTGTTGGCGCACGCGTTTCTTAAAGATCATGTGAAAGAGCCTTCTTCGGAGTCCAAACTTTGCCACGCGCTGTTGTTCCTGCACTTTGATACGTTTACTTTCATCAAATTCGAGTGTGAAGAGTGCGCGTCCCGTGCGCAGCAAGTCTTCCTTGATCCAGTTTCTGAGCTCTTCTGCATCCTGTGTAATTCGCTCGACTTCGTATGAAAGCTGTCCAGTTGTGAAGTTTACCAGATAAGGACGGCAAGCGTGTCTATACCAAAGACTAAGGTCAATCGCTGGGGAGTCGTCTTCATAATCAGCGTCTGCGCGAATGTCCAAAGCCTCCAACTGGACATTGGCCAGAGACTCTTGGCGTTTCACTGCTGGAGCATTGTGCAAAAGAAAGCGAACCTCTCGTATTGGGTTTTGGGGTTCTGGTAGAAGTCGCTGATGTTCTCTTGGGCCGCCTTCTCCGCTGGTCGTGTCTGGCGGTGCTTGAAGGCTACATGTGTGTTCGGGAGGTGCTTGGCCGATCATTGTTACGTAACATTGACGATTTCAAGATGCTGATGCCTAATGAAAAACTCATAAAGTGTAATAGAGATGAGGCCTACTATAGTGAGAATATGCCTCTGAGGTTTATAGTTTGCAAACTTTGGTGCCCTACAGCCTTGCCTTTCTACCCATGATGATTTGGGCACTGATGCATATACGTATGTAACATACCCCGCCTGTGCCGCATCAAAGAACGAACCAGATGCACGCTCTTTCAATTTATGGATACATGTAGTCCCGTGTACCGTATATAGGCTCTTGCCTACAAGGCAACCTCAGCCCTAGCATCGGGCACTCATTGCACTGCTATCGGAACTCCAACATGAACGATTTCCGTGTTGAGCAAGGCCCCGAAAACCTCTATGGCCAGGAACTCACAGACTACATCGCTCAGTCAATCAAAGATGAAGAAGTTTTTCACTATTTCGGGTTCGAGTACTTGCATCGCCTGAACATTGTCTCTCTGCAGAACCAGCTGATTACGCTGAGAGAGTCAATCGCAGCAGGGACTCATAATCGCGATCAAGATCCAGATAGGCTGAAACGTCTTCTCTCGGACTACAGTAAGTCCCCAAGGGACTTCTTTGGACTTCGATTTGACCCTTTCATTTCTACGATCCGTCTAACAAGAAAAACCATTTACAGCCAATGCAATACGGAACTATAATTACGTTCGACAAGGGCAGCGAATATCTGCATATGAGACTGAAACAAGGAAAATGCGCCTGAAGTCGATGTTCCCGTCCATGGTCCTGAGACAACGGAAGACTCGGCCCTTTGAATCCCATTATTACTATCTCCAAGACGGAAATTCGGATTCAAAAGTCGAGTTCTTCCGCGACTTTTTGAGGAGGCATCTGCCCCGTAGGTGGACGTATAACAAGGAGGAGCGACAACACCGGCTTCAAGAGTATCAGCAGGGCAAAGTACCGTTACAGATTTCCAAGAGAGTGGACAAGACGGTAAGACTTGGGGTTTCCCTTCTTGCTGTAGCATCGTTGGTAACTCCCATGTGTATCATGATATTGAACCCGTCGATGACCAAGAGCTTGATTACTTCGTCGCTGTTCATGGTAGCTTTTGCGGTGGGCATCTCATTCGGGATGAAGACGTCAAACTCTGAGACTCTTGTGGCTACGGCGACATACTCGGCTGTTCTAGTCGTTTTTGTCGGTACGAATTCGGGATCTTCGTCGGCGACATCCTAATGTTGAAGGAATTAGATATATTCGCTTCCTATCCGTCTCAAATTTCTCTCTCGCGACTAACAATCTATTTTATATGCTCTGGTATTATTTGTATACTGTTATGGCTTTGTCTTTCTTTTTTCACTCGAGTTTAAGCATACTGGCGTAGGCTTTCTTATTTCCTTTATGCCGTAAAAAGCGCAACTATCAAATGCTGGATTCATAGTATATTATATACAAGGAATTATCATATCGGAACCACTATCTTCGTGGCACTAACACCGGCCTTCAATTTATCCAGCGCAGAGTTTAAACCCTCCAAACCACCAGCCTCAACCTGAATGGGCGGACTAGGAACAACGGTATTCGATTTGAGGCCCTCTGCTAGCCATCCATTGAAGCACTGGTACATATGCTTGTCCCTAACGGTCGTGTCTCCTCCCGCGAAAGACAAGACCGGCGGGAAATTGAACAAGATTGTAGTATTGTCAAGAGTGGGATGATCTTGGGGAAGATTAGGAGAATGTGCAACTTTGGCCGGAGCATCGCCTTTGGTCTCCATGAGGACATCCAGCGTTGGCTGTAGACTATCCTCGACGACGCAGTGTGCGGTGTTGAGCCTGACGCCATCTTTCTGAGTCTGACGAACAATCTGGGAGACCACATCGCTATCTTTGTAGTTGAAGACGGCGTGTGCTCCGAGTTTCTTCATGTACTCGTGGTTCTGAGAGCTGGCAGTTACATAGACGGTAAAACCCAGCATTCTAGCCGATTGAACAGCAAAAGTGCCGACACTGCTCGCGCCACCCCAGATTAAAACTGCCTGCTTGTCCTGCGGTGTATACCGAGTATCGAGCGAGATGCCAATTGTTGTCCATGCCGTCAGGGCAGTCATAACAGCCAAAGGGAAAACAGCACCTTGTTCAAACGAAAGGTTGTCTGGGATCGCAACAACGCCTTCGGCCTGAGCCAAGACAAGTTTCTGAAAGGCTCCATAATCTGGCAAGCCATCATGGTAGAAGTTTGAGGCAAAAGCGATAACTCGTGTGCCTGGGACAAGGCCCGTTGACACGCCGGGGCCTACCTTGGCGACGATACCAGCCACATCGGATCCGATGACCGTGGGATAACTGGGTATAGGAGGGAAGCCGGTGTCCCGTTGGTGCCAGTCGACAGGATTTAGGGCCACAGCCTTGACTTCAATAAGGAGCTCATTCGGACCAGGCTCTGGGGTATTGCGTTCTGCGACTATAAATGGGCCACCCCTTTGAGGGAGAATAGCAGCGTCGTGGGTTTGAGTCATGGTTAGACGAGCTTTATTAAAGTCGATACAGAGAATTGCACGCAAATCATTCAGCCTTTATTGTCAATTGAAGTGCTATTTAAGTATGTATTTGATCTGGGCAACCAGGCGACTCCTTCCGGCTTTTAGACCATGGGGTCCTACTATCTCCGTCATAGATTGTCCTAGCCCCGAGCTGTTCTATGAGTACTATTTTGCAACGTTTAATATGTAAAACTATAGTTTTTAATTGTTTACTTCAACACGGAGTTTATTGTAAACGCCGAGCAAGGTGTATATAGTTTATACTCTAAATGTGTCACCGTAAATCCTTCCAGGTTGCCTACCTATCATAAAGCATCCATGTACAGTTCTTTTGTGCCGGCTCATGGGGCATTAGCCTTCAAAGAGAGTTTCTCGTGACTAGAAGCGAATCAGATGAAGAATGCATGCTGTGAAAAAAAAAACCGCCTTATGGTTCAGCGTCGCTGGCGAGTGGCCTTAAACAGCCAATACAAACAATAAGGATGGGCCTATGAAGCTAATGATACTAAAAATCCCATAGCTAGAACCATCGTTAATATCCCTATATACGAGCGTGATAAATCACTTTTCGATAATGGCTCTCTTTATTTTGCTTGCATAGCTTACACTGCTATTAATTACCTAGTTCGCAAGGAGCCAGTGTAAAAGTTGGCGACGATAGGACATCACGCACACACCACGTTTCCTTCTTGTGGATAGTACCAAAAACGCCATTTCCGCTTACAAAGACGTTTAATGATCCCAATTGATGTTGTCCACTCTATTTGCGCTTCAAATGTTAGACATACTGGTTGCTACGTGTTAGTATCTTCTCTTGGGCGTCTTCCGACGAGGCTTGACCACCTGTAGGACCAAATCGCAGCCCGAGAGCGAGATCTCAGGCAAATAAATCGTATACACGTGTCTTTGTATCGTATCAATTCTAACTCGTTGCGAATTATCGTAAATGTGGAGATTTATATGCACGATAACGCTTGTGCGGCTTCACGATAATGCTTGAGCCACCCTATCATAGTGTCAGGTGTATCGACCGGGAAACTCTTCACCGAGAGCTCTCATCATTGGCTACGAAGAATACTGTAGAGTACGAGTCGGGGAGTATTAAATCCCCTCAATTAACCACTACGGGATATTCTTTTTGTTTTCCATGAAGCACCTAGGTCATCTCGAGAAGCGGTCAGCCCATCAAGCGACATCGAATCTCAGCGTTCTGAAGACGATTTTAATTCGAGCAAAGGCAGAACCGGTGGTTTGGAGGATGCGAGATACCATGGAAACTGCACGAACCGCACGTAAGACTCGCAATTAAGGAGAAAGAGGCCTTGGAAAACACCTTGGAAAAGGCAATGGGAACAAAGCTACCTTACTGGAAGGTCCAAAATATTGCTGCGCTATCTGGAAATTTATGGACATTGGACTCGAAGCAACTGGCCATTGCCAAAGAAAAAGGCATCATTACAGACTTGCCAAACATTAAGACGGCAGAAATCGACGACAAGAACAAATCAGACGCTTTAGTAAAGGTCCTGGCTGTGATGCAAGTCGTCTGGATGATCATTCAGCTCTGTGCCCGAGTATACTACCGTCATCCGTTCGCGCCGCTGGAGCTCGGCACTGTCACCTTCTCAGCTACGGCAATCATCTTGTACATCGTTGAATGGGATAAACCAAAGGATGTCAACACGCCATTTTATGTAAAGGCCGCTTCATCTCCCGTTTCCGAAGATGCATTCAAGGCAATTGTCGAAGCCGCTCCATTTCCATACATGCAGTTTCCACTCGTACAATACAAGCATTATTACATGCCTAGTGTTGCTTTTCATGAGACCTATGGGAGTCTAAAGGTTATTGACGCAAAGTCGTTTGTTGTTGCAATGATCACCGTTGTGTCTTTTGGCGGCATTCATCTACTAGCATGGGATCTCCAGTTTCCCACTCCCGTGGAGGGCTTGCTATGGAAGATATCTGCCATCATGACTATTGCGTGCCCTGCTTTTTACGGTAGCAGTCATTTGCCGTGGTGGGAAAGAATCCAAAAGGACGCAACGGCAAGAGAAAGGTTCCTGATAAATGGCGTCGCTGGGTTTACATCTTTCTTCTACTTCTTCGCTCGCTTGTTCCTGATTACGGAGAGCATTCGGTCGCTGTATTATTTGCCACGAGGGGCTTACATTGCTACTTGGACTGCTGATTTCCCACACCTATCATGAGGTGGTGATCGAGAGGTCATCAATTATGAGTGTCTTATCTTATTGTTGACTTAATGAAGAACACGACAAAGCAGGGAGGCTTTCCATGAGAGTGGGAGAAAGCAGCATCGGAAAAGAAACTAGGCATTCATTTGGATATTGTGCAGGATAATTACTGATGTGGCTGATGAAAAAAAAAACGCGGTTACAGCTCAATGTGAATGATGAGCACATATCGCTACAGATGAAGAATAAAGACCTCGTTCGATTTCTCTCCAATGCTACATGTGCATGTACTCGCTCAGCAGATTGACCGTCATGAGCTTCAAGCTCAACTGACGTGAGGTGCGGCGCTTGCATTGGGTGAAAAGCGCCTTGGTCCCAAAAAGCAGCGCATAGCGTCCCCTGAAGTATAGTGATCGAGCCGCTATAAAACGGCAGTCCCACATCACGTATAGACGGAAAAAGGCGGGGATCACGTCAGCTCAGGTCAAACTCATGTCGGATGAATTTTAAAGCTCCTGCCAGATAAGCTCAAGACATACATCAGTTGAGATGTATCAATAAATACTCACTGCCACCCAAGAACTAATATTGTATTAGCAATGCATCGACTCAAATGGTCGCAATATGTGGTGCCTGTAACTTCTTGGATGGAGAGATTCAAGCTGCTAACTCGCGATGGGCCAATAACAGCGCCTGTTCTCTTTATCCATGTACCCTACATCAAACGCTGCTCTGAAGAAATAAAGTTCTCTGTACTATCTCAGGACACTTAGGAGCTGCAAAACGCAAATCAAGTAAGCTTAAGAAGATAAAGGAATCATCATCGACATTTATTTTACTATTCAGGCTTTGATTATTAAAAATGCATAAAAATTTCGAGCACTAAACACTTTATGTCATCCAATGTTTACAAAGCCATCACCACCCTAAGACACCTGTCACACCAATCTGTGCCATTAATTTTCATTCACTCCAATTTCAGACGACTAGAATCATTTCATTCTCATTTGATTAGATATTCTTCACCTTTGACGTCTGGAATAACTTTCGAGGGAGAATGTAGTCCGAGTGATGAGTAAGGCACGGCGCATAAAGATTGCTGATCATCAGATCCACACATAATATCTCAGCAACGTCTCAAAAGCTTATCGTCCATGGTTAATTCAAAGTTAAAATCCAAGTCTAATTTGTCCAACGGGTCAACGTCCATAAGTATAAATTTTTTTTTTGCTCGTTACCAATGCACATTGCTTCTAATATTCAATTACTTGGAGCTTCGGTATATTATAAAGGCCACAACCCTGCTGTCAAATCTCACATTTTTCTGCTGCATCTCACCAACCCCGGGTAATGCTGCCCGAAAAGGCAAAATATCGCTACGCTACTTACACCCACACCGCAACCCAATATCTACAACCTGATTAGCGTCATCTGTCAGATATTGCGACCCAAAAATCCGAAGTTCCGAATCCCGCAGTGATGTTGGAGAGACATGCGATGCAGCGCCACGGACAAGGTAGAAAAATATACGATGAATCTTTCATGGCAGGGATGCCCGAATATGGCTGGTACGATCTCGATGACTAAGCGATAAGACTACGTGAGCGATAAGCGTTGACAGGTGCAGCTACAGCGAGCAGAAAAGATGTACAAACGTCACTCAATTATCCAACGGTTCTACCAAAACGTTTCTCGTTTGGCGTTGACCTTTGATCATGTAAACATCACCATACAGCATCCATGCTATTTCGCAGGCTCTCAGGAGGCAAGGCTAACTGCTCACTTTGATAACAGGCGATCCTTTCAAACGAATCCACATCCATACAACAATTTCCGCGCGCCTCAGCCGAGCAAAAGCAAGCCAGCGCTTTAGCATCTGCCAAAACGGCATGGCCTAGGAACGCAGATGTGCCACAGGAACCACCAAGATTGTGGCGCCTCCATTTTGGCCAATCTCGTGGCCTTCACCAACTCGCTAATCTGGGGTCTTTGGCGTCGGTGAATCCCTCCATGCCCATCAGGTCGTATTGCAGACCCCCAGTGCGGAATACGGATCGCTCGGCATCGATGCGGCTCTTGCAAAGTCCCCTGTGCAGCTCTGTTGCGGCATGGGGGACTTTTGGATATGGAAATCAGTCAATGTACGTATCCACTGGCGATGGAGCCCTTTTTTTCAGCTGGCCCAGTTGGGCAACGGTCGAAGCAATCCAAGGCTGACTTCAATGGCCGTGCCATAGGCAGCCGAAATGACAGGAAGGGCGTGTCTCCTCTGTTTGTAGGTGGCCAGCCGTGGTGTTTGGATTCTACTTTTTAAGCTTCTTTTCCCGTTTCTTCCTTTCTCTTTCTGATTCATCTGCTCGCACGAGTGTCGAGAACAATAATAACTAATACATCATGCTGCGCCTAGCATTGCTCCCTCTGTTTTCCACTGCGGTTTTTGCCGCTACAGCGCCCACGTTGACCAGCACTGGGTGTGCTGATTCTTCTGGTTTCGAAAGCTGTCAAAAAAAGGCAAATGACAATTTGAGCTCATGCATCGCCCAAGCAAAGAAGGACAATAGCCAACAGGAGATCTTGGGTTGCGGCTGCCAGAACTATGTTGATAACTACAACTGCTATTCCGCCTTCTGCTGGAACCGAGTCTGGGAGTGCGAATACCAAGACTACATCATCGACTATTTCCTCGAGTGCCCCATTGCCAAGCTGCCAGTGCCATATTTCCCGGCCCCCGACAAGGCTGAAGATGCGTGCTCTTGCAACCTAGGCAAGGTCTTCCTCGCCGTCCAGGACGCCATCAAAGAAACAGCAACATGTTCAAATAACGCAAATGGGCCCGATGCCGGCAACAATCTGCAGCAGATTCAGGGATGCGATTGCTGTGAGATCAGCGGAGCTCTGTCATCGTGAGCATCTCAATCTCTTTCTATCTGTCACTCAATACTAACCACGAACCTTTACTCAGATTCTATAACATCTGCCCCGACACTAACCCTACGCTGATTGGGCTCTCCAATATTTCTCAACTCGAATCACAGCTCAATACTCCTTTTGATTCTTGCGGCAGCTACTTGGACACATACGACTGCATTTCCGACCTCGGCTACTCTCTCGACGGAGTCAGCACCTACTATAAGCCAACCAATCTTCCCAAGAGTGGAACGGCTACACTTAGCAATGCTGCGGGAACCGTAACAGCTCCTGCTAGTGGATCTGTGTTTACGTATACGAACGGCGGTGATGGAACTGTTTATACTATTACTGCAGCAGGCGTGAAGGACTCTAGCTCTGGGTCCGGGTCCGGCTCTGGCTCTGGTTCTGGCTCTGGCTCTGGCTCTGGCTCTGATAGCTCACAGACCACAGCTTCTGGCGACGCAGCAGCCAACACCGGAAGCGCGACACAAGGTAGCACCACTGCTGCCAGCCCTACCAAGACTGGATCCTCCAAGAACGGTGCCGCAGTGGCTTCTGCAAGCTTCTACTTGGTCGCAGCTGCGATTGTTATGCCCTTTCTCTCATATTTTTAGACATTTCATACATATTTAATAGATCAGAAAGACAGCCTTTAATAACCAAGACATGGCAGCAAAGATCCACGTTGAGGCGCAGGCCCATATTGTGCGGATTGTGAATTAAGTAGAATTATTATGGTGGAAATGAATCAAAGTCAGACTCAGGATGCTCTCAAGCGTGAGCGTTTACTCTGAACGGAGGTCTAGGACTCCATGAAGTCTATGCATACTTCTCTAGCTGTGCTAGCAGCGCTGGCCAGATATGACTTGGCTGATCACCAAGCAGCCAAAAGTTTCCCTCTAGGTCTCTGCCCATAATCACCACGACGTTTGTAGTGAAGAGGCCACTATCCATGCTCTGACAATGATAATAAACGGGATGCCCTGGCTTCCCTCGATGGCGACCACTCTCCGGGCTCTTGACGATTGCCGGACTAAAGTCCACCTTTTCCAGAAACGCAGCTTTGCTCCAGTTGGACGACACCAGCAGACGCGTATTGTGCTCTCCGAAGATGGGAGGATTCCCAGTGGCCGCCATGGCTTTTGCTGCTAACGCGGCTACAGCCTTCATCTGCTCCTCCGTAACCAGCGACTGAAGGGCCTCTCGTCCGTCAAGCGCCAGTTCGCTAATGCTCTTGTCCACTGCTTCTTGGCTGCTGTAGAAAACAAAGGCCACACCAGGGGCATTGCAGACATACGCGGCGTTTTGGTCGAAAACCGACTTGACGCGGCTGCGAGGGTCAACAGCCTGCAGGACGGTAATGGGGCGGCTTGGGGATAAACTTTGAGCGGTTGCCTTTGTGGCCAATGCTACGACAATGTCATTCTCACTGATGAATCGAGGCGAAGTTCCATTGTTACTGGAGTCCATGCTTTGTGGCACCTGGTCTCTGGCCGCCTGAACAAATGCATCCATCGTCTTCTTGGGAACGCAAAGCAACTTGGAATCGATGGGGGAGTTCCACCAGGACTCGAATACGAGCCGCAATCCGAATGCTGCAAGCTTCCAGCCCGAAAGCTGCCTGTCGGCCAGCAGATACTTTTCCGTTGTCTGTGCCTTGTAGAGACCGGCCATGGAGTCTTCATAGAGGCCCTTGAACGGGGGCACCGCTTCTGGCTTTCCGGCCAGGACAAGCTGCCACGCATTCATAATGGCCATGAGCCCGGCGAGGTCGCTGGTTAGATGATTGAAGCTGACGGAGACCAAGGTTCCATCGGTGAAGTTGACCACGTGAAGGGCGAATTGCGGATGATCGGAGTAGAGGTAGTCGTCAAAACATGTTGGCGATCCGGGTCCAAGGCCCAGCGACTTATAGTTGCGAGGACTGGGGAACGTTGTTGGCTTCAAGCCGTCTGGAGCACTGGGCCATTTGGATGCTTCGGGATGTTCCGACATGCGCACGTCGAATTTGGCCTTTGTAAAGTACAGCGGCGGCCGCTCCTCTGTAAAGGGGCAGGGGATGTGAATCTCGGTCGATCCATCAGGCTGATTGATCTCATTAGCTGATGTTTAAAGTTATTAACACACAAAACAGCGAGCTGTTGTTTACCCTGCGCCGAAGCCGCCCGCCCAGCTTCCGCCATCCTTCCATCTGAAAGAGCTCAGAAAGCGAACTGCCCAGCTTGTCGGCATCGAGAACCTCGTCAAATTTGAAGGTCCACATCATGGTGATTCCCCGCAGCGTGTCTGTGTCGTCAAAGAGGTGCACCGGCACGACCTCATCTGTGGGAACAATTGGCGGCGCGAATCTCCTGGGCCCGAAGCCTAAGAGGCTGAAGAGGTAGGACGCCATGTCGTGATACTGCTGAAATTGCCAATTGAAGTCCAATTGATGATGTGAATTTTAGAATGAGCAGGAAACGCGGTTCACGGGTTTAAAGATGCATCCCTGACTGAAATCCTTCAGCGTGGTGAATTGGGCTTGTCTATTTTTAGTGAAGCGCTGCCCCACGCAAGCCAGCTCTAGTTGGTTGAGATTCGGCAGAGGTGAGAATATAGCACGAATTAGTGTTAAACAGAGCAAGTACTGGAAGATGGTGCAACATCGACAAGATAGATTGATATGGACAGCAAACGGATAGATTGTTGGTACATCGCTTGGGAAACGATACATGACTTGTGATTGTGTTTCATTAGATTGATGCTTGGTATATTGGCTGAGGAAGAATATGGCAAGGATGATGGCGCGGAAGCCAAAGCTCTGCGTTATGTAAGCTCGGAAAGTTTAATGAGACTCGACATCAATTGCATAATCATGGAGGTTTGGCTAAATATTGTCTAGGACCGCGATATGGCAAGAGGATTGACAGAAGAATGCAAGGAATGGTATTAACGATAACATCAAAGAAGAAGGCCACAGTTGAATGCCTACATCAAAGCAATTGCCCGTCTTGTATAGCTGCTGCGCTGACTTTGACGCAATTCCGCATTGAAAGATTCCACGACACTACTCTCCAAGAGCAAACGTTATGTCTACAAGATATATTATATCTACTTGATCTATTACATCTATCAAATCTACTACTTCCAATAGATTCTACTACTTTTATTATTCTTTTTTGGACATGACTTCGCTTCTTGTGGCCTTTTTTCTCCAGGCATCTATTCATTTTCAATCTATCATTCTTGATGCACTTGGTCAAAGTACATATCTTCTTCTTCTTCTTCTTCCTCACTGTTTTCAGTTCCGTCGATCTGAGCCAGATAATCATTCCCAAAAGGCATTGTCGATATCTAAGAGGCATAAGCACATTCTATCAATCTTGAATGGAGAGAATCATCCTCGTCTTCGTCTTTAGAAGGATTTTCGGCTGCAAATACGGCCGCTTCCTCTTTGGTCAGATGGCCGACGCGATGGGAAATTATCCGAAGAGTTGAAGTGTGAAAATAAATGCCCAGCGTTGCCCAGGCCTCTCCTGGGCCATCGACGACGCAACTCCGCCACCAACCGGGGACCTCGTGGCGTTGTCTCCGTAGTATACTCATACAAAACGCAAAGTACAAGTATCGGCAAGAGGGGCGAAAGCTGTTCCGGAACTGCAACGAGCGCCCATGAAGTTCGCGACCGAATGGCACCGCTTTAGACGGTTTATGGGTAGCGGGGTCGTCGAGGCAATATACTTTCCAACAGCCTCTCTCTTGGTCTCCATCAGGTACAATGACGAGACGTGCATCATCAAATGCCTTTTCATACATCTCGTACATTGGTATGCCGTTTTGATCCGACATCAAGTGGCCATCCTTGTCACTGGGCGGCCCAAATAAGTGCCACGCAGAAGGTTCGCCCACATTGTACCTAACAATATGGGCTGTCTTCACAGTGGATGCCGGGAAGTATTTGCCAGAGATTACACACCACTGCATATCCGTGTCTACTGCATCATATGCCTTCAAGACCTTCTTTCGAAACCTTTCTTGGGCGCTTGGATCTCTGGAAGCAAACAAAGACAGCTTTGCTCCTTCAGGTGTCTTGTAGCGGCTAATGAGAAGATCTAGATAGGCCCAATCCGTGTTCTGACCATCTTTTTGCCAAATCATGTCATCCATCAGTCTGCCGCCGAGCTCGTGGCGAGATGTCCGGATAACGATGGTATCTCCTCTCAAGGCCGTGATTTGGCGTTCCAGCTTCTCAATCTCGGGCTGGAACGTCTCCCGCGTGACGAAGAGGTTCCCTGCTAGCCGTTCTCTGTTAAGAACGGCGACGGCCTTTTCGGATGCGGCTAGCTCCTTCTCCTTGGCTTGGAGCAGGGCCTCGATGAAGGATTCCGCAGTATCTCGGTCTTTTTGCATTGCCTATTGCTTTGCTGGAGGGGGAAGGGCATCCGTGTACAAGTTGCGGAGCTGCGAGGTGTTGCGCTTTGCATCATGCAGGCACTCGAATGCCTCTCGGACTCGTTGCGGTGCTTCCGAGAGCCCAAGGTTATTCGTGTGCGTATTATATCTCGGCATTTTGGCTTGAAGGGGGAACAACAGTGTTGAAGGGGGGAGAAGAACTCTCGAATCTGTGAGTATGGATAGATGGACAATTCCAAAAGTAAGGGAGCAGAAAGACAGCAAAGACTGCCCTTGTACGTTCCAGGCTTGCTTTATATAAAGTGGGATTTGACTTCAACATCGAGCTTGATTTCCGCCACATCGAAAAGGTTATAACGTGTGAACAAGGTACATACCTACCTACCTACCTATAAAAATCCACCTATCTGCCCGTCTCAATACCTTAGGCATTCATTCATCTCACAAAGTTCAACCCTTCCTCCGTATAAGATTGCTACCTGTCAATATCACCGCTGCCTTTGCACCCAGGTCCAATATGTCGACTCCTACCTCGCTCATTGCTGAATTTACAGCGATACTAGAGCTACTAGAATCTCTACCTCTGACCGACATACTGCATACACTGGATCTATTGTATCTACAAGAAGAACTAGATCTAGAAGATCTACAATGTCTGCTAGATCTTCTACAATAGCTAGATCTACTACTTCTATTAGGTCTACTACATCCACTTGGTCTATTACATTTACTACACCTAGTAGACCTGCTATATCTACTATGCAACGCAATCTGACGTCTGTTATCGCTACTACGGCTAATTTGGCCGTTTGGTATATCCCGAGACTTTGGAGCCTTCTGTCCTCGACTGGCAGCTCGCGTATGTGAAGCTGGCAACCGGCTCAGTGAATAAAGTGTCGAGACGAACATCTGGTTTTGGTGAAAGTACGGAGAACTGGAGGGCTTAGTACATGGGATTAGGACATTACCTCGCCTCAGTATCGCAGCTATCATGGCTATGATGCCATCAATAGCCACAGCGTCTACCACAGCTACGACCATGGTGGCAGAAATGGAAATCGTCGCAAGATTGATGTGTATAAAGCTGTATATATCTTCTGACTAGTCTTGTTTTCTCAATATTTTCGCAAGGAAATTTAAGCCCAGATCGGCAGCTGTTTTGAAAATGTCCCTGCCTCCATCTTCGTCATCCTGTACATCTTCGTGTACATTTTCATCCACATCAACCCATTTCTCTCCCAGCTCATCTTCATCGTCTATACCCTCCCATTCCTCGCTATCCTCCCCTTGAACCACGATTTGGCCGTCAATCTCAATCTCAATCGCATCCATACTATCGTGAGACTCCTCAGATAACGGCGACATGGTTCGTGGCGCACTCGGGCCATCAGAGACATCCGCCAGAAAAGCGTCCATGGTCTCGTCATCTACAGTCCCAAACACTTGGCCCTCACCAGAGTCATCTTTAAGAGCTTTGCGTCGGCGATCCAAGTTGTAGCGATCCAAGCAAAGCTCCTCATCCGCGGTATCAAGGTGTCCGGCGTCATGTTCCTCATGGAGGATGCCGATGAGCTTTTCCACCACAGATAGCTCCTTTTTTCTGTTGTGCAGGGCATTTTTGATGGTGGATTGCACGCCGGTTTGATGTTCCATCGTCAAAGGGCGCACTTCAGCGCGCAGGTCCGCAACTATTCGATCGACTCGCCGCAACACCTCCGGTCGAAGCTTGCCTCGGAGATTGGGAAGCGTCAATATCGCTGAGTAACTCATCTCGACAACTTGTAGTGGTATTAAGAGCTGATAGTATGAAGATGTGTTTTGGCTCGGATGTACTAAAAGATGAAAGGTGCAGTGAAAGGTGCAGTGAGGACTAGGTGATGAAGCAGTTGTATCCTAGGTATTATATAGCTATATGAGTGGATTTGGACTTTTTTGTTTGACTCTACGCCGTTTGGTTATACATCGCTTGTATATACATCGTTTGGCGTTTGACTCTGCGTCGTTTGACTGTACGCTCTTGGTGGGCTGTACGCATAATATTTGTTGAGAACTGAGAACTCCAATGACTTCCTAGGAAGAGTGGAAATAGGTTCAAAGGCCTAACTTTATAAATATGGGCGTATAACTACATTGCATCCGCCTATACTTTTCACGATCCTTGTTTTCTCACAGCCTTGGACTGCCTCAAAGTCAAAAAAAAAAAAATCCACACGCAGATTCAATATGGACATGAAACCCGCGATGAGGCGTTTTGGAGGAGGACTCTCGGTCAGATACAACAGGCGTATAAGGCGTACGGTGGCGACTGGAAGAGTCATCTTGGAAATACTAAAGAAGAAAGTCTCCAACGCCTCGTAGATTATTCAGCGTCCTCTGGTCCAGTCCTCAAGGTTCTCAAGCTGAAGAGTGCGTGTCCGTCCCGATGATGGCAGTAAGGATGCTCCTAGATGTCTATACTAACTTCTCGTTTACAGAACCTAATACCTACTGGCTACCTTGTGGAGAGATTAGGCATTCGAAAAGTCACGAGAAAAAAGCCAAAAGTAAATCTCTAGCCGAAGGGGCTGAGGCGCATCTTGGCCTGTATCGAGAAGCGTCGCAGCTTTCCTAAGGGATAGTAATATCCTTAATAAATTCGTGGAACTAGTTGTATCTTGGTATATGCCTAGCTATAGGGGAGAAAAGATGAGAGACTACAGATCGAAGTGTACAGTCCTCTTGGTTTATGGAGAGACAACAGTCTGCATGTTCCAGTCACGGTTCCAATTACAGGTCTAAATCCATATTCAGAGATGGTTCGGTTACCTATGAGAAGGACGAAGCTAATATGCATATTATTGTTTTCTATCTTACCGGCAAGTGCGTATGCTTTTGATGATGAAAGAAGAAGAAGCAACCCAGATATCAAGTAAAAGCTCAAATATTTCTTTCCATCTCAATGCCCCTTTTACTCCTCCTCGCCAACATCAAACTCATCCGATTCTTCATCGTCGGCATCACCCCCTCGTAGTCGCCGAGTATATCCTCATAGCCCTGGATATACTGCCCAAGCTTCGTCCAATTTGTAGCCTGGTTTGGAGATGGCTGCATACCCGCCACGCAACAAAGATCCGCGTAGAAGCTGTCCTTTTCCTCAGCTCGTCTGTCACCATCAGAAGGCTCAGCTATGGGGCCGTTGCCTGCCTCAACGACAAACTGAGCGGCCTCTCCTTCGGTCAAACGGCCCACTCTTTGTGCAATTCTTCGAAGCGTAGACTGCCGAAGGTAAGGTCCCGAAGCGGCCGCTGCCCAAGCCTCCCCAGGACCGCTGGCCAAATAGGCTCGCCACCAGCCAGAAGCTTCATGGCGTTGACGCCAAAGGACGTTCATGCAAAAGGCAAAGAACAGATACCGAGTATTGGGTCGGAAGTCGTTTCGAAACTCTAATGAGCGTCCGTGAAGCTCAGAGCCTAACGGCATGAACTGAGATGAATCCTGGGCATCGGCCTCATAGAGGTTGTAGACCTTCCAACTGCCGATGTATCCTTGGTCCCTCTCTTCGTCTTTGCCTTGGACTTCATCAGGTATAATGACGAGGCGTCCATTATCCAGCGCTTCTGCATAGTGAATATGCATTGGCAGACCGTTTTTGGCTCCAAATAGATGACCGTGTGAATCATCCAAAGGAGCAAAGAGATACCGGGCACACTTTTCACCCAGGCTGTATCTGACAATCTGAACTCCTCTGACAGTGCTTCTCAAATGGCGATGGCCTGAAACAACACACCAATCGCTTATTCCCTCTTCGACATCGTATACGTTGAACACGGTCTTGCAAAAGTTCCACTGGGCTATTGTGTTTTTGGGCTCATAGATTGGGATTTTCGCCCCTTTCACGGTCTTGTAGCGTTCAATCAGCGAGTCGACGTGTGACCAAGTACTGTTGATACGCCCACCGTCTTCGGCCCCAATCATATCGTCCATCAGCCTACCCGCAAGTTCAAACCGGCAATCTCGAATGACAAGAATGTCCCCCATCAGATGCTCAGCTCGGGCTTCTAATCGAGAAAGTTCAATCTCGAAGACGTGTTGAGAGATGTTGAGGTTTGTGGCATGCCATTCTTGGGCGATGATGCCCACGAGCTTTTCGACTGCAGCGAGTTCCTTTTCTCTGTTGTGAAGCGCATCTCCAATCACCGAGTCTGTTCCATATTCATCAATACCCCTGGGTTCAAGGAGTGTAGTTCGCAAGTCGTTGAATATCTGATGAACTAGGCGTAATGCCTCCGGTCGAAGGTCGCCTTGAAGGTTTAAGAGGGTCAATAGCTCTGGATCCATCTCTATAAGATGTAGTGAGATAACACTTCCAAGATTTGCAGAAATTGTTGTGAAAGCCTTGATGGGAAAAGGGCCTTTGCATGAAATTTTGAAGCGTGTAGGATTGAAGATGGTTTCCAGACACAGCCCAAGCATTTCCCGGCCAAGTTATAGATTGAGCACCTATATCTGGCTCCATCCTTTTACTTTACGGCTTCGGTGGGTTATGTACATGTTGATACTCTCGTGAGGTACTATGCGTTGTACTCAGGTAGAAGTAAACAGTATAGCCGAGGACTAAGCTTTACGGCTTGGGCCTATTTTGCGCACACCTAGTAACTATTTTGAAGTTAATAATTATGGATAAAAAACCTTATCGAGTTCTTCTTTCGTATCCCTCAGGCGTAGGCTGTAAGGGATTTATATCATAGCTGCCATGTCTCTGGCTTCTTTTCTTTTCTTCCTTCCATTTCCTCTGCCATATCGACTGTCCCAACCACGTCTGTAATATCCATCTCGCCCACAGTATCTGCGACATCTAATACGCTAGAACTGTCCTACACACCCACCATCTACTACATACCACATACATCACTCTCCATGGATTTCAATTACTCGGATTTCAATTTCCCGGATATGGATCTGGAGAATTTTGCGGACTTCGAGAGTTCTGCTGGCATCGACACCCTCATCGCCTGGCTAGAAGAGCTTCTGGAGGGATTACACCAACAACTCCGGCTACGAATACAGCAGTTGAGCTACTACGACTTCCCAGACAGCGACGACTACTTTGACTTTGACGACTTTGGCAACTACGATGGCTACAGCAATTCCTATCCCCACTAGAGCGCTCATAAGGGTGACTGAGGCCATACATGTAGCTTCATCCACATTTTATACAGCTGTTGCCTGTTTGTCTTGTCACTGGTCTGCGTAGTCGCCAAACGACCCTGCTCCCGGTTAGATTTGATGGCGTCCAGAATGTCGACGCTGTGGCGTTTAATTCTTGGCTTTGGCGAGTAAAGGTTGGTGCCTTGGTCGAAATAATTTCTTTCACCTAGGCTCCATCTATCTACCAAAGCGGAAGTTTGTCCAAAACGCTAGAGGGGAAACAGTCGGTATCTATATTGGAATCGGGTTCAGTATCGCGGACTAAACTATCGTTAGGGCCACCGTTGGAGAATGCTATGGCTCATTATCGCTTTGCTCTCGGAATTTGCAGCCTACGAGGCAATCTCTGTATAGAAATGAAGAATACACTGGCATATACGTCTCATTTCGGGAACTCGATGGCTGAGGGCCATCAAGAATATTATCGTCAATGTGCTCGAGAATCGCCAGCCTCTTCGTCTTCTTCCTCTCCGTTGGTGGCGGCATCATCTACACCAACGTCCTTTTCTTTTTCTTTAGCCTTTTGTGGAAGCTTTGGTGGATTCTTTGATAGAAGAAGTAGGTTTCGGACAGTCGTTTGGGAGTTGCCCACGTTGTCCATGTTTCCATTCTTGATCTCAGGGTGTGTTTGTTGTGTAGTGATTGGTACTGGTTGTTCTTGGGTCTGGGCTTCGTTGGATTGGTTTAGTGGGCTTGAACGTTCAAATCTCTCATACCAGCTTCGTCCCGTCGATTGGGATGGTCGGTCGGTTCTGGTTCGCTTTTGGCTGGTTTTTTTCTGCCTCTCTTCCTCCAGCTCGTACAATCTTGCCAGCTCAATCGCTTTAGCCTCATCGCGTCTCTTGCTTTGGAGTGGTGTTGGTTTAGGTTGTCGTTTGGCTTGTTCATCCCATTGGTACGGCACATCTGTTGGGATATATGCCAAATTGAGCTTATAATTATCGATTGCCATACCAAAGTAGTCCATCTGGTGCAAGTTTTCCAATCGGATGTCCCCGTCATCATTCTTCAGATTTGTGATTCCTCTGAATTCAGTGATGATATAGTTCGCAATCAAGAGTGGTGCCGGAAGCACATATAGCTTGCCCTCATGCTCTGACAGTTCATCGATTTTTTTAAAATCTTAAATGAAGTGGAATGGTGGAGGTGGTGGAAGAAGCATGAGGAGTAGTCGCTGAAGATGGAAGTTGGAGAACGGGATCACTGGGTAGATAGAATAGAGAATGTGTGACGGTGTCTGTGCATTTCTCCATATTGCTCGGTAAACGGAAAGTTGTTCTAATTGCAATAAAACGGAAATAAAAATCCATTTCATTTAATGATTATATCTGCTCGTGTATACTTTAGGTAACAAAGATTTATGTGCTGATTCCTAATCGATAGCACCATTCTATGCGGGGCATCTCCCGCGATCTTCGCTAAATCAACAACAATCTATCAACAACAACAGAAACTGACAACGCCTTTGTCACATTTTCTTTGTCACAGTTTAATTGTTTTCTGTCTCTTGATCCATCTACGAGGACCACATCTCTCGCGTACCGATCCTTTTCCCTCGGTTTCAAAAACCAATGCCCCCGCTACTCCCCGCCAACAAACTCGCCGCTGAAGTCGCACCGAAAGATCGTCGCTCAGCTTGCCCGAAAACAAGAAAAGAGACCAAAAGCTATCGTGCCAATTACGTACAATTCCCATTTGTGGCCGCCAAAAGGCCATTTCCCCATCCCAAGGCATCCATTCTCTCCCCCGCAGATGTACCCCAAAACCACAAAGTGCTACTAACAACCATCGCCAATTCATAGGCCCGAATCGGTAGTTCCCCTCGCCCACTTTTTACCCCAGACGGGACTTTGCGTGGTGGCTGTCAAGGCGCAGATGACGTCGACGCGTCAATGAAGATCGCTGTCGAATGCGGATACTAAAACCGATGCAGATTCAAAGCTATAAAAGGGCGACATGATACGATGCTGGATTCCGCTGTACGGGCCTCAATAGCAGTGCGAGGCTACAGATTGACTCAACTGCTGTGAAACAGTATCCTCGCCTCTATCCGACAATCGACCAATGCCTCTTGTTTAGCAAGCCGCAAAGATGCTTCAAAAGCTCGCCGCCTCGTTGCTGCTTCTCGTGACCTGCAGCAGCTCCGTCACAGCGCAGTCTGCTCGCTCAAACAGCAATCCATCACCACCAGCATGTTCAGCCAGAACGCTGCATCTCAGCGACCCCCCTTATCAAGACTACTTTTACTCAGACTGCCATGTTGATGCCCAAGCAGTCGTCACAAGCCCTCTGCCCGACAGCAATCTGTCCATCATCGGGCCTCGCTTCATCGTTGCTTGGCCCGCAGGCAACAGCGGCATCTGCACGTTTTTCCAGCCTCAGAGCGGCAAGAATGGCAGCCTCGCCATTGAGCTTGTCAACTCCACGCTGGGAGCTCCTCTGGGCCCGATATACAACAAAACCAAAGACTCCGCCAATCCCGTCGTCGGTGTCGAGGGCGTTCTCTCGTTTAACAATTCGGCTGAGCTTCCAATCGCAATCCTCGGCAGCGTGAGAAACATACGCGACTTTACCGAAGGACCAAGCCTCCTCAGTCCCATCATCCAAGCCGGTATCAAGGTCACCAAATTCCAAAAGACTGGTGCCCAAATATCTCGCCTCTGGCTAGACAACGTCACAACCACTACTTTTACTCTTGTGCCTTGGAAGAACAGCGACAATCACATTCAGATCGACAACACAACGCTGCGGTTTGGTTCTGGCTTTTACCACTTCACAGCGTCGTTCAACTATCCTCAGCTCAAGCAACTTACGCCAAGCCAGATTCTAAACGAGCAGTCCCAATCACTCGTCAAGCAGCAGCCAGAGACCATTTCGTCGCTTTCCTTCTTCTCCTACACCGAGAAGCTTCTTGCCGGTGGCTGGCGATTCCTTACTTACTTTGGCCGTGACAGCATGCTCACCGCACTTCTGCTTCAGCCTGTCCTAAGCACTGGCAACGGCTCAGCGATAGAAGCTGTTATTGGAGCAGCACTTGAGCGCGTGAACCGAACAGACGGATCGGTGTGCCACGAAGAGACAATCGGCGATTATGCGACGTTTGTAAACCTACAAAACAACATTACATCTACGGCTGCAGGATTCACATATCCAATGATTGACACCGACTACTATCTTCCAGTTTTGATGGCGCGATACTTTGGTTCGTCGCCAGAGCGAATCTCTCCGCTCCTCAGCACCAAGGCTGGATCCATCGATATTGGCAATCTGAACCTGACCTGGAGAGATCTCAGCTACGCGACTGCCAGCAAGATTATGAACATTACAGCCGCGTTTGAGCAAAACCAGACAGTGGACAATCTTATTGCTCTCAAGCCAGACCAGAGCGTCGGCCAATGGCGAGACTCTAGTTGGGGCCTCGCTCACGGCCGCATCCCGTTCGACGTCAACTGCGCCTTGGCTCCCGCTGCCTTGTATGCCATCTCCAGCCTGGCAGCCATGCCTGGCGTCTATCCCAACAACTCGGTGACGCAAAAGTGGACCACAGTTGCTGCTCAGCGAGCCAAAGTATGGGAAGACAAGACGCTGCAGTTCTTCCAGTATAGCATGACTGCGAAGACTGCTGTGGCGAGATTAACAGAGTACACGAGCAAAAACACATTCTACGACGGTCCTACGAATGGCGATTCGGCGTCAGACTATTCTACTAACGGGACAATCATAGACTATGGGCTGGCTATCAACAGTACAACGACGCCAGAGGTTATCCCAATCACGCACACAGACACGGCTTTCCGCCACTATCTACTCAACACTACAGACGACGAACAGCTCACGACATTCATCAACGCCTCTGCAAATGCAGTCCTCCGTCCATTCCCAGCCGGACTGAGCACTCCAATCGGCGTCGTCGTCGCAAACCCAGCACTATCCAACAACGACGTCCTCATCGCAAACTTCCCCAACTCTGCCTACCACGGCACCGTTGTCTGGAGCTGGCAGTTGGCTCTCATGGCGAAAGGCTTCGAGCGACAGCTTGAGCGATGCCACGGCTCAAGTAACGTGACGGATATCCCATCGTCCATCACAAACGCGACTGCGACGCCCCAGTTCTGCAGCAACAAGGGCGTTTACACTGCGCTGAAGGCAGCATACAATAAGCTATGGGATATCATCGAGAACAACTCGGAGCAGCTCGAGTCCGAAGTCTGGAGCTGGACGTATAGCGGCGGCAAGAATGGCACAGAGGCAGACTTCAAGTTTTCTCCTCTCGCCGTGCTTCCTCCACCTCCAGGCGCCGGCAGCGCAACAGAAAGCGATGTGCGGCAGTTGTGGAGTCTGACGTTTTTGTCTGTCACCAGGAACAAGGGCTTTTCGTAAATTGATATGATTAGAAATATATTAACAACACGCAAGGACAATGACTCACTTCGTAGACAATCAAATCAACAAATAATAACAGAATTGCTGCCATCATATGATATTCCCGTATATAAAAGCTCTCAACAAATCTTTCACGATTTTGCAATCTAATGTCCAAACAAAATGTTCTATATACTCCAAGCCGATGCGTCGCTCTGTTTGTTAAAATGCTGACGCTGAGATGCCAGATCTCTCGTTTTTTTTGCTGTCTTTGGCTCCAATGTGTGTCAAATGGGGAATCAGAAAAGAAGAAAGAAAAACAAAAATCCACTGAGTGATGTGTATGCCTTGTTCCGTGCAGCCTTGCCCTTTCATAATAACCAATGCCTTGTCCTCCCTGCCCAAATCCTATTCCTTCTCTTTATTCCCGCTTGGTTTCCTTTTTTTTTCAAGTCCCTCAAGTCCGTCTGCTGCTGCGATGCCGTCTTTCGCGCTGATGCAACGGCGTTGACGATGACCGCTTGCTCTTGTCCTTGACTTTATCCTCGTCCTCCCGAGAACTAGCCTCCGATGGCGCTATCGAAGGATTGACCAGGGTACTGCTTCCGTCGTCGTCCTCGTCCCTCGGCAGCGGTGTGGCCTCAATCTCGAGCGGTATCTGGCTCGACCCCAGTGGTCTCGGCGTCCGCAGCCGCAGCGGCTTCTCGCCCAGTCCGATCTTCGACGCCGCCCAGCCCAGCCAGGTTGGATTAGGCGGGATCCACTGGCCAATGTTGAGCGTGTAGTGCCGCTGGTCGTCGGGCAGGTTCAGCCAGACGAGCTCGCGGTTGCTATTGATGCGGCCTTCCATGACGAAGTCGCCGACCTCTTCTGGGATTCTGAGCGCTTCTGCGACGAGAACGGGCTGGTACGCCGGGACGAGGAGATGCAGCCGTGTTGGGCGCATTGAGATGCCTCGCCGCCGCGCCTTGTACTCCATCTCTGAGATGCGCCGCCGTGCCGCAATCATGAAGACGAAAACCGAGTCAATCTGGTTCGTGTAGCCGCAGAACCGCGTCCCCAGGGGCTTCTCCTCCAGCAGGTGGAAGAACTTGGGATACCAGTCATCGTCCGGGTGCCAGAGGAAGAACCAGTGATCCCGCTCCGGATCGCCCGACGTCTGCATGAGCCGCTCGCGAATCATGCTGTGCACATAGTCGGGAAACTCCTTTTGCGCCATGAGCGCCGTCTGCGCCTGCAGGGCCGCCGAGATGTCCTGCAGCTTGGCGGCGATGAGCTGCAGCGCCTGGATTCCCTGGTACGTCTGGACGAGGTTCATGCCGATGCGGACCGTCGTGGCAATCATGCTGAAATACGCAAAAATCCGGGCGCTGTCGGCGACGGACTGGCCCATGACCTGCATGGCGGGGATGAACTTGTTGAGGCCATCGGCCATTTGGTTTGCGCGAGGCGCGAAGTCATTGACTCTGCCGGCAAGCTCGTTGGCCTTGGACAGGGTGTCGCCGATCTTGATGAGGCCGGCGCCGGCTTCGATGGTTTTGACAATGGGGGCGGTGTTGGCGAAGAGCTTTGTGGCGGCTTTGATGGCCCGGCCTTTGACAGTCTTGTCTCTGAATATGACTGAGAGGAGGTTGCTGTCTTCGCCCATGATGGCAATGGGTGCGTTTGTGCGCCGGATAAGCAATGGCAATGAGTCAATGTGCAGATTTCAGGATTTCAGGCTTTCAGGGGTATATGAGATGCAAAACAGAAACAATGTAAGAACTGAAAGGGACGAAAGGATCTGCAGCCGTTAAAGGGCAAATCGTGGGGTATGAGATGAGATGCAGAAACAACAAGACGCAAAGCAAAGCCAGTCATACACGCATAAATGTTGGTGAAATTGAACCCTTCCCTTTTCGCGGCCCAAAATTGTCAAGAACCGCAAGATGCATCTGACCGTCTTCCCAGCTCCGCTTTTTCGCCTCCCCCTAAGCCTACCAGCCCTGCCGATTCCAATTGGAGCCCTCTAAAGTGACGTGGCAGAGCAACCGCGTGGGCGTGTTATCATGCTGGGCTGAAAGTGGAGCGGAGGCCTTTTGGTTGGAGAAACTGGAGCTGCGTGTTGCGGACGCTGATTGGAGGAGAGCTTGAGAGTCGGTCTGGGAGCTCAAGTCGATGCGATGATGAGTAAGAATAGCTGAGAGGAGAAGAGGAGAGGAGCGAGCTGTTCACCGTAATCCGGTTTGGGATTAGCAATGAGAAGGAGTCAATGGCTCAAGTGACTTAGTGACTTTGACTTGTCTCAATTTGCCTTGTCTTGATCTGTCACTCGCTGGCACAGGGAAACACCCGATCCAGGCCCCTGGCGATCATGGCTTCTAGACCAAGCGGGAGAACATCGGATCGTGGCGCTGCTGTTTGTATGCTGAGAGTTTAAGCTCTCACTCATTGCTGTTATTTATCAACGCTATAAGCGAATCAAATATGATGGACAAAAGGTGACCCATCCAGACAGACAGTCTCATGACTACGGCAATAACGTTTTAAATCTCCGTCATGGTCAATGTCGCCGGCAGAAGCAGAGGCTGCGCAACATGTCGGAAACGCAGAGTCAAGGTGCATTCTCATCCATCCACTCATGCTCATGGGTTGACACTCATCTCACATCTCATGTCCTTCATAGTGCGATCAGTCTCTTCCTGAGTGCCTGAGATGTCTTGGCATGGGCCTCAAGTGTCCTGGAGCACGCACAGATGCCTTTTTCGTCCACGCAGTTGTGCCGGATGCCTCGTTGCGTGATTCTTCATCAGCCGCTGTCACGGCCTTCCAGTCAAGATCACCACATAAGGTGATGATGCACCCACCGCAACTGACAGCATTGCAACCATCTCGTGCCGACGCCTTTGACCAGCTTTTCGTATCGCATTTCATCGACGCCTTTTTCGGCGAGGCGAGGCCATCTTTGCCCATTCCGAATGGACCATCAAAGATTTGGTTACACGAGCTTCCTGGTTTTCTCGCCTCTCCCTGCCCATCTCCTGTCCAGTTCTCCATTCGTGCAGCGTCAATGCTCAGCTACGGCACCATTACTGGAGATGTATCAATCAAGACCGAGGCCTGTAGATGGTACATGAGGGCGCTGCAGAGCTTGCGACATCTGCTGTCTCTTGACGATCTAGCCTCATCTCTGTATTCTCCGGAAAGCACAGTCTGTGCAGCTGTCATGCTCATCCACTTTGAAACTTCAGCGGGCACCAGTCCAAAGGCATGGCTGCCACATGTCAATGGTGCGGCTTCGTTGCTGGAAGCGCAAGGGCCGGAGCGGTGCCGTGATGGATTCATGCATCAGATATTCAGGCATTTGCGGCTGCAGACGGTGCGTTTATTTCATTTCTTTGACTCTCTTAATATTCTGTGCCGTTATGCTGATGAATCTCAAAGTTTGTCGCGGCAATGGCTGATAATAGGCTTCACCCGTTTGCCTCACCGCAATGGACGACGGTTCCTTTTGAGAGTCATCCGAAGCTGATATTTGACAATTTGGTCGATGTTCTCTTTGCTGTGCTGAGGTGCTTATCAACAGCAAATCATCTCATTTCATCCGATGCCAACAATACACGCGAATTGCAAGTAGAGCTCGGCAAACTCATCCAAAGCGCAAGGCTTCAAATCCATCAATGGAGATCAGAAGCCATGCTATACGTCTCTCTAAAAGAAGACCAGAGCCCCTCAATTTCTGAACCTGAAGAAGATGATGCAACATCATTGAATCCTCGCCACTTTATGCTGCCATACACCGATATTCCATCAGCCGCATTGGTCTCACTCTACGATGCTGCCAACATCATTTTACTTCGCCTCCTACACCTAGTTTCTCCCACGGCATCTCTATACGACGCCCGTATTCAACAACACACACAGTCAATCCTATCTGCACACGAGATGATTATCGCAAAATCCAGCTCTGAGCCAGGACGCGGTTCCATCATGATGGTCCAACAACTAAAAATTGCTGCCTTGTGGAGCTCGTCTTCGCAGCAGAGGGCGGTGGCTGTAAAGATGCTGCAAGGGTTTCGAAAGGGAGGCTTTGCAGGCATTTCGGCGCCATCTCACGAGTATTTTGCCGATGTGGCGGCCTATATCCTTCGCGAATACCCCGTTGAAGGGACTTGACCTACTTGGGGTCAGCGAAAACGAATCACCACTGTCACGTTACAAGGCTTCAAAGGCTTGTACTAGACCAGCCATTCTTTAGGGCCAGGCCTATTCAACCACTTTCCCGTCTTCTAGCCCCTTGCAATATCTCCGACGACGGCACTTCTGTCAGGGTGGCTGGGCACAGCCATCAATAGACCAGATGCATCAAGTGGGCAAGTCTAGGAAGCATTCAGCTCGATATTGAAGAAGCTGGTAAGAAAATATCATCGCCACTTGGCTTGGATTGCACCGGAACATTCCCATTGCCCACTTGAGCGGACCGAACTCTCAATTAGAATCAGGCCTAGGATACGTTTCTAGTCTGTGCGCGCGCCTCAATCTTTAAGCTCGAGATGGTTAGCTTTGCGATTTAGCGGCTCCGCCGTGAAGCTTTCCCGATATACACTGTGATATTGAGCTGAAAGGACTGGAATTTTGCTGCCGGTGAAACAAGACGGATGCCTCGTTACGTATATAGATTGCGAATCTGTGCTCAAATAGGATCAGTCATAGGGCTATATATACCTGCTCTGCATCAGAGTTCCTTTTTTTCCATCTCTCTACCCTATCGTGCAGGACATAAGCTCGAACTTCGTTCTCTCTCATCATGAAGATTGCCATCATCGGAGCTGGCATTGCCGGCTGTGCAGTATATCTCGAGCTGAAGAAACATCTGCCAAACAGCGACGGCTTTCCCGAAGACCTTGATATCAAGATATACGAAGCCTACGATACCGGAAAAGATGTCACGTCTGAAGATCGAGAGCAGGGACCGACACACTCGTCCACGCTCATCGTCGGCGGCGGACTGGGCATCGCACCCAACGGTCTGGGAGTAATCCAGCGTCTTGACGAGGAGCTTCTGCGAGAAGTCACTCGCGATGGATACGTGATAACGAGATCCAACCTGAAGAGCAAGAATGGGAACTTGCTCATGTACATCGATCCCAGCGATCCGACCACGAGAGATTCGGGTGAGTCTTCGAAGAAGCTCAACATGGTGGCATGCAGTCGCCATTCGCTTTGGAGATGTCTGCGCACTCGCATCCCAGACAAGGACATTATCACCAAGCGTGTCTCACAAGTCATTGTAAATCCTGAAGGACTAAATATCGTCCATTTTATCGATGGAAGCGAGCCAGTAGAGGCTGATATCATTATTGGTGCTGATGGTGTCAAGTCAACTGCCAAAAGGGCTTTGTTTCCAGAGGCAGCAGAAGACCAATATCCTCCTCATTACGAGTAAGTCCCAGCATGACCAGCCAATGCTTCATTCATTGAACACTGATTCCTTTTCATTCACAGAGGCCTTGTCGGAATTGGCGGCTTCATCCCAGCAACAGGACTAGCGGAATTCGTCGAAAAAGGGTCAATGAACTTCATCTTTGGAGGCAACGGCTTCTTTGGATACTACTTCCCAGACAGCAACCCCTTAGATCCCAATCGCGATAACCCCTACGTCGTCTCCGAGCCGGGAGAATCGCTGGCTTGGTGGTCCACGTACGAGATCAAAGAATGCCCAGATCGCAGCACCCTCGACATGGACGATGTTTCCCGACATCTTCGAGAGAGGCACGCAGAGTGGAAAGATCCCGTCATCCAGCGAATCATCAAATCAGCCCGCGTTACGCACATGTATCCCACGTGGACGTCACCACCGCTCCCGACTTGGGAACGCGACGGAGTTGTTTTGCTGGGAGATGCGGCGCATGCCCTGCCCTCGACGTCAGGCCAAGGTGTATCACAAGCTTTGGAGGACTGCGAAGCGTTTGTGCTCTTCCTGGCGCATCAGATGAAGCGGAGATATTTGAGCAAGCCAGACGCCGAAAAGCAAGCCACCGTCAAGGCTGCAAGACAATACATGGATCTTCGGAAGCCACGCGTCACGGAGATATTGGAGAGTGCGAAGAAGATTCAGAATTCTAAGCGCGACATGGGTGTCGTTCGAGAGTATGCCATGTACTCGATGTTCAAACTGCTCAGTAGGTGACATGTTGCAGACAAGCCCGCAGTGATTGTAAAAACGACTACTAACAATTGATTTAGGTTTCTTCCCCACTGCCGTTGCGAAGCCAACGCGCAAGATTTACGAGTATAATGTTGCGAAAGAAGCTGCTCAAATAATTGCAGGCGATAGCTAGCATTCAAATCGTTGACAGCTGTAAGCTTGCATTGAGGTGTATTTCCACTCAGAAACAAGTATAATAGACTGTACTTGAATCATTCAAGAGCGTTGTGTACTGCTTCAACCATTTCTTTCATGCCGCAGTGACATATCGTTGCACGAGAGTTAACCGTGCAAAATGTTTGAACGAGCTGAGCACAAGTCTTTCGTTAGAAAACAACCTTGCCAGGCTGACTATCGAACGGAGTCCCCTCGTCGAGCTCATCGTCGTCCATGAATAGCTTAATGGCGACCACTTGGCCGTCTTTCTCAGCCACGGAGAGACCGGGTGGCCCGCCAATGGAGTCTTGCCCAACTAGAGTAAATAAACGTCAGCACTCTGCATCACCGGCTTCAATTAACCGCGGTTGCCCAAAGTTGCAACTTACAGTGCAGTCCTCCAAATGTAAACCCCGAATTCCTCTCGCAGTCTTCCCCGCCAAGGTTGTCGTTTAGCGAAATCATCTCAAGGTAGCCGCCCCATTCGTCCTCGTCAATATCATCTTCGCCGGCACCTCTTCCCTCCATGACCATTGCCGCAGCTTCACGAGTGAGGTATGCCATGGAGAGGACGTTGAACAGCCCGCCATCATCATAGTAGGTTCCAGCATGCTTCCACGCTAAACCCTCGTCCCATCCAGCAGCTGAATCATCGAACCTGTCTTTGAGCATTTGATCCCAGGCCTGCCACTCGTCCAAAGAGATGCTGAAATCGAGCTCAGTCTCCTCGTCCAGGTCAGCAACCCACCGAAGACACGCCTCCGTATCACAGTTTCCAAACTCTGCTCCCTCTATCATTTTCATTTCGGCCTTCCAGACGCCGGGTTTGCAATTCGAGATGCCCGCATGCAAGTCGGTCAGGTGGTCCCATTCTTGCGAATTTCCCGCCAGCGCAAAGGCAATTCCATCCGGGGGATTAGGGGGGACGACAACATAGCGTGGGCATAGGCTCAGGAGGTTCTTGAGACGGTTGCCCTCTTCGGACGTTGAGGAGATTTCGGAGTCGCTCATTTTGGCTGCAGAGGCGATTGTGACTTGAAGATGAAACAATTGAGATGAATCGCCAATTCCAAACTGGCGAGACGTGCAATCAAGTATTGCAAGTTTGCGCGCGAACTAAAATAGCTTGTCAGCAATAGGCGGATGTAAGCCTTTATAAATCGCGTAGCCTTACAAATCGCGTATCCTCTCGGTTGATCGGCTCCAAAGCCCGCCATCACGGAGGTTTATGCTGTATCTTGAACATCGGCCACTGCCTAAAGCGGACATGGCTAGAGAGAATTGGCCATTAACGCGAGGCCAGCCTAGAAATTGGGTCTAGATGAATCCATTCCGAACGAATCATCGTGATGTGCGTGGACGCTTTTGTCGCTTTTCACGCAATTGCTAGAGCGGCAATAGTTTGCCTGTAATTGGCGCCGACACGATTACGAGTTTCTGACGTTTCGGGCGAGCTTTTAGATGCAAATCGTCTTTATGCGATCAACAGGGTATGCGCTGCCTGGTGTGGAGATGGGCACATGAAGGCATCGTGAATTTCTGGTGGTAGCAGTCTTTCGTCGTCGGAAATCGATGGACCATTAGAAATTGCGATGCGCTAATGCAGTGGGCGCATCTTCGTTTCCCGGCGATGCAGTTTTTTCATTCACGCGCTGAGCAACAGTGTCGTGCTCGCTATAATTTAGCGATCAACGTTTTTGGCGCAGGTCTAGGGTAAGCGATGAGATGGTGACATCGTGGATCGATTCTGTCCATAAGCCTTGTTCGCCAAACTCAACGATTAGCAACTTCAGCTGACGAAACTATTGTCGTAATGAAAGTTAGCTCCAGGTCGACGCCTCGAGAAGTATCTGGCGAATATTGAATTTTGGCGAAATTCAAGTGCCTTTGTGGGTTATCCTACAGTAGCCGTGATTTGAATGATATATGGCGGCACGCGTGAGTCTTCATTCGGCTATTTCAGCACTACTACTTAGCACTGGTTGTTAGAAAATGACCGGTATAATCATTGCGCCGCGTAAACGACACAAGATCCATAGACTTATTTCGCAAGCTGCTTCTGCTACCGTCCAAGGAGTTTCAGCATTCACTAAGCAATAGTCCTGGATCCTGGTGTATGCCCTTCCTACCAAGTGGCTTATTTGAGACATAATGGTACTTGTATGTAGAAAACGTGTGAGTGCCTAAGGTATAATAGTAATCTTTACGGCTCTAGGAAATTGACTAGACAAGATTGGGGCAATAGATGTGATGCTGGCAGCAGATTGTCATACTTCAGCTTTGTAGTTATGACGTTGGTCAAGATAAGTTATATCGAGATCCTGAGTTGCGTTTGTACTGCCTATTATCTGCTAGCGTCATCATCTCTTTTGCCAGCATCGTATTTTCTTCAGTAGGCACTAGGGAATATCCCATTGAGAGTGCAAATTGTAGACAGAATGTGCAGATTAATGGCCGGTGACGCAATTGAACATTGAAGCTTTCACTCAGAGGAGAGGACCTATGATGGAAGAAGCGTGCTGCATAACAGCACATGCGAAAGGACGGTACTTCGTCATGCTGCAGTGCATAGATAGTAGCTAGGTATAGGACAAAGATTCTAGGTACTCTAATATCCTCATTCAGCACAAGCAAATCACCCGCTGTAATTCTCCAAGCCTCTGAAAGGCATAGGTACCTAATTGCAGATTGCCTCTTCGCTCTGAACTTGCCTGTTTTAGGGTCTTAGAACCATATTGCAGGATTCTATACACCACTTTCTTCCATGCATACGTGAGTACTCTGTAGATTGCTACAAAAGTACGATCGGCTAGTATTATTGGCTCTGACGCTGTGTAACTAGGAAGGTCTATGAATTAACATTACCATCCATACCTAGTGGACAAAAGTTCATCATACCGATGTAGACAAAAGGGCGGCAGTTAAGTTGATAGGTACTCATATGTGTACAATGAAAGGCAAACATTTATCGTGTAGCCACCTCAGTGGGATTCGTGCTCTTAACCATGTCTCCTCTTGGCCGAGCCTTGCGCCCCATGTCTCGGACATATCGCCGGAGGCATCCTCTTCAAGACAGCTAAAGGAATGGTGCGGCTGATGCGTGATACTACGGGATTAGCACGCGGATCTCCCGTCTGACTGCCCTCCGCATATGTATAGAAAGGTGAGGGATGAGAAATTGTTTTGCAGCATTTGACAACGTCACCAACAGTATAGAGTTTCAGCTATTGAATCACATGCTACTTACCACTTCTCTCTATTGCCACAAAGACAGCTGTTTACTTCGGTATTTTGTCTGGTACTGAGTCATTTACTGATCAAGAGCCACTGATGTAGCTTAAGGCGCAGCCTTGTTTTTCTCTTTTGGACGCTTCCAGCCCCAACCCTGCAGCTTATCTTTGCAATGTGCGCACTACGACAGCTGTAGTTAGTAAAGCCTTACGTGTCGCGCCTAGTTCCACGATTATACGAACTTATGTGCGGGCTCCTTCGCAAGGCTCGGGTAACTGGAAGAGATATTCGGCCTTATCTGTGACTGGCTCGCACATCCTGCATGCTCTGATATGAGTGATCCTACAAGATGTATTGGAGATTTATTTGACGTCTACCGCCAATGTAGTTGTAACGAAGATGATACCTGGCTAAGCATCCGCCAGAGCGGTTCTCTTTGTCGTCACGTCGTGCATAGTGCACCTTGGGATTGGCGCCAGCTACACGTTTATGCCATGAACAAGTAAATGCAACAATGCGAAGATGATGATGCTTGATATGTTGCGTCCAAAGCTTAGCCTCATCGCCAGCATATCGTACTGCCATAAACTGTTGTTGGTATGTCAACTCACATGGACGAGAAGATTCATTTCTCGTTGCCGACTGCCGGCTTCAGGGACCTATTCCATTGCTATAAGAACTATTTACATATTCTAGCGCCTACAAGGAATAAAGAGTTTGTGAAATCTTGGTATTGACTGATTACTGAACAGTAATACACAGTCTAGTCTGTGCAGCTATAATTACTAGACCGATCCTTCGTTAATTGAGTTAATAACATATATATACGTGAGTATCTTGCATGGTATTTAGTTACTAAAACATTGGTCGTATTTCAAAATCAGAGTGTAAACAAATGACCCAGATGATATATCTAAATCTCTTCATTAAAAAAAAAAAATGATGGTGATAATAAATCGGTATAATAGGGAAAGATAGATAAAAAAAATCAATATGTACAAGTTCATTATATTATATTAGCCTCTTGTTCTTGTTCCTCTATTAGCTTCTTTTATGATGCCGCTTCGCGTAGATGTACCACACAATCCTTCTGCTCCAGGCCACAGGGATCTACCTGGGTATCGTTATGCGTGTAGAGAGAGAGAGTGCTGCCAACCAACTCATGTGCCGTCATCCATGACATCGTAAATGTTCTCAGCCTCTGTGTTAGTCATTATTAGTCTTATGCATGCTAAAACAGGATCCGGCCCTGTCTATATCTTTTAGTCGGCCATCTGTTAGTATATATCTGCCAAATGTTCCCTGCAATAGCCCCTCTAGCCTCACCAATCTTACTCTTTCTTTTCTCAGCAAACAGTAACAGGTCATTGCCTCACTTTCGGCGTCCTTTGTTCATAATGTCTACCGTTGACGCCATTGTTGTTGGTGCCGGCTTCGGCGGCATCTACAACCTCTACAAGCTCAAGGCGCTGGGACTCTCTGTCAAGTGCTTCGAGAAAGCACCCGAAGTCGGGGGCACGTGGTACTGGAGCCAATATCCAGGAGCTACCAGCGATTCCTCCAGTGAAGTCTACAGATTTAGCTTCGACAAAGACCTGCTAAAAACGTATCCCTGGTCTACGCATTTCCTTCCCCAGCAGGAAAGTCAGGCCTATCTGAAGCACCTTGTAGAGCGCTACGACCTAGACCAGCACATCCAATTGAGCACAGAGCTGAAGGGAGCTTCATTTGATGTTGCCACGTCTTCATGGACTGTCAACTTCTCCAATGGCGAGAGCTACAGGACGACATACCTGGTGCTGGCCTGCGGTAGTTTCCACACACCCAACTGGCCCAAGATTCCCGGCCTCGACAAGTTTGCTGGCCCCGTCTATCACACTGGGTGAGTCAAACTTATAACCTCTCCTACCATAGAATGCTGCTAACCTCACCAGTGACTGGCCTGAGAAGCGAGACCTCAGCGGAAAGCGGGTTGGCGTTATCGGCACCGGCTCATCGGGGGCCCAAGTCTTGGTCAACATTGCAGATGAGGTGAAACACCTGGTGTCTTTCCAGCGGTCAGCCCAACACGTTGTCCCTCACCCCAACGGCCCTGTATCCGACGAGTACAGAGAGTGGATCAACAATAACTACGACAATGTCTGGGAGCAAGTCAACAAACACCCCGTGGGACACCCACTGATCCACAACACGACCCCTGCTATGAGCGTCAGCGCAAAGGAGCGCGAGCAAATCTGGGAAGAGCTCTGGAATCACGGCACCAACGGCTTCAGTTTCATGTATGGGCCGTTTGGTGACATCCACAGCAGCGCAGAGGCCAACCGCGAACTATGCAAGTTCTTTGAGAAGAAGATTGCCCAGTCCATTACTGATCCCGATAAGCGGAAGAAGCTGATTCCTAGTGAGATCTACGGCAAGAGACCCGTCACTCTCTCGGGCTACTATGAGACGTTTAACAAGAAGCATGTTGACATTGTCAACTATGAACACACGCCGTTTGTGACAATCAACGAGCAGGGCATCCTGACTGAAGAAAAGCAGTGGGGCCTCGACGTGATCATCTTGGCCACGGGCTACGAAGTCATGGACGGAAGCTACAACAAGCTCGAGTTGCAAGGAACACACGGAACCCTCAAGGACAGCTGGACCAAGGCCGGCCTTCCAACTTCATATCTCGGCGTCAGCGAAACTGGCTTCCCCAACATGTTCTTCGTCGTCGGGCCCCAGTCACCATTCGCGAACATGCCGCCGCTGATTGAGTGTCAGGGCAATTTCATTGCGGGATTGATCGAGAGAGCGGAAGCTCAGAAGAGGGAGAATGGCGGCAAGATTGTTCTCATCGAGGCCAAAGAGAAGGCCAAGCAAGCGTGGATAGAAAAGTGCCAAACGCTTGCAGAGCGCAGCCTGTTCAGGTCGGTCAAGTCTTACATCTATGGCAACACGGCGCCTGGAAAGGATTCGCCTGGTATCATGTGGCTGGGAGGCTATGGCTACTACCGAAACACCATTAAAGAGGTGTCGGAGAATCAATACCCCGGCTTCTCGTTTTCTGCCTAGATGGCATTATCGGAGGATTTGTGTAAAGATTTGTAGCATTTGCTTATTTAAGATGTATGTCGATAAAATGATCACATTCTGATTCTTCTGCCAGTGAATTTATTGTCTCCTCTTTTGAGAGGCGCCTTTGTGAACAAATTCTGACTGACCAATTTGTACTCTCATCCCGTCTTCCTTGCAGCTAAGATCGTCTCTATACCAAACTTGCGACAATTTACAATTGCTGTGTAACACAATCTCGGCAATTTCCTATAGACATGCATGTAGATCATCACAAAGGCTAAAATACAAAATTCACAGAATGACAAGAGTGGAATGAAAAATAATAATCAAGATATCGCAGACAGCAAAAAATATTCGACAGAGGCAGGGTTCGAACCTGCGCACCCGAAGGTATTAGATAGCAGGAATCGAAGAGTTGATTCAAGTCTAACGCTTTAGACCACTCAGCCACTCTGCCCGAATTAGTGATTGTGGCTGACTCATAGTGACACTATAAAGCTGAGAGCTCAGCATCACAAAGAGAGAGTATGCCCATTTTAGTAGAGGAGGATCAAGGTGGATCATAGATATGGGTTTGTGCCACCACATAGTTGCCATTAGTCCTATCTTTCTTACCAGCCTATTTCTTTCAAATTTCACCTACCAACGTGCATGCGAAATACAAACATCCATCGGCAGGGAAATACCGCGGCATTAACTCGAGCCCGTGCAACACCCATATTATAATTCCTCCGAGCCTCGTCCTCTTCCTCTTTGGCCGTCATCTGTCCCACCACCCTGGCCATCGGCATTATGATTCTGAATCCATCTCAAACTATTGAGATAATCTCCTCACAGTCTACACAGCAAGATTTGCCCACCACTCACACCTCGTGGCATTCACATTCCTGGTCGTCTCCACGGCCCCCTGAGAGGTGATATTGACAATAGTCCCATGCGGCCCAAGATGCGGAAATGCCTTGTGGTTAGTAAACTTGGGGACACCCCCCTGCACAAAAGTAACAATCGCTTCCTGCAGGGCATCCTGAGCCTTGGGCCACGGCGCTGGCGACGCAGGATCGTTGAAGGTGTACTTGAGATCCTGGATATGGAATCCTGGAGAGACGCCAAATTCGTCTGCAGTTGCATAAAGCCTGGTTAGCAGACGATTGCATTCCAAATACAGAACTATTTCACAAACGAACAAGATCATGAATTTTAAGGAAGGGGGGGTTTTTACTCACAAACATAACCCTTGTCACGGACGCCTTGCCCAATCCAATAATAGTTGCAGTCAATAACAGCCTCTCCCCAGAGCTTCATTTGCCGCGTATCCATGTCGACGTACCCCAGAGATCCGTCATACTGTGGAGGATACAGCGCAGTGGCCAGATGAGCGACATCCTTGCTCGTGAGGCCGAATGATCGACTGATCCAGGTGGCGAACTCGTCATTGGTGGTGACATTGGGATCGAAGAAGAATGCGCCTTCAAACATGTTGTGGCCAGCCATGATTTTGACCGATTTATCGAATGCTCCATCCTTGATGAGCTTGCTGGGGGAACCGGTAATGTAGCTGCCGTCGACCACAGGGCCAAAGATGTAGGTGGTGGTTGGAGCGGCCCCAATTTGTGCAGCATTGGCCGCAATTACGGCTTTCGTATCAGCAGCCCGGGCTTCTTCCAAGCTACTCACGTTAAGATACGACAAGAAGTGGCGATAGCCGTCGTCAACAACTTGCATAGTCGGGATCGTAGCCGGGCTTTGCGGGATTGCTTGAGAGAACAGACCGGAGCCCTTGCCGTGGTTTGCAGTCATATGGAACAAGACTGAGCCTCCACCTGCAGACTCTCCCATGAGGGTGACGCGCTCTTTGGAGCCTCCAAAGAGGTGGATGTTGTCCTGAACCCACTGCAGGGCAAGCTTTTGATCGAGAAGGCCTGCGTTCAGATCTCCATTCCTTTCAATTTCGGAGCCGGACATGAATCCCAGGGCGCCGAGACGATAATTGAGGCTGACGAAGACGAGGCCCTGATCAGAATTTGCAGCAGCATGCTCAAAGAGGCCAACTGGGTCGTAGCCGGGAGTTGGTGTTCCAGCCTTGGAGCCGAGAGCGTATCCGCCACCGTGAATCTGCCACAAGCACAAGTTAGAGATGAGTGTCATGAACCATGCGTGTATATAGTTGTTCAAGAGTTTAGACCGAGCTAAGCTTACCCATACAAGTACAGGAGCTCCTCCATCTCCACACGATTTCGATTTTGAACTCGCCTGCTCAAAGGCTCCTTTGGTAGCGTGGACATCGAGGAAAAGACAATCTTCTTGAGCGCCCACATTCCAATCAACTGGAAGAGGCTGACCATCCTTGATGCTCTCCTCCCAAGCCTGAATAGTGAACGCATTGGCTGGATTCGAGTATTTGCCGATGGGATCAAATGCGTTATTCTGCCAAGGCGGGATGCCCTGTGGGCAGAATCGCAACTCGGAGCCGGTTTGTACGGCAGTTCGGTTCGTCTTTGGATGTGCTGGGGCTCGGAATCGAAGGTCGCCCACGGGAGGCTGAGCATATCTAATGTTTTGGAAGAGATAAGCTTGCGTCGTCTTGTTGTAGGAGAGGGCTTGATGCAGTTCCTGTTACCACAAAAGTCAGATGGCGCGCGAACGATAATTGATTTGATGGAGGCACGACAAACATATCCCAAGTCTACAACAGGCAGACAACTAGAGTCGGCGCTGGTGACTGGCGCTGCATTGGCTCTGAGCGTGGATGACAGAACGAGGCTTGTGAAAAAGAGGCGATGCATTATGAAGACGCGATAGGCGAAAGAGACGTTGAAAGAGTTGAGACGAAGGAAAGAATGGGAAAATAAGTGATTCGATGTTGGAGGCGGCGAATCAACGATTTGGTTGCTGTATTGTCGAACTTGGCGATTCTTCCACTTGCTCATGACCTGGGCCTTTGACTGCTCTTATACCCATTGTCGACATGTCTTCTATTAGTCCTCCTCCTATCGATGTTGCTGATGATGATGATGACGGTGACGAGAGCAGTGCGCGATGGATTGTTTCGAAACTTTCGAGGCGGTGATACTGAAGCCACTTCTCAAAAGAGTAGTGTATCGTGCAGAATTTGTATAAGCCATGCATTCGGCCAGCAATCTTCATACCGAGATCCTTCATCCTTCACCGGTCCAATTGCCTCTCCGAATAACCTTGGTAAAGAGAAAATAACCATCTAATGCCATGTAGAATTTGCCCTTTTTTCCATCACTGTTTACAAATATGCTTCTATTTTAACCATAATTGGGCATTGAATCTCTCCGCGGTGCAAAGTTGCCCCGACAGACATTATTCCCAAATAGGAACTGTGTCTCCCAGAAACGGTAATGAGCCATCGAATTAGTCTGAGACTCCCACCAAGTCCTCGAAATCCTCCACATGGAATGAGGTCTGATTGGACAGAGTCCCGGTTTCCGAGAACCCAGTAGCGTATTAAGTACAGCCCCGTGGCTGGGGTTTTGGGCTAACGCTGGGCGGGCCAAGGCTGAGCTGTCGGCCCAACCGACAATCCCATTGTAAACGATGCTTTTCACCACCTCTCGTTGCATTTGGGCGCTTATTAGTATTGACCTCGCGCCTGGCTGAAGCTAGTGTGGGCCGAGTGATGGATTGACTGACAGGCCATCCGTCGACACACAACCCGTTATGGATGGCTCGCTTCTTTTTGTAAACAAGACACAAACGTCCCGCGTCTTGTCGAGAAGCAAAGCCTGCGAACGATCAGCCATTTTGAGCCATGTGCAGAATAAGCGACGTAGACACGAAGCGGAAGCATCGCAGTCATTGAAGCCATGGGCCAGACTCACCACCACTCTATCGACGTCGGATGTCTCGGAGATAACGAAGACGGTGGAAGTGAAGCTGAAATTTGTTGATCACGATGTGACGACTCAGTCTATCAAAATATCAGCAGACAAGCAAAAGTGGCAGAAGCATAGAGAGGTGACAGAAAAGAAGCTCTCACCGGCAACTACAGCATCCAAATCTTTGTCAAAGGCCCTGCAACCCTCCTACAACACCTCAGACCCCTTCCACTGCACCATTGCTAGTCTGGATGCGGGCACCCATGCTATCCTTCACATAACCTTTTCTCACGCCTCACGAGTAAACTTCCTTGCCGAGTCTTTTGCACCGCCGGAGAAGCTACTGCAACACGCCCCAATGAGGCACGACAGAATGTTCCAGCTACGGCTGAAACGCTGCGTTGAGGACGAAAAGCTCATATACTCTACTCTTGCATATGGATCTAGCCTCCTGGGTTGGACAATGGGTCATTTCCACTCTGGGAAGCAGCCGGAATACTTTCTCGACAAGGCTCTTCGTGCTGTACGAGTCTATCTTTCTACTCCCGGATATCTCGTCGACGATTGGCTGCTTCTATCCATGTATGGTCTTGCAATCACGGAGATGTGGAATTGCCTGCCTAATATGTGGAGGCAGTTGCCAGATAGACACGCCATGGCCTCCAAACTGGGGTCTCGCGGCTTCTCTGCATGTCGAATGCATCTCAATACACTGCTTCAAGTTGTCGACTCTGCGGGCGGGTGGGATAAATTTGATCCTTATGTGCTGGACAGCGTGATATTGGCAGACAAGTTCATGGCCATCACTAGTCGAAAACCCCCCATCATTCCCGTGACATGGGATCCAGGGCCACTGCCCTCTGAGACTCTAGGAGAGTTTGGCATCGCGGAAGAAGAGCTGTTGGTGGCGCTGCCTCATCTTGGAACAGGCTTTCAAGCTGAGTCGCTTGCAGAAGAGCTTAACAACATCCTGCGCGATCTGGCTGCATATTGTCGTATCGCCAGCACGGCGTGGTCGTATTCTTCCACCAGACCTAACATGGAAGGCTGGTTATTTCGACGCTTCCAAGCAATCTCGTATCGTCTTCTCTGCTATGCCCTCGATCGAAACGCGAAGCACCTTGAGCGCTGCATTTCTCTAGCTTCGCTGACCTTTATTCTAACTTCCATTCCAGCCAGAGGACCGCAAATGAGTGCTCAGGACGTAACTTTGCATCTATTTGATTTGCTCCAAGAAGAGCAGTTCGTCATGGGAAAAGAGAGCGTGCCTGACGGCCTTTTGTTTTGGTTGCTGTTCATGGGATGCGTTGATTCAGAGCCAAGTTCTCATCGGCTGTGGTTTCTCGAGCGGATGGCTGATTATTGTGATAAAGAAGAGATGACAGAGTCGAGCTTTGAAGAGAAATTGGAGCCGTATTTCTTTTTGCGATCGCGGCAAGGTGCTCGAATACCCGCTGTGCTTGAATATCTAGGAACCATGGTCAAGGGGAGATAACGTGAGGAAATATTTTGGCTAGCGGAGGCGTGGCATTTGGGTACAGGGAATAGATTTGGTGGGCATTCGTAAAAAATACGCCGAGGAAATAACATGCGTTCTCAATTATCTAAGAACACCACTTGAAATAGTAGGCCTGAAGCGGCTGCTGCAAGTTGAGCTCAGCCTCCCCCAGCCTTATGTAACATCGGCCTCGGCATTTTCTTCTCCGGGTCAGCCATCTGGATATCAGACGAAATCGCTATTTTTTCCAAAGTAAATTACAAATCACAGTCCTTTGTTTTGTGAAGTGCAAAGCGGCGAGTACGGATACATTATATTTGCTTTCCAACAATCTCTAATTTATGCCCCTGCTCAGACATCCCGCAAGATGGAAAAGATGGTTCTCCAACGTGGGCCGAAGGATTCCCTTGAGAGCCGCCAAAGGTTGATCGTTCGCTCTGACCAATTATCACTACCCTTTCTGCTGGAAGAAGAGCTGATATTCATTTGAGCAAGTATCAAAGCAAGTTAAATGATCATCTTCGTCCCTGCCTTCCCTCTTCCAAATTTGGTTTTCTATTGCAATCATCGCGGTCCGGTATCTGACAATGAAAACCTCGTTGTCACTATCGGCAGCCAACATGGAAAATGGCTGTAGAACCTCATATCGATCGATTGGTATCGCTGCTGACATCGCTACATTTATAAACGCATCGTTACCCAACGTTCAAAGACTCGACAAGCTTCCCCCGCCGTCGGTCCTCTCGAAACCTCCATCTCACGTACTATCCGCACTCAAATCTTGTCGAAGACGATCGAATGCAATATTGTCGTCTATATATCGGTGCTTGCTCTCTCCCCGGCTACACCGGCGATTTGGAAACCTGATATTCGGTTTTCGATCGGCCATACACACCCCCAAGTCCCATGTACCGCAATAACTTTGTTAAATATTACTTTCGGACCGAGCGAAAATGTATTGAGCAAAATTGAATGCATCAAGATCTTTCAAGTTTGTCTGTGGTAATTACCACGTAGTTGCCATTCCATAAGCCACGTCGCATATCGTCTCCATCGCTAGCTTTTACCATAGCTGTTCTGAGAATCTGTTATGTCCAACCTAGTTATGCAGATTTACGAAAACGCGCGGTGGACAATGCTTCATAGGTTCGAGACTATGTACATTGGCATGTCTTTCCAATCAATGTGACTTTACTCTACTATGTCTACTGTTGGTAGGCGATGCGGGAAGATATTTTCGGCCAAAAATACATCTGCTTTAAACTCTTTGCTTGTCCAATTGCCTGGAACAAGGCGTTTATCACGGTCAAAGGAAGCAAAAGGGTCAAAAAAATATCCAAATTCATTAATCATTAGTCATTAATTGTTAGCCGTCTGTCGTCAGTCGTCAGTCGTCAGTCATCAATCGTCAATCCCTACCGTCTATTGTAGAAGCATACAAAGCACTTTGTCCAAATTCCGCCCTCCCTCCCTCGTAAGGACCAGAAAGACAAAACAACAAAACAATACAGCCAAGATACACTTTCCAAAAACTGCCCACCGCCCACCCAAACCAAAATGAAAGAAAAAAGAAATATCCAATCATTGTCCTCCAAAACTTGCCTACCGCCCTCCCGAAAGAAATGAACAAAAAGAGAAAGGTATCCAACCATCATTACAAAAAGCTTTTCAAAACCTGCCGAAGCCCCAATGCAGAAAGGAGGAAAATAAGAAGAAAGAAGAAAGAATAAGTCCATACAACTCCGTTGGTACCAAATTTCTCATCCATCACTCCAACTCAAACTCAAGCGGTGTGATGCGAAAAGACAATATTCAGCCGAAATATGAGTACAAATGTCATTGACCAAACGATATTCTGATATTTTTTCCCAGCCCCAGAGTAATTCTCCCACAAAAGATGAGAGGAGAGTGACAGATTGAGGGTCCGAAGTGATGGCCCGAAAAGAAATGGTAGTAGTGAGTGGGGAAAATAAGCCCATTGGGCCAAGTCATTGGTCAAGGTGACAACAGAAAGATAGCAGGTTTCCAAACCCCGTGCTTGAGGTTGAAAGGGTTTCAGCGGTCAATATGCAAACTCCAGCCCACAGTTTTGAGTGGTATTACCAGCAGTGTGCTGTAGCACCTTGGGCGAAGAGCTGTGAGAGTACAGCGCGAGCGCGTCTCCTTGTGAGAAAGGGAATATCCCATTTGTGGAATGCTTGGTTGGCAATGCTGTGGAATGAAGGATGCGCAGCTATCAAATTGCGGTGAGCCTGGGCAAGTGAATAGTGGTAGAGAGGCTGCTGGTCCGAGGTCATTGGCCAGATGAAACCTCACTCCAAGCGCAAATACATGTTTTTCTTCCCAGTTGAGGACCAAGAAGCTCTCCTGTTGCTTGAGAAGCCTCGATTCTATGACCTCCACGAAAGCTGCCTTGTTTCTCGTGGAATGAACTAGTGAAGTACTGGGTGCTGTTGTCATGACACCATTGCTCTCCGTTTGATCTCTTTCAATGGAAAGTTGTTTGGAGCGAAGATTGAGTGTGATTGTCTGCCTTGCTTTCAACGTGTTTCCGACCAAGCACCGATATATGGTTGTAGAAGACAGATCAAGAGGTGACCGCATCATTTGTTTGAGTGAGAGGACCAAGGCACTGCACCCATTGAAAGCGGAAGATAGACCACCACCCACCATCGCTACTCGAACTATGTGGTTGTAAGTCGCCTCCCGACGTCCTTCAAGAGTTGGAGACGAATTGCGGTCAGGAACTCCCAGTTGACAGTGGGCAACCCAGGACGCACGCGTTTGTACATGACGGTAAGTGCTCAGAATGCTGTCAACTCATCGACGCCCCTGAAAAGAACGAGGCGGTATGTGTTTTGGACGTGCTGTTCCAAGAGGGAAAAAGGACTTGCAAAGCAGATCCCAGCAGATTTTGCTTGGCTTGTGGAGCAGCTGTACTGCGCCATATTCTCCGGTGCATGCTGTTGAAGAAAGATATGGCGCGGTTGGCGTGCATAAGAATACTTTGCTTGAGGAGTGAGGTTTGGTACTAGTGAGGCTGTACCAGATGTCACTCCTCAAGCTCCTCGTCAACGGCGGAAGAGAGTCTGGGAGGAGGCTGGGCCTCAATAGACCACCCGCCATTACTTCCCGAACCCTCTTCCACCGTCGAGGAGGCGGTGACAGTGATGGAGGGTACCTTTGAGAACATGTTAGTGCAATTCCAATACCTTAGAGAAGTCAGGGGAGAGGGGAAATGAGTGAAAGAGGAGGATAGGGCGAGAAAACGCGAGGGGATGGCGAACGAAGAAATAGCTCGTCTCACTCGCAGTTGAATCATTCGCGTTGGCATGGAAACAAGGGGGAACAAGAACGAAATTGGACAGGAGATGGAATCTAAGATGAAAACAAAAGCTTCGTGGCAGATGTGGACGCGGACGTGGAAATGGGCATGGAGGCACAGAGACAGGAATAAGGAACGAGCAGAGAGGAGTCCAAACAAGCGATAGGTCAGAGGTGGAAGAATAGAAATACCAAGGTAAATGGAGGAAATGATGATGAAAGGAGGAGAATGGAAATGGAGTGATAGAACAGAGACCCGAAAGAAGGCCGCGAGAAGATTTAGAGCAAGACGATGAAGGAGACGCCGCTGAATGAGGACAAAGACAGTGGAGAAGAGTATAGAGTGACTGAGAGTCATCGGCGACAAGATGTCAGCAGAAGGAACATGAAGAAGAATGGACGAACACCAGAGGAAGATGGAAGATGGAAGATGATGAGGAAGACGAGCATAAACAGAAACGAGTGTCAACACGAAACATACTGACTTTGGCATCACCGTCACCGCCCCGGCATCAAAAATGCTTTGTGAAAACACAAAATGATGATGAAAAGAAAAAATGCAGAGAAGAAGAGAGAGAGAAGAGGACGAGGAGGAGAGAGGAGAAGAGGACGAAGATCTGGGGGAGCCCCGCACAGTTTCTAGCCTCTTCCATTCTCAGCTCCAAAGGGCACCTTCCAGACATTCTACACAAGCAGCAGCGCATCCACGTCATCAAAAGAGTGGCAGGTGGCCATTTTGCATCATCGGGGGCCAATGGCAGCGCGCAGATGGCAGCCGGTCTCCCGATACGCGAGTGCTTTCCTCAGATTGAGGCGCTCCTCAGGAGCTTGGCATAACTTTCAGCTGCTTGTCATGGTCCGATCTCGCTTCATCTGGTATATTATTGGATAGAATGTGTCTGAGATGATGCGTTGAGCTTGCAGGAGCGCGTCATCTGTTTGTTTGATGATTCTAGACCTCTTGATTCCGCCCGATTCTGCGCTACGACGATCACCCCCAAGCTCACTGGCTCTTGGGCAGCCTGTGTGGAAGTCGTAGCTGTCGAAGAGCTTCACCGCTTCAAAGTTCTCATCAAAAGTCAGTCCAACGTTTTAACTTTGACAACGTCATTTCCCCCAACCTACAAGGTGGTCGAGAAGAAGCACTGGCATCTGTGAATGACGATGATGCTTGATCCCGAAGCAACGCTACGGAATTATCTCCAACAACCGGAAGAGATATCAATTGGGCCTGGAAGTAATCTCGGAATATTTCTCCTCAATCTATGGGCTGTGTGGCGTTCTTATCCGCTGTCATGGCTGATACAGGTGAGATGTTCGCCTTATTTTGCATTAGCCCTCGCTCAATTTGTACAGCGTTACTATTGCATTTGGTATGACGCCTTTGAGAACACAAGCGCTAGTTTCTTCATTGTACAGTGTCCATATACCACATATTCTGTTCTACAGACGACAAGCTATGCTGAGCTCTTGATCCTGGCTCCCCCATTTGTTGCCGAAGATGACGCCTTAGGGCCACGGTCAATACCACGTTTCACGATATCCGTTTGCCGCTACCGAGCGGAAGCTACTTCTATACAACATATTTGGCGAAGCTGCGGTATCCTGTGGGACCTTGGTCAGGCTACCCCGAGAGCAATCATCATTTCACGATGCAAGATACAAAACACACCAACCTCACTTGGGTTATGCTCCAATTGTTGCAAGGTGGCGGTGGAGTCGAAGACCAACTTGTTCGATATGGAATATTTACAAATACTTTGATCGGATCGCCAAAGGGGACGGTGGAGATATCAGAGGCAGCAGAGATACCATCGTGCGCCACCCCGTTTTCTGGTGATAATGCATCCCTTGTAACAGGATTCAGAAAGCTTTCCCCGCCTCCGTCAGCCTTTTAGAGGCTTGGAAAGGTTCACCAGAGCAGTCACCAGAGGCTGTCCTTTGTAGAAACCATTACCAGAAACCCCCCTTGGCGCGCGAAGGTGGCAGAGGTAGTAGAAGTGGTAAAAGTAGTAACAGTACTAGTAGAGATACACACCGCCGTGAGGCAGTTCGATCGCGCCGTCCGCTGCGCACGCCCGGCCGATGTTTTACGTCGCCTGGCACGGGATGGCGGTGGCCGAGGGACGAAGCTGCAGATAGCTCAGTCCAAGAGGCTCAAGCTTTGGCCATCATCACAATTATCAAGGCAGGTGGTGCTCTTCATGGAGGCCATGGTGGCTTCAGTGGCCATGGCCCTGCCAACGATGTTCGGGGACGAGGTATGCTACTCATGCTTATCATGTCCTTTTGTAATTGAGCTTTGTCAGAGGCTAACATTTGATGTCAGATGGCGACTGGTGGATATGGGGGCCCTGCCCGTACCTGTTCAGTGCTGTCTCATTCCTCATCACAGACAGCAAAGGAGGCGGTAGAAGCAATTGAAGATGGCCAGCCAGATGGGGGCTGTTACGCGTTCTGCCATCAAGCCAGGCGAGCGGGTCAGCCATAAAACCCGGCTTATGCACGAGCATGGATTATGGAGCACAGGTGGTATTGGCTTGATGAAATTTGTGGCCAATCACAAATCTTTCAGGTAAAACTATTTCGAGAATCTCTTCTACGTGAGCTTTCTTACTCTTCTACGTGAGCTTTCTTATCCGAGATGGAAGAGTGGAGATTGATTTCAATAAAGATGGTCTCCCTGCATTAGGTAAATACCATTGATGCGAATTGTAACGTTTGTCCATTCTGGTCATTCATCTCGATACTAACACCATATTTAGCACCGGTAGATCGAACGGGAGATAATGATGGAGCTATTCGCCAGTCGACTTCTGAGCATCAGGGTTCGATAATCAGTTGACAAAAGACTATTGGGCACCCCTAGCCTAGAGACCGAGCGGCGGAGACTTCTGAAAGAAGAAAGTTCTGTGCAAAATAAACAGTCGAAAGTTTCAATGGATTTATCCATCTACCCACCACGGACTGGACCATGATCCCAGAGCTCCACAGCCATGAGCTCGGTTCAATCGAATATAGCTCCTTCTCCTACTATTATTCCGCGAAGCTGCCGAGTCATTCATCTAGATTTTGGGCATTGGTCTGGGATCTATTCTCTTGATACAATCACTTCAATGGATTTGGGTTTGTTTACAGCTTTCTCGGGTATCGAGTTTTACGGCTTCTATTGAACCTATACCACTGCATTTAGAAACAAACTCTCTCTCTGTTGTCTTCATTGTGTAATGATCTTGTATGCCGCTATACCAAACAAGTGAGTAGGAGTAGGCCGGCGATCATAGTGGAAGCAAGTATCGTGACGAAACCAGCTACTTTATAAGAGAGTCGGAGTTCAAGAAATCACCAGCGCTACGAGTAATCAGCCAATTCAAGAACAAACTTTCAGGCTGAACGTAGAAAAGATAAGCCTTTTATTCTGGCATAGGCTTTGGTTGGTAACAAGCATATTCTGACTGGATGATTAGACAGCAATAAGTAATTCCATCAGTTTTCCGCACTCTCCTTCACATTTCATCTTTGTCGCACGTACTATCCAATGGCATCATAGAATCGTCGTCAGCACAGACAATTGTAGCTACCATGCTCCTCACGGTTCTGTTAGATCCTTACATCCAGGCCAATATGACCCTTGGGGGATCCTTTGCGAGCCATGGTCGTGTTGGGCTCAGGGTTACTCATAAACACCCTCTACCTAGGCTAAGGTATTGAAGAGGAAAATATTGATGATAATGAGGGGGTGGCCAGAGCACACATTAGAGCTGAGAGTTCCTAGAGAGCTCCAGGATCGGGTAAGCAAAGGCAAGAAATGGGATGGATGGCTTTTGTTTCTAGATATACCGGATTGTTCGAATCGCAACATTGCGAATAGAGAATGGCATTGTATAGTGAATATTGTTGACTGATGCCAATTTATCTTGAGAGCATAATTATAGACAGGGGCAATCCAATAGTACACTTATGGCAATTACAGCTGTATCAAATCAGTGATAACAGCATATGAACAGCAATAAACACTCAATCACATTCAAACGAAGCATATTAACAGACGGAAGTCGTGTATGGAGATTTGTATTAAGGCTAGGGGAGAATAATGTAATGCTAAAATATCCAAGTGGCGCATCAAATGTGGTCCAAGGATACAGAATATAGAAGGGTAGCTACCTATTCAACAAACGGGAGACGTATGACCAATGAGCGTGATTCAGCCTGATGTCCGTCTATACATTCCGTCTTCGTATCTTTCGGGCCAATGACCAGCTCGCTAGATCCAGCTTAAAGAAAAAAGTCTACTTGCAAAGCAAGTGAAAGTTCCATGTGAATTCATGCATGTGATGCAACTTTACGCTGTGCCAGGGGCGTCTTGACAGAGGAGGCTCTGGCCAAGCTAGATAGAAATGAATTAGACCCTGGTAGGCACACTATCATAGAACCATGCCTTTGGGACCCAAGGAGAAACTTACAATTGGGAGGACACAGCACTTGGGCTGCCTGCCGTCTCTCGCGCATATAGCTTGGAAGTCGTCTCCATTGGCCGGCGTATTACTGGCTACAGAACGGTTAGTTGATCATAAAGAAAGGCGGACAGGCTAGAAACGTTCTACTCACGTGTTTTGCAGTCGAGATCAGCAAGACCGAGAACGTCTGTGCTGCAGCACTGAAGATTGGAGAAAAGGCTCTTTGGACATTCGTATTCATCGCCACCGTTGCCGTTGCCGTTGCCTCCTCCGCCGTTGTTTCCATCGCCATTGTTTCCACCGCCATTGTTTCCACCACCGTTATTTCCCCCGTCGCCGCCGTTTCCACCACCGTTGCCGCCATTTCCGCCGCCGTTGTTTCCACCATTACCACCGTTACCGCCGTTACCTTCACCACCTCCGTTGTGAGGAAGAGTAGAGTAAGAGGGGGGCGGAGGCGGAGGATATTTGCCGCCTCCATTGCTGGGAGACGGAGACGGGTAAGAAGTAGTAGGAGTAGGCGTCGCGTAAGATGGTGGAGGGTACTCGCTACTCGGAGAAGGGCAGGATTTGCCAGCGGGCACGGCGAGAGCGCCAGCCGCAAGGAGGGCGGTAACCAAGAGGTGCTTCATTATGGCGATGTGATGGTGGAGATTTCTGAATTGGTGTTTTGGTGTTGTTGTCAAAGAAGAAGAAGGAGCTGATGGAGAGAGATAGAATGCTCAAAGGGAGGATTCATCGTCCATACTTATAGTCGACAGAGCATTATGCCAAGGCAGCACGAAATGCTCATCAGTCCCTGTCTTGATCTCGAGAGAGTAAGTCTGCCATGGCAATCGCAAGATATTAGTCGTTTTGTAGCACAGTAATTTCCCGGCTTAGTCGATGCAACTCACGAAAACTCAGTCTGGGCGCTGCCGGGGTGCAGAGCGTTGATGCCTCCTCGTCGCCAATGGTGTTGAGCGCTCGCGTTGCGCAGGATCCATACCGGCGGCTAGATGAATGGCACCTTGATGATATTGACGCCAATAGCTGGACTACTTGGTGCGGCTGGCAGGAAGAATAGTCCGAAAAGAAGACTCAAGAGTCATGGCCGTGATATGGAATAGCTCAAGCTCAACTGCAAACTGAACCTCGTGGTGGATCAGTTCCATAATCCGTCTTGCCATCGCGATCGGGTGAAATGCTCGCCCAGCCTTGTACGATCTCGGGGTGTGTCAATTTAATCTAAATATTCCGATCGGCGGGTCGTTCATTGTCCTCCGAGATCAGCTTCAAACAATAATTTCCACAATTCGAGGCGTGCAGCATGGAAGATTCGCCAATGAGGTTGCGCTGAGCAAGGCCTAGATCGGAGCGCGGCATCTCGAGGAGGCGAATATCGAACAATATATTGCTTCCGGGGTCTCTTCTTCGCATTGGATACTCTTTATGGATGACGCAGGTATCGAGGCAAAATGGTTGTTGCTGCTGTGAAGACCGCAAATAATGAGTGAGCGTTGGTGTAGAAGGGCAAAATTGCCACGATCAAAAATTATCGCTATGCTATAATATCAGTGCCCCCTCGTCCTTCTTTCGGCGCCAACAATGCTGTTCCAGTTCATACCAGTCTTCCCTTTAACCTTCATGTAATGGTATTCTATATAATTTTCCCAGATGCGATAAAAGGAACATCCAAAAGCACTGCTCAGTGTTCAAACAGCTATCCATGACAACAAAGCCAAACAATGAAAGTCCCCGACCAAAGATCCTGACTCAGATCAAGCAGCCCCTCAACGCTAATAAGGCACCTGTTCACCGAAAAGCAAGGCATTCAGCTGCCATTGGCCACCTCGCAAGCACATTACAGCAAGCCAAGCCTCATTTCCAGCAACCAGCGCCGCTCGGAATCGATCCTATCCGATAGATGCAGAAAATTTCCGCCATTGTATCTTGGTCTCTTTGTTTCGAGTTCATGCTAAGACATCGGTTATTGTTCATGATGATGCAATAACTGACGCCTCAGCTCTTTCGGCCATTGAATCCGAGGTAATCTCCCTGCTCATCTCCCTGCTCTTCCGCTTGGACAGCTCTGCGTGATGTGGCGGAATCAGGTTGTACAGAATTCCCATCATGATGCCTCCCACCGCAGGTCCAAACCAATAAATCCACTGATCTACGACATCATTAGTGATTCGTTCATGAAACAAGAGGTTCATAAAAACTCACACGACAAATCTAGCCTCGCAATTCCATTTCCAAAGCACTTTGCCGGATTCATCTGAGCCCCAGCATAGCCAGGAATAATTCCGCTCGTAGAAAAAGTCACCAGCCCCAACGATGCGCCGACGAGCGCAGGACCCATCCGGGGGCCAAACAGGGCTGCTTGGCGAGGATCGAGACCGACGCCAAAGGCCAGGAAGAGGAGGACAAAGGAGGCGAAGGTCTCGTTGAGGTAGATCTGGCCGGGGTTGGCCTGCGATGGGTCGTACCAGCAGCCGCCCCCACGGACACTACAGTAGTAATAAGTAAGCTGTCTGAGTACTACTACCTGGGTATGTGGTCTCAAAAAAAAGATGGATTAGGCGTTAGGAGATCTGGTGTACGTACGCTATTGCTCTTTCTTTGCCCCAAATACCAAGGAGTATTCCTCCACCGAGGGCACCGCCAGCGGTCTGGCCAACCATGTATAGTATGCCTAGATGGGAGTAACATTAGCCAGTAGACAAAATGTGAGTTCGCAATGTACAGATACGCGTAATTTACACCGCGGCTTCAGAAAATTACCCGGCATCAAGTGACAGAGGGTAAATTGAATTGAGAATAAAACATACCTCTAGGCACCGAACATAACCCCGTCAACACAGCCGCAAACGTAATCATGGGATTCATGTGCCCTCCCGACGCAGGCGCAACGGCGTAGATAAAGGTCGCTATCAAGACGAGGTTGGAGATGCCAATGTAGGCGCCAAGCTGGGGCGTTCCGTAGGTGGAGATGGTCGCGACAATCTGGCCCGACACAAAGACCTGGCAGCAAGTGGCAATCATTTCGACGACCTGAAGAGTAAAAGAAATTCAACATGTTAGCAGCGATCCTCAAACGTCCAATTGAGTCTCAGAGCCTTGTCTGAGGCTATCAAAATGACAGCCGCGATTCAAAACACATACGGCAGATCTCCACAACGCCGGCTCAAACCACTGTCCCACGAAATAGTCCCGTCTGCGATACCACGGCGTCAGCCGCACCGCCTGAGGCCGCACCAGCGGCGCAAACGAGCCGTCAAAGGCTGCCAGGTCCATTCTGTTAGTGGCAGTCGGCGCGGAAGAGTTCGACAGCGACACGGCGGATGAAGCTGCTCGAGCCTGCGTCGGGGCTCGTTCGCGGTCGGCGGGAAGTGGTTTCTCTTGTAACGACTCCATGCTCTATTTTAAAAAGCTCCCCTCTTCTGGGAGCAGAGTCGAACGAGACAAAGGCTTCTTAAAGCATCAAAATCAATTAGAAGACTTCAGAAAGCGGATATATGCCCCGGGCTTTTTGAAAGATACGGGATCCAATTACCAGGATCGGAGAAAGGAAAAGAAGAGCAAAAGAAACACACATTATCGAGATTACTGAATACGGACTTGTCGGCGGGATCAAGCACCTGTAACAATCCCGTCTCTAGCTCTTCCGAAGTCAGTCAATCACAGCTCAGCTCCCGGCTAGACAAAAAGCGAAGCTCTACTCCGACAAGCTCCACCGGCAACTCACAAGCTGGTGCGGACAGGGATACCATATACCGCTTAGGTCGTGTCGCTTGCGCCCGGGCAATCCAGCATGCATAGGTAGGCTATCTGGCTTTGACTTTTGGGCTAGCGGCACCGTTGACAAATGGCCTTGGAGTCGTTGCATAAGCATGACAGGCGGATCTAGTAATAAGCATCAGGCGCTGGTTTTAGGCTTTATGTCACCAATGACAAAGTTTTACCTCATGGGCTCAGCCGTATATGAGGCGAATCGTGTGCATCATTAAAAATACTCAAGAGGTATCGTTATCCAACGGCTTTGTACAAGTCCACGAGGCTGCCAACCCACGGGCGATTTCCGTCGTTGCGACGAGTAACAAGGATAAAAAGGCAAAAACAGCAACGGCAGAACAATTACAACGCTATGCTCAAAACAACCAGCTAAACACGCTCTTGGCCTTTGCCTTCCATCCCTTCTCCTCCTCCTCCACCTGCTCTTCGGCCGTGTGCACATCCGTCTCGAGATCCATCTCGTCCAGGTGCACAAACTTGGTCCGCTTGATCAATTTCCAGCCCAGGTACATGACCAACATAATAGGCAGCTCAATGTAGAAACTGACAAAGCTCACGCCGTCGAATTTGGGGCTGAAGCAGCTCCATCCCTGGATGAGCACGAGAAACGAGTTGAGCACGACCGCAATCCACGGGCCGAACGGATAAGTCCAGTTCTTGAATGGGAGCAGGTGCGTCTTGCCTTGGCGGGCGATGGCGGCACGGAAGCGAAGCGAAGTAATACCAATGGCGATCCAGCTGAGCTGGTTGGAAACACCGACGAGGCTATAAGCGGAGAGGTTAGCGAATAAAACAAATGGAAAAGACTTTGGAGATCACGCACTTTTGCAGCCAGTTCCAAAGCTGACCTGCGCCAATGAAGCTGGAGCCGAAGCAGAGACCAGAAACAAAGCCAGTGGCGAGGACAGCCACCCAAGGCACCTGGTGTTTGTTAAGCTTGCCAAAGACCTTGGGCGCATGGCCCTCCATGGCCAGCGTGTACAGCAATCGTGTTCCAGCGAACAAGGCGTGGTTGCCGGCCGACAAAACACTGGTCAGAATAACAGCGTTGATAACGCTGCCGGCAGCCTTGGCTCCGGTCATTTGGAAAACAAGAGTAAAGGGCGAAGTGCGTGTGTTCTTAGAGTTGAGGCCGGGGTAGTCGTAGGGGATGTTGAGGCCGATGAGGAGAACAGAGAGGATACTACAAGGACGTCAGCAACATGTTATCGAGTGCGGCAATTGGAGAGTCGTACTAGAAGAGGAGAATTCGCCAAAAGACATTCTTCACCACCTTGGGCATGGTTTTCGTAGGGTTTTTGGTCTCACCGGCGGTAATGGCGATGGATTCGGTACCACCATCTGGGAAATATTGTTAGTTGGATGCACCGAAATCTATGAGTCCAGCTGTGCACTTACAGGCAAAAGAAGCAGTGACAAAAACAGAGGCAAAGCCACCGATGCCACCAACAAAAGGAGCACCCGGGATATGCCAGTTTTCACCACCAATGTAATGGCCCTGGGCATTGCCACCGCAGTTGACAACGATGCCCATGACAATGAAGACCACAATGGTAATGACTTTAAGCAGACTCAGCCAGTACTCGAGCTATCGAGGTCTGTTAGATCCGTTATTCGATAAATGCTGTTCATTCTTTGCTTACCTCGCCGTACGCGCGCACGGTAGCAATGTTGACCGCAATCAAAACAAACCAGAAGATCAAACTAAGAGCCCATCCCGGAAAGTGATCCGTCCAGTACTGCAAAACAAGCTGAAGCGCGACCAGATCGGAGGCTGTTGAAACGGCGTCGTTGAACCAGTAATTCCAAGTCAGAGCGAAACCGAAAGCGTCATCGACAAAGCGACTGATCACGAGGTTACAACGTCAGCAATACATTCAACAGCTCGACCAGGCTTGGCAGTAACTCTTACCCCGCAAATGTACAGAAACTACCTGCCACTGGCAAAAATGCCGCCATCTCGCCCAAGCTGAGCATTGTCACAAAGACGATGAAGCCGACAATGGCGTAGCAGATGAGCATCGAGGCTGGACCGCCAGTGGCCAGCGACTTGCCTGTGCCGAGGAAGAGACCCGTTCCGATGGTGCCTCCAATGGCAATCATCTGAACCTGGCGCGCTGAAAGGGAACGACGAAGACGGTCCTGGAGAACGTGTGTTGAGCCTTCGAGGTCGTCGGTCGTTACCGCGAGGGGATCATTTCGATCTTTCTTGGCCTCGTCGGGCAACCCCTCGGGGTTGTAATCTTGGCGGTAGCCCATTATGATATATTTAATAGAGATATTTCCCTTTTTTAGTTATCACAAAGAACGTGTTGTAATAAAAGAGAGAGAAAGAGAAGAAGGGAGCTGCGTCGAGGTATCTCGTGTCAACGTGACGAGCTTCCAGAAGGAGTCCAATGCCTGTACTTGGCAACGGGTGTGGCGTCACTATCCCGCTGTGCGTTGAACCAATAACCCGCTAAACTCTCAACTCAGTTGCTGGCCGGCTCGCTGCTATTAGTGCCATGCAACACAATTACAGTGAAGAAAGACAGAAAGAGAGGAAAGTTGAGAAACAAGAATCACGGTGTGGCGATCACGCAGATGAAGTAGGTTCGTTCCCCTTGCAACTTTTAGCTCCTTCGAGAAGAAAAGAAGCATGCCATTATCTAATGCAACCCCATCCAAGGCGAGAAAAAAATGCCCATGTCCCTAGAAAAATCTGGTGATGGCTCAGCGACAGCCTTCCGTACGCGGACATGGCCGCTGTGCTAGGCGATTGCGTGCTCGACAGGATTCTCCACTGGGGGGACGCAAGCTCCAATGAGGCGTGGCGAGAAGCTCTTTTAGTGATGACGATACCCGGACCGGGATGTCAAAGCCACGGCCTAGAAGCAGGAACGCAAGGCTTGAAAGGCGCCGAATGCATCGCTAAATTGCGCGAGGCGGGCAACTACCGTCAGGCGATCTGCAGGTTTGCTGTTAGCTGAAGCTGCTGAAGCTGCACCCCAGACATTGCGAACAATGGGATGAGACTGGAGTACGTAATCGAGCCCGTTGTCATCGACTGGGCCGTTGTTCGTATCTTCTGTAGTAATAGCGCCGAGGCTATCTGCTCCACATTCTGCTGCCTTTTTGGTGGAGAAGCACGAGGCAGCGAGTTCTGGAGCGTCTCGACGTTGGAATCTCTCAGATTCTTGTTACGCTAAGAAGGCGCCTTCTCGGCGTTGGCTTCCGAGTCATTAGAGCGTGTCACCAAAAGCTGACGAGCGATCCTCGGTTTTGTTGCCGCGATACGATATCCGTGCGCCACCATTGCCACTGTTGGTAGACGGAGTTGTTACTCATATTGAGAACTGATTGCGCCATTCGTACAAGTTTTTGCTTCGAGGTCTTTGATTAGTTGAAAAATAAAGCATTACATAGACAAGTGAGTTGTAGGAAGATCTTTGCAATGTCTTTTCTTTTCTCATCTTCAACGACATTTTTCGTCAATGTCCTTATCGGCGTCTAATCGATAAGCCCAATATGTTGTATCTAGTAGCTGATACAAAACTTTTCTAGCGTTCAAATCCAGGTGCAGTTAAGATCAAGCGCCGCCGTTACTGCGCTATGGGTGCTGTATATTGCCCCACTAACGGGCAGGTGCTTATGTGAGCCTCTATGGCTTTTTAGAGAAAATATATGAAAGTGATATGATTGCTTGTCTACGATATAACAGCCTTGGAAGTATACAAAACTACGTGTAAGCTATCTACCAAGTATTTGAGATGAGTTTGTAAGATTAAGAGAACCACGAGGCACTGTGATCTCTCAGCTGGTTCTTTTTTCAACGTATAATTGTTGGTTTAACTTAGGGTAGCTAAAGGATACTCTCAGGATTGAGCTCATATCTTCCTTTACCGAAAGAATTAACAAACGCTGTTAATTTTTTAGAAGCTTAAATGTGTTACATCAGCATTGTTATGGATTCACGACCTCGGACCATCAGTCAAAGTCAGATTTCGACGTTCCCAGCATACGTTTGGCTGAATGGTGTTATAACTCTCCAGTTGGTAAATATTCCCCGTACTTTCAGAATTTCTATGTCAGTGGCATAACAGCCGGATGTACTATCACAAGATAAAATGAATAAAACTAGTGCTCAACGAAGCTTAGAAGCTGGCAAAAGTCGTACGGTGAATCATAACACAGGCTGCCATGTATCTAGCTCATACGTCTTGTATATCCAGACGCCGGGTTATCAGCTCTAGTGTCGATTCGCTAAGATGTAGTTGGCTTTATTATCCATGTTCAAGATGTAATGAAATGGCTAATTGATAGTCCAATTGGAAGAAAGCCAGCAACATCATTCGTCTTGTGTCGGTTTCGAGAACGTTGAATGCCGTGAATATATGCCGTGGAGTGTTTTGTGATTCGCGCGCTTATAAGATGTCTCGTCGACTGCAACAACACACGTCCGCGCTGATATCACTGAAGGCTAAACCTATGTTTAGTCAACGCTCGACCTTGCCAGCCAACTATACATAAAGTGATTCATCTTTTCAGAACTCAAAGACGCCAATATGAATAATTGTACTGTACGGCGGTGTTGTTTTATGGTCACTAATGATACATGTAGGCAATTGCAAATGGGCAGATGATAGCATGATTATTCCAGGAAAGGCCCTAATAACAGCCATCAGCTGCAACTGTTGCAGGTATACGAGCACCTGTAACGTCCCTATATGCACTTACATAATTCTTAGTACATACAGCCGGCTCTATAACGACAATTAGCCTGTCGGAAACCGGTTAAATGCTCAAACATCAATCATTGCTTAAACAGGAACATATGTCAAGTGTCATTGGCCCAACTCAGTCCATTTGACAGACAAGCAATTTAGCCATTGAGTAAACCATGTTTACGGAGCCACGGCTGTTGTAATAACTGCCATGAGTGTCACCCCCGCAACTTTGCAGTGTAACTCTGCATGGTGTGCGAGGCAAAAAGCCGATTGGAGCGCTTTTCCGCAAGCATGGGGTAGTGCCACTCTACCAATATGCTTATCCATCGAGAAGCTTGGCTTGGTGTGAGTGAAGCTTGTCACCACATACTTCCGACGGCTTACCAAATCCTCTCAACAATACCCGGTATACATGATCGTGAACTTATAAAAGGACTATAAGTTTCCAGACATTATGCATCAATCTCTCATTCCATCTTCATTCACCAATCTCAACTGTCTTCTCAACATCAACCACTCACAATGAGACTCTTCGAGACTGGAGCTTTGCTGCTCGCTTCGGCGGGTGTTGTCTCTGCACGAGTAGCTGCCGCAGCTGCCTGTGCGCTTCCATCCACATACCGCTGGAACTCGACTGGCGCATTGGCCAACCCAAAGTCAGGATGGGCGTCTCTAAAAGACTTCACTCATGTCACCTACAACGGGCAGCATCTCGTCTTTGGGTCGTTCCACGACACCGGATCGACCTGGGGATCCATGAACTTTGGCCTGTTCAGCGATTGGTCCAACATGGGGTCAGCAAGCCAGAACAAGATGAGCCCAGGCACTGTTGCGCCCACTCTCTTTCACTTTGCGCCTAAAAACATCTGGGTGCTTGCGTATCAATGGGGGCCAACCACCTTCTCCTACATAACAAACAGCAATCCCTCCAGCGTGAGTGGATGGTCGTCGCCGCAGCCTCTCTTCTCCGGCACCATCTCCGGGGCGAGCGCCATCGACCAGACCGTCATTGGCGACAGCTCCAACATGTACTTGTTCTTCGCAGGAGACAATGGCAAAATCTACAGGGCCAGCACGCCTATTGGAAACTTCCCCGGCAGCTTTGGCACAGCCTCCACGGTGGTCCTGAGCGATTCGACCAACAACCTGTTTGAGGCCGTCCAAGTCTACACCGTCTCAGGTGCGAACCAATATCTCATGATCGTCGAGGCCATCGGAGCAAACGGACGCTATTTCCGATCCTTCACCTCCAACAGCTTGAGCGGATCGTGGACTGCGCAAGCCGCAAGTGAGAGCAAGCCATTCGCTGGCAAGGCGAACAGCGGCGCTACTTGGACCAACGACATCAGCCACGGTGACTTGATTCGCAGCAATCCTGATCAGACCATGACGATTGATCCTTGCAACTTGCAGTTCTTGTACCAGGGACGGGCGACCAACTCTGGGGGCACTTACGACCTTTTGCCCTACCGACCTGGTCTGCTAACTCTGCAGCACTAAGATATGTATCTTTGTGGTATAACGTGAAAATGGTACTGGGTTTTGAGCATATATCTATATATCAAATTGCTAGCTCTATGATGAATGATATTTTTGCTTCGGCTATCCATATCCTCCTGTTTGTTTGTAATCTCAGTTTCACGTGATCATGCACTTTTGAAGATGGATTTCCGACCCTGGCCAGCTGCCCGAGTGAACCAACACCTCCGTAGCTGCATCTTCCAGGAATTCTTTTGTTCATCGCAAGGGGATGATTAAAACGTTCCAGATTTCCAAAAGAGAATGGTTCAGCCACCACCTGATCATCGCCGTCATGATGGTTCCCATTCATTCTCCAGCCCTTTTCCGCTCGCCTCGAATATTTCGTCACACTTATCACCAGTTATCCACTAAGCCATGTTAGAGCAGCATCCTCAACCGCTATAAACGCGTTAGTAAAAGCCAATCTTTGCAACGAGTGCTAGAATCTCACCTGAAGCGTCCCTAAACTATCATCAGTGTGACCGCCGTCATGCGGAGAGAGCAAGACTCCAGCCAAACTCTTCTTCGACTCTTGAAGTTCCATGACTTGCTGTTGATCCTGTAAGTAATCGTTGTCTATTTTCATTACAAGCTGAGGAAGTTAGTATTACTGACCTCTTCAAAGGTATCACGTACGTAGAACCGCACAGTCGTAACACTCTGCTTCTGTCCAATTCGATGAATTCGAGCTAGGGCTTGCTCTTCGAGTGTCGGATTCCTAAAGAAAGAATCAATGATAAGATCATGAGAGATATTTATTTACCCGGGATACCAACCAATGAGGCTCCATAAGATATGCTCGCGACGCTACAGTAAGCGTAAGGCTACATGAACAATTAGCTTCAGCAACACTACGAAAGCGTTTTGGTGAGGAATAACTTGCCCAACTGCGCCGCATGACAGCGTGAGTAGCATGACGCGAATGCTTGGGTCGTTTTTGAACTTGTCTACAACTGACTGGCGTTCTTTTTGAGGAACCCTGCCGTCGAAGCGTATACTGCGCAACGAGGCTTGATGTAGGCCAGTTTCGATAATATCGAGAGTTAGTCTCCAGGTCGAAAATACAATGCTATAAGGAATTCAGTATGCATATGCCAATCATGAAGGATCAGAGAATACCATTTAGTGTCTGAAGGCAAAAGCTTGATGTCAGCGACAAGAGCTTCAATCTTTGATGGAAGGCCAATGGAGGAAGCTTTCATTTGCCGTGGAACGAAGTCGGAAATATCCTCAAAAATATTCGTGCTTATAGAAACCGACGCTGTAGGACAAGGGGGCCGATGTCCGCACCCCGATTTGCGTCCAGCTTTATACATACAGTCGCCGCATACAAATTTCAAGCAGCGAGAAAAAATTGGATTTTGGTGCGTCGTACTTGTGTCGTCCAAAAGAGTTTCGGTCAACTCTAGAGTCGACGAGCATTCGACACAAACAATTGGCTCGATGCCACGTTGAGAATTGAAAGTTTGCTGCGCGACTCTAGTCCAGTCGCTAGCTTCTGCCGGTAAACTAAGGGACTTTTGGTGTCTCTCATGATAGTGGACACCAAGATTGCAAACAAGTCGCAACGACTCGATTTGCTGTAACACGTTGACATACACGCTTGCTCTCGACGTTTCAGAATTGCTTTGAAGTGCTTCGTCAATTCTCGTTATCGCCTGCTCTCTTATTTCAGCATACAGTTCTCTTTCTTCACGGCTGAAATCAATGGGACACCGCGTATCATGCCTAGGAGGAAGATTGATGGTCGTTTTAGGCCTGCGTAATAATATACAAGCTGAAAGGCGCTGTAATCTCTTAGCACCCTCTTCGTCTTGTCCAGATTTCCAAAGGCGAGCTATGTCGGTGTCAAAACGCTCTGGATCCGTATAAGGATGCACTCTAATAAATTTGAGTAGAGTAGCAAGGTCACTGAGGCGATTTTGTATGGGTGTTCCGGTAACAGCCCATCGAGCAATAGAATCGAGCGCACAGATGGCATGGGCCATCCTTGATCTTCCATTTCGGATAAAGTGGGCTACTCACGTTAGATACTAGAAATGCTCAGCTTGATGGAATAGTGACTGACCTTCATCTAAGATTATTCTCTTCCAGCGAACAGAGAATAGGATTGAACTTTCGGCTTCTCGTCCATTCTTCCATTCGGCAGAAACGGTGTGATATGTAGTTAGGACCACGTTGACATCATCGAGCTTATATCGGCTAGTAAACCTAGTCTTTCCATAATGGCGCTGCCATTGCAAACCGCCTGCCACAATGTGTCTGCTCGACTATTAGTTTTACTGATATATGGGCTTCCGAGACCCCCTCAGACTTACTCAGACAACTGTTCTTCCCAGGTACCAAGCACTAGTAACGGTGAGCATATAACGTATTGCTGACTCGAACATTTGTGACTTACGAGGGGGTGGTATAATAATAAGAGTGGTAGCGATACAGGGTTTATCCCCCGCCTCCCTCTCTAAGGAATTTTTGGTGGAGTTATTACTGCTATCTAGGTCAGAAGCCGCTAAAGCAATCATTGTCAAGGTCTTGCCAAGACCCATTGGATCAGCAATGATGCCTCCATAGAACTGAGGAGGCTCTTCTTCTTGGTGGCTGGCTGAGATTCGGTTGACAAAACTGCGAATAGATCATATTAGCCTTGCTAAAATAAGATCTTCAAGACTGCTTACAATCTTCCTTGGTCATTATCCACTTTCTCCCAAATATCTAGCTGATTCGTATCGAAAACCCAGCCATTTTCCCGACGAAGCAGAAATGTCAAGGCTTTTTTCTGGTGGCTAAATGTTCTCGATCGATGAGTATGCTGAAACATAAAAAAAAAAAAAAACGTCTAACAAAACGTTACCTTTGGAGAACTGTTTGTATAACTGCAGGCTGAGGAGCCTCTTCCAGCTCGACGTTGCTGCTTAGAATGTCCAGTAAATCCGGTGCTTCCGATATGCCTTGAAAAGAAGACAACTTGAGCCCATGCGATACAATCTGAGAGAGCAAAGAACAGGATTCAAAGCTATCCGAAGATAGCCGATGAGGATTCCAGTATTTGACGTCGTGATGGCATTCTCGTGGATCTTGAAGGTACTCCCCGTACTCTTGGAACCAGATGCCAATCTCCTCAAATAAATTTGAATTACCATATACGGTAATTTCCAGGCCACATAAGAGCTGTGCGGCATTGCGCCCCGATTTTCGACCCGAAAAGCTATGATTTGGGATGCAAGAGACATGAAGTTCCAAGGTAGACTCATGAAGAAGACCCTGTATCATTTGGCCGTGCTCTGACATAATCAACCCTTTCACCCGACAGTCTTGGATGGCGGTAAACGACGACGATGAATCTAGATGGACGGCAAATGGTGATATTGTGCCGCTCGAATTCGGTCTGTCGCATCTTCCGGAGATGCCTGAAATCTATATGAGACCTACTTAGAGATATTCAACGGTAGATCGCCCATAGCGGCTTACCATTCCAAAGCAAACCATTACATTTTGCTCAGTGAGAACTTGTAATGTGGTAGATGTATCTGGATCCTGCATCATGTCTTCATCCGTCTGGCAAGGAGCATCGAATGAGGCATCCGAGAAATGTGGTAGAGTGACGGGAGCTTGCCATGCACCTATTTTGTCAGAGCCAGGTACTTGATCGGGCGATAAATATTGAGATTGTAAGAATTGAGTGGAAGTATCAATGGGAATACACGAGGTAAATGTTGCAAGATCATGCTCTGTTGTGAAATTGGCAGATGCAGAGTCATCCCATGGCCAAAGCTGCTGGTGCATAACAAAGTCATATGATATTGTCGAATCTAGAATCATCTGACCGTACGACTGTTCATGGAGATCGAAAAGAGCTGAAGCATCGGCTGCAGCTGGATCTTGCGCCATCGAGTCTGCATGAGGTGCCGAATACTCAAAAGGGAAGTCGTGAGAAGCTAGTGGGACATTGGGGGTGATTGCAGAGGATACAACCATCAAGCCACGCTCTGACATATGTCCCATATAACTCTGCACGCCTTGTTCGAGCCTTCGCCGCTTGGGAGCAGGATGATGAGTATCAACGGGTTCCATGTCGGGACTGCCCCAGTATCAAAGCCGCGTCAAAAGACAAAATCGGCGCAAATGTCGCCGCGGAAAGAATCTGGAATTGGAGTTCAAAGGTTTAGCTGGTGATGGGGGTAGGCATTCAATATTTTCAAGGCTGCTTACTTTAAGAAATTGGAAGAACGTGATGGCGCGCCCGAGGCTGAGCAGGCTTTGCCAAAGCACTGCCAACAAGGCAGCGCGCAAGGCAACCTACGCGGCCTGCATGGCTGCCCAATCAAGGATGGACCTATATATGTCAGCCCCTACTTGATTCGCTCACAAGAATAAGATCGCGTTTTCCTCCTTCAATGCATTTTTTGTGTATGTTCAGATACTAATATATTGGACAGGCTTCAAGGATGTCTCTCCCCCTACCGGTGTCTGCCACTGCGAGGCAAACATTAAAAGACGCTTTTGAAGATCTTGAACGAACAGTTACCCCGGCAGACTCGCGCGACTTTCGGACTGCTACTCTCCAACACGTACGAGATGCGGCGCTTGAAATCGAAAAGCAGCTTGCTGCAAGAGGATTACTTCGCAATATGCGTCGCCTCACGCCTCTATTCATAGGGTTGGAGCACTATTCGAAGGCCATGGATACTCTTTGCAGCGGATTCCCATATCTGCCATGGATATGGGCACCGATCGCTCTTGTTCTGCGAGTTGCCTCGGAACACGTGGAGGCTTTGGAACAGATCATTAAGGGTTATGCCCAGCTGGCTGAATCGATTGGAAGATTCGAGATATTAGGCTGTGCTTACAAGGACAACCACAACTTTCAAGAAACCTTGGCGGTCTTCTATGCCGACATTCTTCACTTCCACAAAAATGCTTATAAATTTGTTCGGCGAAGCGGTAAGTCAATACGCCTCTCTGCTCGTATCCTCTCTTCTGACATTGGCTAGGTTGGAAGCTATTATTCCTTACATCTTGGGTTCGATTCCAGCGACGGCTTGATAACATCGTTGAAGACATGAAACGCCATATCGACTTGGTTGACAAAGAAGCAAATGTTCTCAATATTGCCCAAGCACAAGAAATGCGTCGCGATATCCGTGCTTGGCGAGAACAAAATGTCGAAAAGGTGAAAAGCCTCGAGGACAAACAAGCCATCAAGCAATATCAGTCAATCGTTGCGTGGATGAACATTGATGAGTCGGATCAACTGGCTATATTCGAGTCACTCGTGTCGGAGAGACGCAGCTACCCAAAGACATGTTGGTGGATCTTTGAAACCGCCAAGGTCAGCTCTTGGCTCGAAAAAAGACCAGAATCGCCAATCCTTTGGCTGCAGGGCACACCTGGAGCTGGAAAGAGTGTGATATCCACGCAACTCGTTACATATTTGCAGTCGTGTAAAAGAACTGTTCTGTATCACTTTTGCACTTCCTTGTATATGTCATCTACCATATACGAGCAGATTCTTAGATCACTGCTTATGCAACTGCTGCGTAAAGATGGTGATTTAGTCGCGCACGTCTATGAAGATTTTGTCCTCGGAAAGAAATCACCGACGGTATCTGCCTTGGAGCGACTTTTACAGCTACTTTTCAAAAGCGTATCCGCTGAGCCGTCTCAAACGGAATATTTTTGGATCGTGTTGGATGGCTTAGATGAATGTGAGCCAGACAAGCAGGACCGTATTGTTAGCTTGATAAATCAGGTAACAGCTCATAGAACCCTGTCTGGAAATGCGGTTTGCAAGGCTCTCATATCAAGTCGTTCTTCGAGGACGTTATCGCGTCGGCTGCGTAAGAAGCAAATTATCTCTCTCGGTGAAGAGAAAGCTCGCCTCGAGGGGGCAATACGGCTGTATGCGTCGCAAAGGCTGCAGGCGCTCGAACATAGGTTCCGTCAACTGGATATTGCGCCAGAAAATTTGGATGATATTGAACGTCAAATCGCAAAAAAGGCAGACGGTAAAGTCATCCAGATCGTTGTTGCCTTAGGTTACTGATAATCTCAAAAAGGAATGTTTCTTTACGCTCGACTCGTGCTGGATTACCTTTCTACAAACGTATTTTACAATTACGAAGAGATCAAAGCGTCTGTTAATCAGCTGCCGGATAAGATTAGTGATTTGTCAGTTATCCGCCGTGTGCCCATTAGGCACGCCAATACTGATGGCCCTTCCAGCTACCGACAGATTTTGACTCAAGTGCTCATTCATTTGGATCATCGGTCTCTCAATAGAATCAAGTGTGTGCTTGGCTGGATCGCATTCGCAAAACGCCCATTGAAAAGACTCGAATTTTTGTCTGCCGTTACCTTTAGCGCTGGGGATCCAAAAGTTGCCCATCTTGCTCCACAATACATCCTGGATATCTGTGCGCCACTCATTGATGAAAGGCATGATACGACTTTGACTTTTATTCACGCCTCGGTAAAAGAGTAGGTGATGTTTTTTCTGCAGAGTACTGCCTATATGTATACATTAACATGTTTCTAGATTTCTCCAGACTCCTACTTGCAGCCTGTCTATTGATGAGCAAGCAGCGCGTCAAGAGCATGGAGTAGCTGTTATTACTTGTCTTTTTTCCGGATTGGACATATTTGACAAATCTTACAATAAATTTGCGAGATACCTTCGGGTAGTCAAGGGTGTACATGGCCTTCACGTTTATGCTACTGAATATTGGACGGATTATCTCTTATCTTCCGCGAAATACACTAGTGGGCTAGAAGGAGACTCGACAATGTTTTCCCTAGCTTGTCAAATGGCAGAAAAGCTCAATCTCACAGCGGGTACATCGACGATCGAACACTTCGAGGCAAAATCGAGCGTGCATGATGAAATATTAACATGTTTGCAGAAATATCCAGTTCTCTATCAGCAGGTCAGAGTGGCTTTAGGTGCCAGATCGATCAGGCGGTTAGAACATGAGCTACTGCAAATATCGGGTAAGCATTATCAGTAAAACTATCAATATTGAGTCACCGATTCACTGACATGTACCATATTTAGCTGTCGATGGAACTTCGTGTTCTTCGCCTCTTCCGCCTGTCTTAGATGGTATATCAGCAATGCTCGCAGTGTACCAAGAAACTGTTAGATCGATACTGGACCAAAGCGATCATCCGGGAATATCCGCAGAAGAGCTTGAATTGTTCAAGAGCCAGTTTCGAACTTCTGCATTCACCTGTCGGCTCAAATCATGTCCTCGAGCTACACTGGGGTTCGAGGAGGAAAAGTCTTGCCTTGAGCATGAATTGGCCCATGTGCAAAAAGTCAGATGCACTAATCCAGATTGCCATTTTCCGCCTTTTGCATCGGCGCAGGCTCTGAAAAATCATGTTAACAAGCATCACAACTCCGCTCCCAAACCTAGATCTATTCGCGATATCCTGACATCACGAGCAATAAGAAGCATTCCAGCCTGTCACAATGATGAACGATACAAAAACAAGCAGAGAATGCCTGCAAAGGTTATATCTCTTCCATACAACTCCAAGACTAGGGATGACCGAGTACAGATAGCGCATGAAGGCTTACGCGACGTCTCGCTCAGAAAAGGCAGTGCAGAGGGAGGGAAAAGAGCTAGTCACCTTCTTGCGGATGATGCCAATCAGCAGCAGCATCGACTAGCCCAGCACGAGCGAGTCGGTAATAGGATTGGGCGTATTAAAAGATCTTTGGGCGATGATTCAGACGAAGCCTCAGACGACGACCAGGACGAAGGTTTGAATGTGAGTTTGTATAGTATCATAACAAACTTCATGGCACTGCCACACCACCCATTATTCCAGACAATAAGTATGCCATCAACGTTCAAAACGTGGCAAGACTTCTGGACATGGATGAATTCAAGCCCGGAAATTACAAAACATGTCGAATCCTTTGCTTATATTCAATATCGACAATTCAAGCGAAAACTACAGGTGGAGAAAGTCTTTTCTCCCGGGCAGTCACTTTTTGTGGTGCCGAAACTAGAAATTGAACACCTTCGAAAATATGCACTCTGGCGAAATGAGTCAGACGACACAATCGCTAAGGCGATTATCCAAACAAAGGGAATTGTTTGGAAGAAAATGCAAGAGGATGAGCTACAGTCGTGGGGCAAAAGTCTGGAAACACCCGCCCTACCGTCCGCAGGAACAATTTCGTTATAATGGGTAACTAGAATTGACACAGTTTTATTCATTTAATAGTGAATTTAGCATATGCCTGAGCTAGAGAGGTTGCAATATACGGCTAAAATATACGTAGCAATAACAGAGTATGGTCTGTAGCTCACCTCAACAGCCATTCATACAACGCTATGCGTGATATCAACACTAATTGTGCCATCACAATGAAAAACATATCTCTGACGCCGCTTCTTACGTGTGCCTTTACTGCAGCAGGGAGCTGTCGATGGCGCTCAATCTGCCCAAAGTTGCCGCAGCCTAAAAGTACTAGGGCGTAATTATTTTGGTCTCCAAGTCTTTTCCTTTGAAACTAGATTGCTGCAAGATCATCATCTATCAATTAATGATGATAAACGAACGCGCGAGATTGTAGAAGGAGGGTCAACCGACGAAGGATGGTTGGAGAAATTGTGTAAGTCATGTAGATTCAGATATACCTACCTGTCTCATGCAACGGATGGTTCCAAGCGGATGATTTCAACTGCATCCATTTCTCCATGAAGCAAAGGGCTAGCCAAACTCTTGCTTTGCGGATGATCTGGAGTTGGTTGCCATGCTGTGTCTCGCGAGATTGTGGAACTCCAGATCCAGGAAACTCAACTGCGATAGTGCCTCAATATCACGGGTTGCTGATTGAAAGCTGGTAATTAACCCTATGATTCCAATGATAAAGAGGTGTCAAACTGTATAACGCGCGACCCACAGCAAAGTCGCAAGGTCGATGGCAAGACAAATGGGAATGGATGGCTGACAAGGAGATTGCAGGGGCAACCAAATCAAGGGTAAATCTTAGACCAAATGAGTGAGAACTTGAGATGCAGGCATAGACACTGGTTATCTCAAGGCTGAAAGAACCGAGGCGTATCTTTGGCCTGGTCTTGGTTCATACACAGGCTACCGTAGTTGTGATTGCGCCAACTTTTCCCGGTAAAGTGTAGGTAGTTGGCTGCAGCTTACATTTAAACATATGAGAGTACGTTGCTGTTTAAACGGAGATCTATGTTTGCTCAAAATTAAAAATCAGTCATACATATTTAATGTTCTATGACTACGAATTGATTCGGCTGACGAAAGAGGGTGTACAAAAAATAAGAAAAAGAAAAATGGTAATGACCTCTAGGTTACTGATATAACTGAACCGTGGTTTTGTCTGATTTGGTCGCTCGTATTGGCGGGTTTACCCCGCTATTGCTTAGCTCTCCGGTACATGCGCAGAGATGACGGCCCAAAACAGCCCGAGTAAATCTGTATCCATACCCATACTCGGGTTACCTATCTCGCCAACACAAGGCTGTAAATAAAGACCCTCCAGTTCTCCAACTTTCAAGAAATGTTGATCTAGTCTATATAAATACTCAACCAATTGCCAAGCTAGCCCTCAGTCGTGAGAAACCTTTTGTTGCGTCCCTTGTTCTTGGAAGGCGGCAGAGGGCGCATCTACAGTGACAAGCAATAGCCGCCTGCATTCAACTCCACTCGCCACGACTCACCATCTACAGCCGTTTGTTTGTCCGCCAATTTCTTCTGCTCAATTGCCGATTTATTTTCCTCAGTCAATCTTTCACAGCCCCTCGATTGTTTCTCGCAATGCCGTTCGTCCTCCGCAAGGTTTCTCTCTCTGCCGCAAAGCGCCTTTACTCTGCTTCAGCCTCAGCAGGTCTCCGCATCAATGCCGACAGGCTACAAGAAACAATCCACCACACATGCCAATGGGGAGCTGCTCATCGATACGGGAGGTTTGTTGCCTATAAAAGTCCATCTCAAATTGGATTCTTGGATGCTAACAATTGCTCGCAGCGGCCCAACGGAGACGGGCATGTCTCGTCTCTCGCTCTCCGACGATGATGCCCAAGTCAGGCGCTGGTTTGCCGAAGAGACGAAGAAGCTGGGATGCAGCCTCGTTGTTGATGAATTAGGCAACATGTTTGCCAGCAGACGTGGATCTTTGCCAAAGCCCACTCCCATGATAGCCATGGGAAGCCATCTGGATACTCAGCCTCGAGGTGGCCGATACGACGGCATCTTGGGCGTCGTCGCGGCTGTTGAGGTCTTGCGGACTCTTGCGGAGAATGGATACAGCACACATCACGACGTAGGAATTGTCAATTGGACAAAGTACGTGTCTCAAGGCCAGGCAGCAATTTTTCTTTGTTTCCTTTAACTGTCTCTTATCTTCCTTGATCTACTCTCTTTGTCTCTTTACAGGCCTAACTCAGACGCGTGTTCAACAGCGAAGAAGGTGCTAGATTTCCCAAGTCCATGATGGCATCCGGTGTATGGGCCGGCAAGATTCCTCTCAAACAGGCCTACTCTCTGCCTGACATCTTCGACCCCTCAGCCACCGTCAAATCCGAGCTGCAAAGGCTTGGCTACATTGGAGACATCGCCTGCTCTTCAACCGGATATGCCTTGGGCGCCCACTTTGAGCTCCACATCGAACAAGGGCCAATCCTCGAAGAATCCGGCAAGAAGATTGGCGTCGTCCAGGGCGGCCAGGCCTATCGCTGGTTCACTGTAACCGTCAGCGGCCGCGATGCTCACACCGGAACAACTCCCTTCAAGTCACGCAGCGACCCACTGCTAGCAGCATCCAAGATGATAGTGTCGTCCAACGCCATCGCAAAGAAGCTCGGCGCCCTGGCGTCCACCGGCGTTTTTAAAATCCCTCCAAGCTCTTCCACCAACACCATCGCGTCAAACGTGACTTTTACGCTGGATATCCGCCACCCAGACGATGCTGTGGTCGATGAGGTACAGCGCCTCTGCACCGAGTCCTTCCAAGCCATCGCCGAAGAAGACGGCCGTGGTGTGAAAGTCGACATGAGTCTCGATACCGACTCCCCCGCCACGAAATTCGACCCGGACTGTATCAAGATGGTGGAAAAGGCGGCGACAAAGCTGGTGGGCGCCGACGGATGGCTTCATATAACGAGTGGAGCGGGCCACGACAGCGTCAACACAAGCAGCCGATGCCCCACGACCATGATCTTTGTTCCCTGCAAAGATGGCGTCAGCCACCATCCAGAGGAATACTGCAGCCCAGAGGACTGGTAAGTTGATTGAGGCTGTTGTTTGACACTGTATGAAGCAATGAAGAAGCTAACTTGTGATTGTCATTCTCTCAACAGCGCTCTAGGAGCCCAGACTCTCCTCGAATCAGTCATCAACTACGACAAGTTTAAAGCAGGCCAATAGGCAGAGAGCTGAGTTACCTCTACAGAATGTGGGACACAAAGATTGTAGCGCAGAATTGAGAGAAGAAGCGAATTATATACATCAATTAGATAAAATCGTAGCGACCGTACACGACTTGCTTCCCCCATGACCGTGAATATACCTGCTGCTAAGATACCCAGAAGAGAGATATGAGGCCTCGTATAGTCTACCACCCAAAACAGAAACAATTCCATCATATCAGCTTGTTGTGCTTCTTGGGAAGATGTGAAGAGGTCGCAAAATGGACGACGCGTCTGAGATTCTAGCTCCACCGGTATTCGGGGCGATGACGAGGATATTGGCCAACTCGTGGATTTCTTCGTGATTTGCCAACAGTTTGAAAGACGCTGTCAACTGTGTTGAGAGGTGAAAGAGTAGAAGTGAAGTGGAAGTAGAAGGGTAGGTGCCAAAATGTACAAGAGAAGAGAAAGTTGAGGCCTCAATAGACCGCACGTAGTGTCACCGGGAGTGTGGTATCGGACGTCTAGCTTCAAGATGATGTTGCAAATGCTCATCTACCTTGTCTTCCGCCCGAGGTAGCGATATCAGCGCCGATGAGACAATAAAGTGACAACGCATGGCCTTTTCGCTATGCTCTCCCAAACATCGACGGTGGGCGACTCAAGCTGGGCTGCCTCTGCCTCTGGTTTACAGGCTTGGCTTTTGGCAGCCCTACGTCGTAAAATCCTATCCCTCCAAGTTGGCTTTGGGCTGTTTTTGTTTGGGAATCTGTTTCGAGATGTCTTTTTGGTGCGCTCACTGCCGCTAGATGTGGGCAAGTCCTTAGGATAGAAGTATGAAAGGCAACGCAAGCTTTGAAAATCCGGATGATATAAACAATGTCCCTGGTTTCGCACTCCAAGACGCCTAAGTTGGGCAAGGGCGCTCTTGCAGCCCTGGATCGTAAAGTCCTACCCCCGCCGGTGAATCATGCTGGATCGCCCCTGCCTCGGGCGTGCGCTTCTTTGCGGGCTTGGCTTTTGGCTGTTTTTGTTTTGGAGCTTGTTTTCGCCCTGGGTCGTAAAGTTCTATCACGCCAAGCCAAGCAGAGAGAGGGTTGATGTGTGATAGAATTTGACTCGTTTGGGTTTTCTTCGGGATGTGAAAGCCTTGGATAATGCTTGGGAAATAGATCCACTGACTTGGGTAGGTCTTGTTGAGGGGAACGATCACGGTATCCAATCTCCCGTAGAGGCTTGCTTGGCCGTACTCTCGTATCGAGAATATCTGCTTCGGCTGGAAGCAGCGCATTGTCATTATGGCGCGCAGATGGCTCATCAGCTCCTAGAATTTCACGTTCCATTCTGGCAATGTACTCTTTGAGAGTCTCACCTGGTGTGTCGTTAGTAATGTGCGATATCCTCGGAGAAAGGCTTTTGGCTGCTTCAGAAGGGCCTGCCGTGTGAACTTACCCTTTGCGGGGAGTTACGCCGTAAAGTCCTATCACGCCACAGTGTGGCCGCCAAGTCGCTCCCGCCATTTGAGGTATTCGACTTTTGGAGTGTTGTTGCTGCTGCTGCGGAGCCGCCCTCTTTGGAGTTGAGGCCTCAATAGGCCGAAGAACGAACTGGTAGCTTGTTTCCAATCTGTGACATGGTCAGCAGAGCACCAAAAACATCATTTGAACGAATTACATACCTCGTTTGCCTCTCAGGGCATCTGCAAAGCTTGGTCAACAAGCTGGAGAGACGTGGTGGGCTCAAGGGTCGTAAAATCCTATCCTGCCGAGCCTTTGAGTTTGGCAATAGAGAGTGTTTTTTTGAAGTTCAGAGGGCTGCTAAGATGAGAATAAGTGTGTGCGAGCAGGAGCCGAACCATGTGATAGAGTAAAAGGGGTGATTGCTGCAGGGCTGCTGCACTTTGGACGATTAGCTAAGGTACATGCAGTAGGTATCAACCGCTGAAGGCACCGTATCAGATAGAGTGTTGAGTATTTGAGACACGTATTTTCATCTAGATTCTTGTAATTATTTGTTGATTCATCATGATATGCCAGACAGCGTATCCACGCCGACTGGAGCACAAGTATGCAAGGCCGTGCGTCGAGGCTGATGAAGAAAGGCTTGCTAGGGCAAACAACCGGTTTGTATATATTCTTCTGAATTCTACTGAATTATTCTTTAACGCATCCAGAGAATTTGTGCAGCATTTACTGAACCTTTGAAGCAACAAAAGCATCCAATTCTTTCTCAGTCCAAAGCTTGAGACCAAACCGCTCATTCTCCACGTTCTTATACGCGCTCGCATATTTACCACCGAGCAGGGCCGACCGCAGCAAACGGGGCGCATTCTCCATGTTGAATCCATCCTGAGCAAAGCTTTCGAGGCTCTTCTGCAGCTCGACTGAAGAATCCAAGTTTGTTTCCGTCCACGCTAGTTCAGGCGACGAATGCTTCTTGACCAGCCTCACAAGTTGCGCTTGTGTTACGGTCAAGTCGTGGATGAAGATGATGCGGTTCTTAGTTCCTTCGGGGTCTTTCAACGCATTTGCGACAGCTTTGCCGATGGAAGCCACGGTAGTGACGCTGAAGGGATTCTCGCCATTGTCAATCAGCTCGACCTTCCTATTGGCATAGTCGAAGACGAAAGGGAACGAGAATATCAGCTCCAAAAAAAGGCCATTGGAGAAGACTGTGTACTCGATTTGACCATTCTCTGCCTTCTCAGCGAGATACTGCCGTATCTGAGCCGTCGAAATGTGGATGGGAAGATCCTTAGCGCTAGGATCGGTAGATAGGGCGCCAAAGTCTGCCGGGATAAATCGCTTTACGCCCGCTTGGACAGCAGCGTCAATAATGACCTTTTGCTCTGGGATGGCTGTTGACGTTATGGTACAAATAACTACATCTTTGCCCTTCATAGCCTCAGTCAGGCTGCTGAGCGAAGAGTAGTCCACTTCTGCAACGTGGACTCCTGAAGGCAGATCTTTGACGGAGGACTTGGAGCGAGTAAACAACGTCACTTCGAAGCCTTTCTCGAGAAGCTGAGGTAAGATGGCGGAACCGAGCATTCCTTTCTACATGTTTGTCAATTAGTGACCAGTATGAATAACGCAAAGCCTAGATGAAGAAACGTACACCGAGAAGGGCAATATGCTTGAATGAAGCCATGGCTAGGGGTACCTGATGCTTTGGTAGTAGGTACTTGGAGGAGAGTGTGACAGTAAGTTAGAGAAATAATGTTGAAGCCACAACTCTATTTATATGCGTATCACTACTCCTTCTCAGGTGCGTATCACTCCTCCTTTTCAGATGCGTATCATGGCCCCGTTCTCGAAACTCCGCAAGGCCTGGCAGCGTCACAGGTTCGCGTCGATACACCAACATCGTCCCCTAATTTTGGGAAGTTTGATCCTGATTCATAGTTTTGTATGATCTGCTGCCTGATCAGCGGAATGGATCAAAGTCGTAGTTTTCAGCCTTCCAAGCGGAGTTTTAGGTGGCGTCGCTAGCGGAAATTGTAACGGAATGAATCCTTCATGCGATAGGATGGAGGTGCCGTTGTGATTTATCGATACCAAGAGATATGGGCTAAATAACAGTTGTTGATCTATTTGCCGGTAGGGTTTTGACAATTGGAGGTTTGTTCAGGGAAGTCCTAATATTCATGGGATGTTAGGACGCTATTTGTTGGATTGATAGATGGTGGTGATGTACCTGCATAGTGGCGCTGTGTAACAAAACGTCTGCTGCAACAACAGTGTAAGCGGTACAATTGTTTGCAAACTTTTAAGCAAATAAAGATGCTAACATGTGTATTCCAAGTGGCATTGGCAGTTCTATCTTATGATCAGGAAGCAATGAACAGTATATACAATGCTGCAAACGACTTCTTTCCCGACCCATGTCTTCCGCTTATTAAGCGCATCTTCCTGGACAGAGTCTGCGCGAGCATACTATAATTCTCAAGACAAGTTAGGTCGAGTAGATGAGAAGCGGCCAAGCCTCGGTGTGTCCATATGCTATTGTTGTATCTTGTTTAACCGCTCTGTCAATCACTTTTGGTGATACCATATAAGGCAGATCAAAGTCGCAAGTGCGCCCAACTCCTAATTGGCGGGGCAGCGCATTGTCTGATCCCACATTCTCCGCAAAACTCCGCCGCGATTCCTTCATCCAAAGCGGCATCAATAGCAGGCGACGTGTCATAACTGCGTATTTGCGGGAAGGATTCTGTTCAAAACTGTTTTGGTTTGGGCCTTGCTGTTTCAAATCGCGACTGGAGATACGAATTTAGAGCGAGGAGGATCAGGCCAAGACTCCGCAGACAGTAGTTGCTGTACAGCCGGCCATGAAAGAAGATGCCGGACAATGTGGAATGCTCGCGATCAAGCAATCGATGTCATATGATCTTGTCTATATAGGTATCTTCACAAAATATGAGTATTCTCAGACAAGAATTTGACAACAAAGGCCCTCTTGCGGCCTCTCCCCATGTATATACCTCCTATTAGGAACCTAGTCTGTAACTACCTCCGACCCTAACGCAGGGAGACCATTTTCATCGAGCTCAATCTCTATTCTTCCATCTCGGATAAGCAAGCTCACGTAGACCGGATACTTGTCTCGTGGTTGCTGTGATTGGGCTAGGCTTTTGCGTCGCGAAGTCGGCAATCAGTTGCTCATAGTTGGTGACGGTGTCGACACGCTGGTGGTGCTCGAGCGGAGCGAGTCAATAGTGCTGGATACCAAGCGTGGGGTAGTTGGATTTGTGATCGACGTGTTCCTACTCTTTGCTTTATCTGCGTGTACGGTAGTGAGACGCTTCTGACATGCTTTGACTTCCGGATCTCTGAGACGGATACCGGATACGCGGTGTCTTTCTTAAGAAAACCTGCGAAGGCAACTTTGGAAAGGTGGAACATGAGAAATTGTCTCCCAGATATGCCTTATTGGGGAAAAAAGATTGTCGATAAGCCACTATGGTCACTGGACACAGGTTGGAATAGTGAGTAGCAATGGAACCAAATACTGCCAAATCACAAGTTTCACTGCCTGTAATGTATAGGAACACTATTCCATTCTTGGTGGTGTTGCACTCGCAAATGTAGCACCCCAAAGTTCCAAAGTTTGAGCTCCATAGAAAACGAAAAGAGGAAGATGGAAGAAAGAAGGAGAAGGAGAAAAGCCCACTCTCTTCTGAGTAGCTCTGCTTGTTCCTATAGACGCTCCTAGCAGGCATCAAGTTTGTACTCGGGTGCCTCTTTTTCTTTTTCCGCCTCTTCCTCCAGCTGTTCCATTTTCTTTTAATATCAACTCCATCTTGCTGTCTCTCTTGGTCTTTTCCAATTCTACAGGCGCTGGTGCTGGCGTCCATTTCATCAAGTCTCGGATAATGGATAAGTCTCGATCTCCTCATGAGGATGCTCAGATGTCGGGCCCGATAGGAGCAGAGGAGTGCTCTTCTCTAGGACAGTGCTTTGGTGCTCGTCTACAAAGGAGTGTCAGACAAGTTTTGCTGGAACAGTGGCTGATTTATACGATTCGCAAGGTTCTACCCGAGACTTCAAATAAGTTCTTTTAAACGAGCCATGAGGTAGTTTCCGGTGGTTATACTATAAGGGATATCAGTGCCCACTTTATCCCAGAGAAACAAAAGAAAAAATCGTGGAACTTAACGTGGCCGAGTACGGCCTGCTGTCTTGCCTCCAACCATGCACCTGAAGAGATCTGCTTTGGATGACATGGCGATACTGTGGATGAACGAAAAGCGGAGGCTTGAGGTAGCAACGTCAGTAGGTGTCAAATAGTATTAGTATGATAGTAATGGGTTCTCATGATGTCAAATGGGGCTAGACGTCTCATTAGAGGGAGATTTGAAGCGGCCGTGAATGACGTCTTGGGAATTGGGTGAGTATGATTGGACCGTAAAGCTCTATATCACCGGTCTTAGAGGGCCGCTGATGAATTGGTGCGAATGCGGTCCTTTTTGCCCATCGTCATTATCAACTTGTTTCGTTTTTGGCACATGCCGAACCCTAACTTCACATATTGGCAGTTCCGCCAGAGATGACTCTGGTCTAGTATAGCTTGGTTGATCTTTTGGGGCGGGTCTGCTATATCCATTTGTGGTGCCTCTATCAAAACTGTCGTCCATGTAGGTCGGGCTGTGGTGCTTTGTGCTCACGGCCGGCATCACCTCTATTCGGATTCTCTCTAATTTGAGAGCAGTTGTCGACTTGGTTGTTGCAAACTATTGATAGCACAATTCTTCGTTTTCTTTGTTGCGCTGCCTTCATTTTATTGATGATCTATCCACCATCTATATTATCAGTGATCTCACAACAGTTAGTCCAAATCACATTGTAAACATCGTCATCCTTGTCGACCGAGCATATACTGACCAAGCTTCTGACAGCCACGAGCATTCCTGCCACCCATGAAATCCTCTTCTCATCAAATGCTAAATCGTCATAAGACGCCCTTATAGGCTACCCTTCCCAATGGGTGGACGGTTAGACAAGAGTACTCGAGGGACAACGCTGGTTGAGCTGGGGCTAAAACAAAGATATTCGCAGCGGGTTGGAAGAGACCTATGAATTATCTGAATTTGAAGGCAAATTGTACGCCCTACCCGCGACAGCTCTGATGCCGATAAGGATCGTTATACATCTCAGAGAGGCCAAGAATGTTCCAAGCGTCAGAGCGAGAAGTTTAGAACAAATAGACCACCTTGCAATAGCAATCGAGCACTAAAAGCCCAATTTGGCACATATCCCAGCGGACGGTTTATCCAGATGGAATGAGAAGTCTCCAAAAACAAGTCAGGAAAGGCGGGAAACAATTGTCCTTGACGGTGAAACAAGAATCCTCGATGGATGACAGCCATAGGAGAGCTGGCGGCGGCAATATCAATGTCTCATGGTTTCGAGGCACCAGCTGACTCTCTGAAAAGCGAGAACAACAAAGAAAGAAACCTTATTGTCAAGACTATGGCGTTGAGGAGCTCTAATGATAAAAGCAGTGGATGTATGGGCAGGAATAGTGACAGTGTTTCTCTTCGGTGAGCGGCCGTCGATGAATCGGTCTGGAAGGTACAGTTTGTCAGTAAGCGATATTATGCAAGGGATGGCGCACACAGACAAGTAATAAGAGATGGGAAAGCTTACTCGGGGTCATCTTATTCAACTCGTCGGATCGAGTTGGCCTGGCGGTAGTGAGCTACACACATGGAGCGAGAGCCTGAAGTTGCGGCCTGTTGACTACTGAAACATTATATGTCCCATCGGCTGGTGTTGTTCTATCAACAGAGACGTGGATGCCTGTATCATAATTGAGGCATCCGCGCTACTGCTGGTACTCATGAGTACCGAAGTATTCCCAGCCGCTTGTCTCTTCAGTGTTGATATACAAAGCAACTTAAAAGAGAGAACCGACTAGGAATACTCCAGTATTCACGAGTACCAGCGGTAGCGCGGATGCTTCAGCCATGATACAGGCATCCCCGTCTCCGATGATAGAACAACACCAGTCGATGGGATACATAATACTTTAGCCCAACGTAAACTTTTCTCCCAAATAATTGAACCCCGCCTCGCATGTGCCATGTGTTGCGAACTGGACTTTATTCCCTTATCATGTTCGAATCGATGCTGCGAACCATCATACACGATCGACCGCGGGCTATGAAACGGCAGAAGCCGCTAATGATAGGCGTGTTCTTATTGCAAGACATCAGTTCATAGGGTTGCTCCAGTACCTTCTCCTCGGCGGCCGTCAGTCCCCGTATCATGTCCTTGGCCATGTATTCTGGTTGGCTGACGTGAGCATGTCGAGGATTTGTGTGGCTGCAGGGGGCCATTGGGTTGTAAAGCTCTGTCTCCCGAAGCTGTCGTAGGGCAAAGATTTATGAGTCCGCTGATGCGAGCACCTGAAGGAAGTAGTCTCGGTAAGAGAACTTCAAAATTGGGCATTGTTGTGAACAATTTTGATTGAGAGATTTGATGATCTTTGAGATGAAACTCAGCAAAGGAAATTTCCTCGGCAGTCATGACTGATATCTCTACAAGTTTGCATTTGCCATGAGAAGACTTCTCTTGCTGCTTTCTGGGCTGGCCAGTGCGCGTCCTCGAAGCATTGAACAAAGCTTGTTGCTCCTGCTGCTGTGTGACCGCGTTCTTCGCCATGGGATGCCTTGTCGAGTTCTAGAGGACGTGGCATTCTGCAGCCCAAGATGCTCTTTCAGAAGAGAACTCAGAGCGTCGGCACCCGATGGCCGCTAACTCCTAAAACTCTATCCACCACATGGCTGCGAAAAGGAGTTGATTGTACTGCCTTCGATGGACGCTTTCCAACGTTCCAGACCGCCTCTAGGAATCAGGCTATCCTCTTTTCTAGTTGCGTGATCCATGCCATAGTAGTAATTGACCCACAACATGGTAACAATTGCTCTCGGAGCCAAGATTGACCAATCGCGCACTCAGGCGAAACAGCCTCCACGGAACAATTCTCGTAGTCTTGACTGTGCTTAGTCTCCGTGCTTCGGTCTCAGAACCCCTGTTGCGCATGCCGAAAAAAGGGAAGAAGCCCGAGCCAGCAAGACAGCTCAAAGGCCGATTCCAACCGACAAATATGTCGAACGCGTGATTCAAACCGCGAGATCTGATGACACAGCGAGCTCATACTGCCCACCTATTGACTGAACATTCCCGGCCCGAGGAAACGGCCGACCTCTGTAAATTGTCTTGGGGGTGAATTTCTTGGTGCTTTGGAGAATTGAAGAGTCTTTTGAACTGCTGCGTAGTGAATACGGCCGCTGAATCGTAAAATTGTATCTACCAAGGATGCAGATTGATGTATAGACTTGTCTTTAGAGCCCGGAGGCAGTAGCGACGTGAAAAGAATGTCAGAATCAGCGATAATGTAAAAGGAAACTGCGATTGAGAAAACTGCCACACTTAAGAACTCCTGGATCCACTGGTCGTTCCCACCGGCCCCGAGATTCTCAGTTCCGTTGATTATCATGGTTGCAGAATGGATCTTCGCAGCGTCGTAAAGTTCTATCCGCCAAGGGCAGAGGTTAAGAGAACTGCTGTCTTTCAGAGATGCCGAACTCAGTGGTGATTTCCACCGGCCTCGAGACTCTCGGTTCAGTTGATCATCATGGTTACGAAATGGAGCTTGATGTGCTGCCTTTGAAATGTCTCGAGAGTGCATTCTCTTGTGCTTTGGAGACACTAAGGGTCTTTTGAGCTGATGTGTCGTAAAATTTTATCCACCGAGCTGTTGTATGGGAGAGGCTGATGAGTCCACTAATTCTTGGAGCCTGGAATCAGTAAGTGTCAAGGGACCAAGGATCAGTGTACGCACCATGAATGTGAAAGAAGACTTTGACCGAGAAAGTAGCCGCTTTTGTCCCAGCAGGGAGTAAACGAACTTAAGCGAGGGTCGTAAAATTCTATCCAGCCTAGGGTGAAGGCTGGTAAATACACGGATTCTGAGCACTAGGTGGTATCGTCGCGTTAAAGGGACGTCGGTATTCAGCATTATTGTAAGCCAAAATACTTAGAGCTGCTGCTCTACCTCCCCGAGTGAGTAAACGAGCTTAAGCGAGGGTCGTAAAATTCTATCCTGCCGCCGCAAAGTATTCCAGCGAGTGGCAACTGACTCCTAGCAGGTCACAAGATTAGCACAAGTATGCTACTATCGACTACATGTGTCTACACAATCTACTTACATCGAAGCTGTATCTGGCTGCAGCAGGCCAGTGGGTTCGTAAGGTTCCATCACTCCTTTTCATAGTCTCTGCAGGGACCGCTGTTTGGTATGCCTAACAGGTCGATTTGTCATTTAGGAGACTTTCCCGCAAATATCGAGAGGGAGACTTTCCCAGGAGTTTGGGTATCAACCAAACGATCTTAACAGAACCAGATAAATTGACTGCGTATATACATCTTCCCAAGCGCTCCAGGCGAGGTTTGCTCTGTTCTCTTGGGAACATTGGTAGGAAAAACAGAGCGACCGATGGAGAGAGGATAGGTAGCTGAAAAGACTAGCCCACGAAGAAACCGGCAGATAAAGAGAGTGGCAGACGAATACGCTATGGGTAGATGAAGAAGCTGTGGGCGGATGCAGAAAGCAAAAGCAGTCGACGAAAATATCGCGACGGAGCAACCAGCTCCGGAGGAATAGCGAACGGTGATACTTCTAGAAACGTCGAGGTCAATCAGAGAAACAACAAAGGTGTCTGCTGTGCACATACTCCTCGTGTGGTATTTCCGACAAAGAAAACAAGAAATGAAACTTTGCACCTGGTGGCTACAAACGTGCAACAAAGGGAGCGTGCAGGTAGCAGAGGGACGAAATGTTGAATGATCAAAGAAAAACACGAAGAGAAGAGAAGAAGTTGAAGTTGTGACAGGTAAGTAGTGTAGGCAGTGTAGAAGGTCGAGCAATAGAGGAAGCCTCGAGCAAGCAGAATGTGATGAAGGAAAAAGTAAGCACGAGATGGTTGGGGTATCGTGGCCAGGACAAAGGACTAGTCGCAACAGAGGAGGGAGGAAAGATTGATATACTAAAATATTTCAATGCCTATCAGGGTCGTAAGGTTCTATCCATTTAGCCGAGTGGATAGAACGTTGCGACCTATTTTTTATTTTTCCCGAAACAGGGAAGGGAGGAAAGATCTATATACTCAAACTTTCCAATACCCATCATACGCTGTAAAGTCCTATCCATTGCCAAGTGAGTAGGGCTTTACAGCGTATTTTTGTGCTTGCTTTGTACTGCGTAAGTATCTTGTAAGGACCCGAGTTCGATTCCTCGAGAGTGAACGCTCACCCCTTCAAGAGTCAGGAGAGGCTTTTTATAGGGAAGCGAGTTTGCTTTATCACGTAACTAGAATGCCATGGTAGGTATATCAATAGCAGATTCAACGGCCAAATTTAAAACGAGCTCTTCAAAAGAGGTATTCTGATGCGAATTTGGTGGTCAAAGATTGCTGTTGGATATCTAGAACAATCTGGCGGCCGGCGGAGTGATGGTGGGTGGCGAGCCTGCAGGAGGAGAAGCGCCAGCTCACTTTTCGACATTTTGCCCAAAAGCCTTTTTGAAGGGGAATTATTGAAAATATTTGCCCCTTTTTTGCTACGAGTCAGTATCCTGCAATTTTGTTAACTATTTAGGACGAATACGTGGACATGGCAGCAAAGTGCAGCAGAGCGACCAGAGGCGCAGGCTCAAAATCACCATCAAGTCTTGCACAAGATTCGATTTTCTCTTTACTGTGCAACAGCTTTCGCAAATATCACTGAAAATCATTGTTGCAAATACAAACAAATTGTCAATGACACGTATTTTCATCTTTTTGACATGTTTTCCCATTCACAGCGAATCACTCTCGTGTAGGTGAATGGATATCAAGATATGGCCCAGGCACCCGCGCATGGCACGAACCGTCACTACTGGTACCGAAAAATGCTACAAAGAAAATGGCAAACATGACTTCTCAACTACTAAAGTGTTCATTCGAGATACTATTCTGGGAGCTGAGGCTCATTCTGTGCACATTCCATCTTCCATATGTCGCCAAACACAAGTCTATACTCGTCGATGAATCTCTCTGTTTCTGTCGGGCAGCTTGGCACGATCAGATCTGTCGCAACGAAATCTACACGTCATCTTCAGCTTCCAAACTCTTGTATGATACACTGATACTTTCAGCGGTCGCTCTCTTGTGCTGGCTGGCTGATCATGTCTTGGGTCGTAAGGGCTAGGGATAGCCGCGATGGCTCTGATCTTTCCACTTCACTAATGAAGAAGAGACAGCCTGGAAAACTAGTGACGACGCTTTTTATGAGTACCCATAAAGTTGATCATGACCTGATCCAATGTCTAGCGGCCAATCCAAAAACAGATGTTAGTAACATCTGCATTAAGGGCCAGGTCCATGGGCTCATCGCTGGCGCTTGGAGAGTCTCAGCGAAGCGTACGTTCCTTTGTGGACTTCTGATGCAGATCGATGCCTAATTTAACCGACCAATTGTCTTCCACTGCGATAATTGTTTGTGCTTGGGTCGTAAGGTTTTATCACGTCCCGAAGGACATAATGGGACTCGAGTCGATTAGCCCATTTGCAGTTGAAGATCTCCGACGTTCTTCTTGATGTCACTCTCGCGAACATTTGTGACAGTAAATTTGATTTGCGCTGCCATTCTGCAAAGGATGTTACCTATGTCAAGGAATGATGGGATATAAGTCTCCCCAAGTCCCAGAGCGAGAACCAGTGACGAAAATATTTCATCAAATTTGGCTAGGAAGCTGAATGACTGGTTGCTGCTTTTCTTCAAGGATGTTAGCAACAGTGAACTCCACATATAGAAGGTGAACTCACATCGTAGATGATGGAAGAGTCTCAAGAGGCGACTCTTCGCATCAAGGCTCAGCCAGTTTGCGTCTCGAAAGCTGGCTAGGCGGTAGTAGTGAAGCCGCCAAGTACGGTAGTCCACTCCAGGCGCCACTGCCGCCGCATTTTTGCGCACTGATGCAGGTCGTAAGATTCTATCACGGGATAGAGTGATGTTTCCAGAAAGTTGCTGGATGCGATATGGCTCCTCTGGTCGGTGGTAACAGTGGCTGTAAGGGCACACCGACGGTCTCTTGCGTTAGAGGATCGAATTGAATAGGCTCTTTTGCCCCCCGGCGTTTCTTCGATGACTTGCTGAAGCGTGGCTAGGGCGAAGAAACGCCAGAGGGCGGGCAGGTAAGTCCAGGCTTTGGTGTACCTAAGGAGATGTCAGTGGAAATAATCGTGGGTTGAAGATTCGCAGTCTTTGGTAGGATACTGACCTTTTGCTTGGATGCCAGAGCCGAACCCTTTTTTTGTGTTTGTTTTTTCTTTTTGTTTTTTTTGTGGAAGATAAGTGATGAGAGAAAACAAAGGATGGGAACTTTGGTCACCTTGCAGGCAGTTGGCAGCTTCGAGGCCGACTGAACAAGGAGTCATGTGACGGGGCCCTGCACGATACATATAAGAGCACTGCATGCTCTGCTAATCCGTATGTTACGATTCAGTGGGGCTTAAAGAGCCTGTGTTCGTTATGTCTGGGCGCCATATGAGAGCTTGAGGCCCGTCTTGTTTCGGGAACGTGAAGATGTTTTGACGGTGCCAATCTGATCATCTATGATTGAAATACTGGTGTATTCGTACTGCCAGTACTATAATGAGGCAATAAATACATAGAATCATTGTGTGAGCCTCCTTTGATAGATTTGTGGTCGAAGACAATATTCGAGATTCTTTTCTTGGCATGCATAGATCCGAAACCCATATGCATAGATAAACTACACACATTCAGGTACACTAGAAGACCGGGGATGAGAATCCATCAAACAAAATAACAAACGTAACAAGATTTACTACACTACTCACGATTTGGAAGAGGAACGTTGGCTCTAAATGCAAGCCAGTGCTTGACGCTGCTTCCATCGTCTGCATACCCTGCACTTGGCGAGAAAAAAATCTCCAAACGGGAAATTTGTCCGATATATGAACGCAAAGTCAATAGTATGCCATTGTGTAGTTGGAATTATTTGCAGCATTTTACAGAAACTAGGCTAGAGGCATACGATATACGGTTAAATCTGCGGCTGCAGTTACAGTGCCGAGATATGATCTTCATCAAGCTGTGCAAACTAGGTAGGATATCGCTAGTCGTGTAGAGAGATCACTTTTCATGTTTGCATCTGGGGGCCACCCCTTGGTAGGAATTTCAGGCCAAGTTTTTAGTATTATCCGCAGTACTACTAGTAGCATCGATATCATGGCGACTTTTTGATATGCACAAGTTGTGAAAGAACGTCGCGCGGCGCTGCTTCGTGCCCTGATAGAGCCCAATGGCGAGAGATTGAATACTTCCCAATGGGCATTTTGCCTTGGGCAGTATCACACGACGATCGTCGAAAAAACACACTTGCAGTCCAATCGCTTGGCTTTTCAACAAGCCGCCACCAAATACTAACCGGCGCGTTTCTAGCCAGGTCCAAGGTTTGGCTTGCGTCGCTACTTCGCAGAACTACCACTTGTAACATGAGCTCTACAGCAGTACCAATTCCTCCATAAATGAGTGATGAGGCTTTCTGTCCCACATGTGTTCTACCAGTAGCCATAGCTATCATGGCGAAAAAAAGTCTAGTTCAGTCATCGGCTAATGAGTCTCGTGATACCCGGCTTAGTACAGGCAAATCGGCGCATCGCACCTTGGCATGTTGCGAATCTCGATGATCCGCAAAGAGCGCCACATGGCGACATGGCGGCGTAGTATTGGAGATTGCGCACCAACTTTAATCTTTAATTAGTTATTTGGCTTAGCAGCATTGCTGAGGTGCCATGATATCCACATCTCAGCTGGAACGTTATCACGGCCCGCGAAACAAGCTCTGGCTGTGGTCCATAGACTTTTGGGAGGGGATAAGTGGGTTCTGTTTTCTCGGCGACTAATGATATAGGGCGACGCAATAGTCACTCTCCACTGATTTGTAGAGATAATAGAGCTCATATGCTATTTAGAGGGCGAAGCTTTGGCAGGGGACGGAGAGCACACAACGCCCTCACCGCGTGAAGCGTGATTCAGCACCTGGTGACTCTATGACACTTTAGCAAGTGTTGTTATTCTTTTGTATTTCAGCTTCGGTTTCAAGGATGACGTATATTACTATATTCTCTACGATTTCTACTTCTCCATCAATGGTCTCATCGATGAACCTTAGGACTGGGTAGATGTTGCTGTACGAAGGGTAGAAATATAATACAGCCCAAGCTTTAGTATTGTACCGAGTACTTGGTATGCAAGTAGGTGGCGCCGCTTGCAATATGGATCACCAATCACCTAAAGCGTACGTTATACTCTGAAGATAAGTAGTTAGAACCTATGAAGATCTAGACGTTAGAAAATGACTCAATGGCTCGATGCGTTATTGCTAAACATACTTATTCTGCGGTGAATCTTCAGTTCGTTTTCTTTGAGGACATTGTGTAGGTCTCGAACGAGGAAAAAGCTAGTCGCGCACATAGTTCATCTGTCCGAACATCTAACAAACAGGCGTCTTTAGTCTCAACCCTTTGAGCTGATGCCTGACGATGTGGCACATACTGCATGTAACTAGCTCTCGAGGAAGCCACCAGGTGCGGCAGCATTTTAGGCTTCGTCGACGTGAAAAGGAAACATGGAAAGCTTAGATACACTAGAGTAAGTGTACCAGAGTAACATTTCAAAGTATATTTTTACATAGAGTGGACTCTTGGCAAGAATATAAAGGCGACGAGGCTCTCCTAGAGTCGGTTTGCTTTCCTCTACCAACAGACAATTCTACGAAAGTAACGAGGCTCCTCCAAAGTCAGGTCTTTCTTTCCACCGTGAACAGTTCAACTCAACGACAACACTGCTTTACCTCGCCTTCCTCTTCAAAATGCGCTTCACTCAAATCATCGCCGCTGCCGTGCTCGCAGCTCCTCTCGCTTTGACGGCTCCTGTCTCAGCTCCTGCTACCCTCACCACCGCCAATCTCAACTGTGATCTCACCACTGACCCTCGCTATGCCACCGCTCTCTCGCAGGTGGAGGAAAGATACCCCAACCTACCCAAAGAGGATGCCAACACTGCAGCTCTGGGCTACCTCGAAGCTGTTGGTGTACACGTCGCTGTTGGTTTCTCCAACAGCACTGCTTTGGTATGGTTTACATGTTTGGAACATTGGAAGCAAACGCCTCACTAACGCATAAGCAGACTAAGCGTGATAGAAAGAAGAAAGCCTGCTGCAATAATTGTGAGGACTGCTTCAGTGCCATCTTCACACTCGGCGGTTGCTGCATTTCGGATGGGTGGAAGTGGCACGGTCCAAAGTTTGAGCTGCCACCCATCAGAAGTGATGTATTCAGATGAAGAGGGATTATTCGAATTTGCTTCTCTATTCTGTGTTATCTGTTTTTCTCTACGGCTATCATTGGTCGGTCTACAATGATTTCCTATGTGACTTGTCCTCTGTCAGAATCCAGAAGCTTCTAGTTTTGTATCTGGGAAACATACCAAGGAATATTATGGCCGTGGTCAGAAATATGATGTTAAATCTCTTTGGTTTTGGATAGCTAGTTTGTTAGTGTACAGGTGTAGAGTTCAATAGAGTATATTGTTTGTAAATGGTAATTTGTGCTCTCAATGTAGCGAGTAGGTCCGGATATGAGGTGTTGGAATAATTTGAGACAGGTGTCATGTATGAATCCTTGAAGCGATGCAAACCTTTTCTCAAAGCTGTGCTGAATATGTGCAAAAGCACTTGGCAGTAATCTAAAGTCTTCATATCATGAGAGTAGAGACTATGCAAGAGAGAGGCATTTACAACTGTAACGCCTAGGTGCTAGCATCAAATTAATCTTGCAGTCCGTCAGTGCAAACAGCAGCGGCTGGGACGCGGCACGCGGAGAAACATCATCACGTTGGAGAGAAAGACTTAGTACAGAAAGACGGGGACAATGCGTACCAAGTTTGGAGTCAGCCAACGCCGGACATTCAACGACTATTAGACACTTCCACAGCTTCCGAATATACCTTTCTCCCAGCATTATTCATCCATCCAAAGCTTTCATACTCCTTGCATCGTCATTTGGTCTTCAGTGTATGCTTTAATAATGCGCGCTACAGCCCCTGGCGTGAAACAACAGAATCTGCAGAAGAAGAAGAACTGATTGTCTGAGTAGGAAGACCATATGGAATGTGTAAATAATCCACAAATAAGAAAAGAATCTCGTGCTAATTGGAGCTCGACGTAGAGATTATGAGGGATTGGTGATCTGGAATGTTTTGTGTTACTAACAGAGATCGTTAGCATTGGGCACTCGCATCACGAATAGTTGATTCCTTACTAGTGAATTGGGCCTCAATAAGCCACTGCCAAACTTCACCATGGTTTCGCTCAGCCAATTTTGCAGGAAGTATGCCTATAGGAAGTCGGATATATCCTAGCTGATTTCTAACAGAGTTCTAGTGAGGACGCTCGCGTCCACGTTCAGTGAAGAAGGAGGTCGTCCCTTTGGACCCTTTGGAAGCCGGAGATATCCTGGTTGGTTTCTAAAAGTCGTGGTGAAAACGCTCGCGAGGGGTTCATCACGTTCAGTGAAAAAGGATCATCTGCTCTAGATCTGGCGGTCCAGCCCACCGCAATATTCCGAATTGTCAAGTCTTGATATCGCTTTCGGTAAATGGTGAAGTTTTGCTTGGTGTTGGACATTGATAGCGAAGATGATGATCTGTGGTGTAGAGTGATCGAATAAAGTTTTAGAGGATGGAAGAAGTGTGATTCCAAAACCATGACCATATCCAATGTGCTGAGCCGCCCGGCCGTCCCTCTTCCGCTTTGGTGTGGCATTTGGGCATGGGCTGAGGAACGTGCCAGGCGGCTCAACAGTAGCGCCGTGATCATATCGAATATGTCGAAACCGCCCGGCCGTCCTCTCTTTCGCTTTGATGTAGTAGTTGCGTGGTTGAGGGACTGGCCGGGCGGCTATCAGCATGTGGTTGCCAGTGTGCTAAATGATGATTAGCATTCAATTCAGGGCTGATTGAACAGACAGGAGGAACAAAAGGGAGTCTCACTGTGAAGTCAAGACATGGCGTTGCGATGGCCAGAAAGTAATGTTGAAGAACGCGGGTGTTTTTTTGGAGAAGAAGAGACCAGAAGAGGGGAGGGCAGAGAAATAGTGATAGCCCTGTTGAAAGAACCGCTGCTACGGGGGAACTGAGCTGCAGGCGAGTGGGCCAACCGTCTCCTGCAGCAACGAAGAGCGGTCAAAGCTTTGTTCTGATGCAGGTACAGGCAGAATTGGGGCAAGGATTTTGGCTAGTTGATGTAAATGTGAATCAGCGTCGGATTGTACCGATCCAGGTGCCAGAAAGCAGTTTCTGAAGTCCGTATCGGGGAGTTTTCCGGTCTCCCTCTTCCGAAGCCTGCCTTCCTCTGGCTCAAGATTTCCATGGGAGCATTTCCGATGATATCCTTTCTATGAGCTCTCGTAGATTGGCCTAGATGTTCATCATGGTGTCCATATTCTGGTCCCGGGTAAACGATGCCTGCGGTAGAGCGCCATACCCCCTGGATCCTCACAAGCTAGGGCACAGCGCAGATCAGGTACTTCAGTGCATGCCTCCTGTTGACAATACACACTCAGACGAACAGGCACTTTCCTTCATTCACTGCGCTGCGTGGTTGAGCAAATTCGTCATCATCTGCTTCGTGTTCGCTCCAATATTCATGCGAGCCACTCACAGAGCTGCCTCACCCTCCTAACCACTCCAGGGCTCCACTACTCTCGCATATCTAATCTCTGGGAAGTGCTCGAGAGAAGTTGCAAGCTGATTCCGTTGAGATAAGTTTGATCGAGATCGGCAGTTGCTGCCGCCTTGGTTCTGTTTGGCTCTGGTGAGCTCGGATGTTGCGTCACGCCGCTGAATCCAGTCTTCTCCTCTCTTCTACATTTCTCCTCTCTTCTAGTTTCTTCTCCCATCTCTTCATCTTCATCCTCTCTGCCAATCCATGATCATCTTTGCCTCTGGTGCTTCATCTAGCAGGACTCCATTTACCACAATGGTTTCATCCCAACCGCCACACTGAGCCCTTTGTCCCTTTTCTTTTTTCTCTCCCTGCAAAGCACAGCAACATCATGATGTTTCTAGTAGTCTCTTCGAGGCTCTCTGTCCTCCTGTCCATCTCACCTTTGGTCAGAATGCTTTGAATAATCCTATTTCCACAAATCTTCTGGGCAGACCCGCAGGCTTCAGCCACAGGCTGTGCTGTCTTCATCACATTTCTTTGCACATCTCGGCTGTTTATTTCGCGATCATTTCCCTTTTGATAGGTGTCCAAGTACGCGTCCTCCAAAGTCACTTTTGAAAGGCTCTTGTTCTTCTCCGGCTGAGCTAACATCGTTTTCCATCGTATCTAGGACCGCTTTCACCGCAGCTGCATCTTTTCATGCAATCCTTGAGTTAAATTTACCTCTTCTCACTCATCATTTGTCCCTGGCCTCTCCATCATGACATGGATACTTTGTCATCACTAGAACAACATCACAGAAGACACAAAGATACAATGTGAATGGCCTCACCGTCGGTCTCCATACAGACAAGCGGTATTGTCACTCGTGACACATGAACCCTGTCATCTTGAGCTTGCTCTCTCCGGCCCACTTGACACAATCAGTCGAGTGGTATGGTAAGTCTAGCCTTCATAAAAAAGCCACTAAAGACAAAGGTCTAACTCATGATACTCCAGAGCCAGTACCGCACAATCTTGCAGGGCACAATGGCGGCTGCTGAAATCGACATCAGCCAAATCGCGAGCAGTCTCAACTGTGACTACTCCCTGTCGTTCTGCTCTTTGACGCCGCTTATACACACAATTGCGACTTGGCCCATTCGCCTATCCTGATGTCTTCTCTCTTCTCCGCTCCTTTGAGTCTTGTTTCCTCGTGGAAAAAAGCCTGAGCCGTTCTTCGGCCAGCTTCACATACAACTTACTCATTCTTTCGACAACCTCTACTTGTACTCAGGCTATTCTTCCAGGACCAGCACCACACCATCTTCCAGGAATCAAGGAAGATGTCAGCTACATTGCGGGCAATCCCAACCGGGACCACTCGCTGTAGTCATGCTCTTTCTACCCACCTCGTACACATATCATTCCGACTCCGCCTCTTTACTTCTCCTAGACTCTTCTCACTTCTTCCCTTCGTTTCTTCTTATTTCTTTCCTTCCTTATTCTTTTCTCTCCGTCTACATTTTCTTATTCTTTTCTTATTCTTTCTCTTTGTCTTTCTTCTTTTGTTTTTTCCTGTAACCAACGCTTGGGCTTTCTTCCACCATCCCTACGTACACGTCCAACTTACTTACTCTTTCGACACTCACGATGAGTGATCACCAGTCTGTTCTCAACTATCTCCAGTCTGCTTTTAGTCTCAGACTGTCCATATCCCACTGATGTATCGAATATCTGTGTTTACTATAATTGCGGCGTTTATGCAGCACGCCCTTTGACCAGTTTGTGGTGGCGTCCTCGTCGATCTAGCCGACCTCACACATAGCAGCATTTACAACGCCCGCCGTTACATCGGCAGCACAATGTATCTCAAATCCTCAGACCATCTGCCTCCCCATCTCGCTCTTCTACAGCTTTGGCCTCATCATCCGCCTGGCCGTAACCACAGTACATGCAGCATCTTCGGCCTCGTCAAGCAAGACTACGCAGACAACGCAGACGTCTTCCTCCTCGGCCGCAGCAACACCTCCTTCGATCTCTTTGCTGTATTAGCAAACATCCACGCTATAGACATCATGTAACTCTAGTTCACTAGCACCTCCACCGGCCTCTTTAGAGCATTGATTCGTCGAACTGGTAACTACTTGTTGCCGGCTATGACTGTAAAAGTACACGGCTTCGAGACCTTGTACGCCGAGATAGCTCCAGACAGATTTTGAACTGGAGAATGCCGTCCAGAACTCCGAGACTAAATCACCAATCACAAATCTATAAAACTGATTCTTCTTTCCTCTGCTGAGAGGTCAAACGGACCCACCCTCTTGGCAAGCCCGCTTTGTTATTTCGTTTGCAAAGATCTATATGCTCTTGGTCCGGCATATTTCCCTTCCGTCTTTGCGAAGCCTCTCTTTTCTAATTGTTGCAATACACCCTCTTCACCCCTTGTCACCTTCTACGGCTTTGGCCTGAACATCAAGGAGCCGGCTTTGCTGATTGCGTATTGGTCGGGTGTCTGGAAGCGTATAGAAGTCCCTGGACGATGCAGGCCGCTGAGGAAAATTTGACGCTTGTCTGTTCAGCGGATTCCGCGATGCAACAGCTGGGCAAGCTCCTCTTTCATACTTCTTTGCAGCTGGCCCCCCCACCATCATCACGGACAAGTAACAGCACTGCACCTCGCTAAACGTGGCTCTCGGTCATGTGCTTGCTGGCATTCCATGCTGGGAATTGCCTGAGTCGTGGGCTATCAGAACACCACTCCTCCCCGATCCCCCATTCCTCCTCCACCCTCGATCCCTCAGCGCCGCCTACAGAGTCCCTCTCCCAGCAGTACTCAAATACCCCAGCAGCAAGTCCGAGAATAACGACGGCACATGCAAACACGTCCTCGTCATTGCCATCACCTACCCCATTCTCACTGGACCCTCCCCAAGATTCCATTCCGCAGACTGGAAGGCCGCGCAGTCCCTCCTCGCTCGCACAAACACTATCATTTCCTTCACTTGCAACGAGGTCTCCATCAAAAGACCCGGCGAGCCAAGCAACGCCAGTGCCGGTCTTGATCCCTGCATCATCATCGGCTCAGTTATTCGCATCAGGAAACACGAAAATACGGAGCCCCGATACTATTTGTCGGCTTCTTTGGGAGCAATTTTCAAGAAAAAGGCTTTTGTTCAATAGTCTGAAAAACATCCTAACATTGTTACTACTATAAGATTCACCTCAATGGCTACAAATAGCAATGGCAAGGACGGGAAAACTATGTATGTGTTTCTCTTCAACATATATGGTAATATGGTGTCTCTTGGCGCTACAGCGTCACCATTCCCATCCAAAGTCACCAAAAAAGTGGAAGGCAAGATGAAGTTTGCAATCGGTTCGGTCATCGCGATGATGGCCACCACGGCAGACAAACGTCGCCGCAACTCGCCACCGCCAGGTCCTGACAGATGCTTTTTCTGCTTATGGAATCCCAACATCTCATCACACATGTGTGTAGCATCGGAGTTGAGTAGAGCCTTTGTATTCAGCCCCAGATCCAGAGCCATCGACTTGGCTTTTCTCGTCGACGGCAGCAACAACAATAGCAGAGCCAACAACACCAACAATATGGACTTGCCAGCATTTGACGATCGCCTTCGAAACGGCACCCCCGCTCAAGTTTCCGGCGGACTCTGGCTTCTCAGGAGCGGTAGAATCTTACGACCCATCCTGCTCTCTGCTGCAGCAAGAGGTTCCACGCCCGTCAACTGACGGTCTGCTCCAGAAGGCATATCCATCCATCAACCGCCTCCGCAGCCCTGATGGGCAGGGTAGAATTTTACAACCCATGGGCCTTGAGCCCCAGAAGGCCAATCTTTCCATCGAAACGCAGGCGGCCGACAGCTGGATGTATCCGCAGCGGCAGTGGAGAAGGCCAAAGTGGAGCAACGCGTTCCCGAGAATCCTGTCTGTGGATCACAACGTCTTGTTCTCCTTTCACAGGACTCATCGCCACACCTTCAGAGCAGCACTGCGCCTCTACAATCAAGCCTCAAAGGGTCTCCAATCTCACGTTATCACGACCCTCGTTAACGCTGGCCCGCCTTAGCGTCCGCGATCTATAAAGCTTATATCAGCACCCTTATCGAGCATAAGCTGCACCAAAGACAGCTTTTCATATTCTATTGACCATCTGAGAGGGGGATGAACTGTGGCCTACGCCGTGCCTTTAGACACCGCAGCCGCAAGACAAGCCAGATATTGAGTCTGTGGTCATTTCTCCGTCAGAAGTTGTGAGATTGGCATTCGCCACCATTGTTGTTATTGTTGCTCTTTCCCCTGCCAATCCGGCGGTAAATCTTTGTTTCAAAACAACACCAAATCACGCTTATTCTCGTGCGTTCACTTCTGCTTCCATAACATTATGGCCATTCTCACGGGTTACTCTAAGCGGTTCAATTGATCGTCAAATTGATAGTCGTCTTAGAGAGCATCCTGCAGGGGATCTTGAGAGTGTTTCGATGGTGGCAATCTTGTCAACTTTGGTAGACAATATCCCGTTTGTACTTGTTGCTTGCAGTCAAATACTGGAAGACGATGTCATCAAGTTCATCTCCAGCTTCAAAACAGATGATTGTGGCCTATGTCGCTATACTACAATACGACCATTCTTTTCCTCTTCATCTCTTGTCTTTTCGTTTCCACTCCTACTACATCAACACTGCCGAGCAGATCCTCGCCTATTCACTAAGCATGGATAATGAGACTATCCATACCCTTATCCATTTTATTTAAGCGGGCGGCCAAATGCAGCACTAATCGCAATCTCGCATCTTAATACTCTTTCATTCTTGCTGGCAAGTCTTCTTCCGCGTACACAAACGCCAGTGATACTTACTAGAGCGGATCAATGAAAAAAAGACATCAACCCGCAAGTTCAAAGCCTTTCTAGCAAGATGGACAAACTACGAAGAACAAAAAGATGATGCTCAATTCATCTAGTTAGCTATTTATGTCTGTGAGAGCATGCTAAAAAGGAAGCGTATTGGTTCAATTAACGTGGCTGGTGGGTATATTTGAATGGTTTTCCGGCGTCTATTTTCAGCACAAATTCTTCATTAGCATGAGCATGATATGCTAGTACGCCGATTCCCCCGTGCGACGTGTCGAAGTACACTGATATCGGCAATGGTTTTCATGCTAAGCACGGGTGAATGCCATTGAAAAACACCTCAATCGAGTGCCTCGTTCAGGAAAGCTTGCATCGGGTCACGTACACACTCACAGGTGTCACTGATAAGCCGCTTGGCAGAGGTCCGCCGTAAAGGTCAGCTTTTTACGAGTTGTTCCACAACCAAGACAATACGTGGATTCAGATGGCAAACCACTGAAGAGCCCTTGAGATGTTGAATGCTGGCAGGAGGTCTATTGAGGCCGAGGCCGGAGCTTTCCTTTGCGGTGTTCTGTCCCTGTCAACGACGGTCCTGACTGAACAGAACCTTGCACTGGGGGGGTTTTCTCATTGTTCGCCAGCAGGCGGGATAGGATTTTACGGCGTAGGCATGTCGGGGCAAGCGTCCCCCAACACATCCGCTCATCCGTTTCGGGCGTTTAGCTCGAGCAGCTGGACAATGACTATAAAATGTCTCAGGACACGTTGGACAAGACTCTTATTCTCCGTGACGATCTTGATGAGAAGATAGATGTTGTCAAGAAGGAGATGGACGATGCTCAAAGACTTGCAAAGATAGCACAGAAGAACCAAGATCTGCGTGAAAAAGCAAGGCACTATAGGAATCAGCTTGTCTTGACGATCCTTGAGATGTGGATGACGGCAGGAGGTCTATTGAGGCCGAGGCCGGAAGCCACGTCTGGTTTCAAGGAGTTGGGCGAGAGAGAGAGCTGGAACAACGGAATGCCGATATAGCCAGACGGGACAAAGAACTCGTTGATTGGGAAAGGGACACCTTGAAGGCGTCAGCCAAACATTTCGCCAGCAGGCGGTGGATTCGGATGGCAACCGCATGACAGCCCTTGAGACGTTGGTGACGGCAGGAGGTCTATTGGAGGCCGAGGCCGGAAGTCACCTTTGCGATGGGCAGTCCCCTGCAATTCGCTCTCCCTGTCGACGGTGGCGGGATAGGACTTTACGGCGTACGCTCCACTTCCGCTGAGTGGACAGTGGGAGCAAGACTCGAAAGACGAGCCTTGGAGATTGCAAAGGAGGGGGGAGGAGAGAGTTGTCATCGTTCGACAGCAGGCGGGATAGAACTTTACGGCGTAGGCCTCTCAATACCCTGTCCTTGAGGAGTGATGCCACAAATACGGTCATGGTGGAATTCAACCGCCTAAAACCAGCGGCAGAACTGATTCGCACAATTCAGGCTTTGCCTCTCATCTATGAGGATGAAAAGTCCACCCAATATCAAGCAAGCCCATGGCTTGTTCTAACTCCTTCCTTTCGCCTGTCCTGGGTAGATAAAGACATTACATCCCAGAAATACAGTCGATCACTCATGTTGAAGGATTCCCCAGTTATTAGTCCGCCGCCAGGCGGGATAGGACTTTACGGCGTAGCGGCCCTCGGGTGCCGATTTTCTCAATTCACCTCTCAAAGAGCACCCTGGGCGACAGATTGCCACCAATGTTGGATGGTTGCGGTGAGGAAGGACACTCAAAGAGAGAAATGCGAGAATGGGGAAGTCCATTTCTCATGGACTACAAGCTCCTCTACGTCGATTTCTTGCAAGACATGCCGAAGAGAGCGAAGATTATAAGTGTGAGGATCTCGTGCGAAAACAAAGCAAGGAGCACAAACACAACAACCAAAGGCAGTGGAGCTCGAAAACAAAGAAGTGACTGTGACTATGACTGTGTTGTAGTCATGTGCCAATCAGGATTTATCAACACCATCCGTTCTGCACAAGCATTTGCTCCTTTCAAACGCAGAGAGATAGAGAGAGAGTGTGCCTGTGTGTGTGTGAATGAATCAAGTTCACCAAGCTGTTTTGCTTGGTAACTGTGAACTGTGTGACGATGGAGCAGGAGAAGAAGGACCAAGCTAGCCACAAGCATAGGAGGAAGAGAAGAAGGCATGCTGAAACGATCTACATTCATAGGTTGACAGGTGGCGGAGTCATGTTATCACGATAATTTACCGGTGGCATCATTGTTGGTAGAACTAGGGTGTTAAGAGTATCAGTACTCTTCGGCAGGAGAAGTTGTTACTTCACTTTTGCCGAGTGGTCTGCTCAACAGTCACGCATCGGACCGTGAGTGGGGTTTCACGTCGTTCGCCCCGGGCGGGATAGGACTTTACGGCGTAGCGGCCCTCGGGCGCTGATTTTCTCAATTCGCCTCTCAAAGGGCACTCTGGCCTACGGAATGCCACCCCTCCTCTGAACATAGTCTCGATGAGGCTTCTGCTTATCAGTTTGAAGTTGTTGAGTGGTCAAGATGAATCACCCTCTTGGCATTGGTCGTTCCGTTTGCAATGATGCGTTTGCTCTTGGTCAGGAATATTTCTCTTTCCCTTTCGATAGCCTCTTTGCAACCCAACCTCTATTCATACCATTCTCAGGTTTGAGCCTTTGCGCTGCCGCGACGCGCGACCGCGATTTCGACTATGAAGATTATGAAGATGGGGAAGAAGAAGAAGAAGAAGAAGAAGAAAGCTCAGTTGACAAGGAAGTGGAAGGCAACCACTTGTAAAAAATACATGGGGGCGGAAGAAAACCACCGCCAAAAAAAGCGCCCGATGAAATCAACAGCAAGGCAGCCAAGCTATACCCGATTAAAAACAACACGAATCCGGGCTTCCAGAAATGAAGAGACGAAAGATTCAGGTCAGCGGAAACAAAGAAAGTAAGACGTCGTAGGAGGCAGCTTGGAAAACAACGAGGATGGGATAATTGAGAGACAAAGATAATTGGAATCTAATGGATGTGGAATATTTGAAAGGAAGCAGATGGATCCCCTGTTGGAGGTTGGTATAATAACTGTTGGAATTTGGTATAAAAGGTCTTATTTTAGACGATCAGCTGGATATGGGGAAGTGTTAAGTGACCATAGACTTAACCTCTTGGAAAGTCATTTTGTTGTTCTATTTGAGACGAATTGTTTGCTCTTGATCAGGCATGTTTCCTTTCCCTCTCTGGTGGGCTCTTTTCTAGTTGTTGCAACCCAAACTCTCTTCACATCCCTCTGAGAAGTATCAAAACGGCCGTTGAAGTCAAGTGACCTTATGTGGCAAACCCATCCGTTGCACGGGCATTTGCTCCATCTCACAGTCTCTCTCTCTCTCTCACACACACACACACAGAATGTATCTTCAGGGTCTTTTCTGATGTCTTTTCTGATGAATTTTCTGATGAATAAGTTGTCAGACATCGCACATATTGTGAAAATGAAGAAGAACAAATCCGACCAGCAGGTTGATTCCGTAAGGATGCCATGCCGCGAAAACGTGCCGGATAAAACACAATACGAAGATGGCCTTGCCACTAAGCAAATCTACCACCTTGAGCACCAAGATTTTGAGAAATAACCCAGATTTAACTCTACGAAAAGGCTTGACAAAGATGACTAACTTGAAGTGGAAGACACCATTAGACAAAACCAAGAAGAACCTCACGATGAGGCAATCAGCGACGAGAACTTACCTAGAAACGAAGAATCTTGGAACGAGGATTTGCTTAGATATGAAGGTCAAGAAACGAGAAACAACCGGGGAATAATGGGTTTTAGGATGAGAATTTGCCTAGAAATGAAGCATGGAAACAATAAAGAACCTCAGGATGAGCAAAAAAGGTTAGAGTCAGCCTTCGGAAAGTTGTGATGGCTTCATTTGTCTGCTAGGCTTGAGAGGAGATGTTGTGGGGTTACGTGCCCATCTGTGTTTATTAAGAGCATCCATTGGCACAAGCATATGCTCTTTTCCATAGTCACAAACGCATACAAAGAATAAATCATCAACTTCCTTTCTGATTGACAGAAGTAAATAAAACGGCTGCTGAGGTCGCTGTGTAGATGAAGGTGGCCATACGACCGACGACTTCAAGCTGGTCGAGACGGAATTGCTGCTGCAGAGCAAAAATGGAATGTTCTATTGACGAACGAGGTATTGAGCTATTTTATTTTTGAGCGATCCATATCCTCAAGATACCCTTTTTCTCCTTGAGGAGGACCATGATCAATCGGTGGGTCAGTGCATCCGCGAGTTGGTTGTTTTTTATTCCAACTTGTTCCTTTGTCGAAGGGTTTTCGTCCCAGTTTATGCTGCATGGCTTGATCACTGAGATCAATAGCTAACAGTCTTCATTGCGTCGTCTCGTGTGATCTTTCCGTGGATTTCCATCTCCACGGTCGGCGCGATCACTTCAGCTTCGTCTTCTCGACGAGCAGTCTTCTGAGTCGTCTTCTCTGGGCTTCGTACGGCGTGACTTCCGTCGTTGATTTGCAAAATGCCAGAAGGACCTGTTGTTTCGCCAAGTCTGTTCTCTATGTCTTCGCGGTCCTAAGATAGTGCGGTCTGTGCCTAAAGACAGCACCTCCTGTTAGAGCAACTCTTATTTCAGAGCTTTCTACGCAGACCAGGCTTTTAACTAGCGGGTAGCGGACGTTATCCATCGCTAGTCTAAAGAATTACAGCCAGGCGCTTGTTCTCGACGAGGCTTTCGCTTCCCAGGATGGGGTAACGAAAAGCGCAATTCGCCCAGCAGCAGCAACTAACTTTACGCAGCTCTGGTGCTTTCTCCTTAGCGACTGTTGCAGCCCAGTTCGGGAACGCTAAAAGCCGAATGGAAGAAGTGGAGAAAGTCTGGTGTTCCGCCCTCTAGGATGGTGGTTGGCAGGCGGTCTATCGAGGCCGAGGTCAGTAGCCGCCTACGATGCCTCGAAATATATATTGCACTGTCTGAGTGCCATGTTCAGCGCGTTGACCCCCCAAGACTCCAGTCAACGGCTGCAGCGTCAGTTTTTGCGCTTGTGTATGTGGTCAATGCTCCCTGCGACTACAGTACAGCGGCCAGACAAAGCCACATGCATTTCTCGATTCTCTGACCAGTATGATGATTTCCTCTGTCCCGCGCTATTGAGGCTTCAGTCCACATGCTTGACGGAACTTCCGTATAATACGGGCATTCGGTATACAGCCACCTTCCTCGATACATATTGTGCCGCATGGAGCCTCTGATAGCAGGCCCGCTGCCGAAAAAAACACATTCATCAAGCCCTGGTAAGAGGGCCAGTCACTTCAAAGATGCGCAGATCCATTCACGTCTTGTAGACAACGTCTTTGTGAATCTACTCCAACAACGTGACTCACCTTAGGTCTTCGGCATCTCAAATGTCAGGCTTGACTGTCTTCTCCAGCTCGGCTGGCCGGGTCAGTGGTGCTTTGACAGATGCGTCTGCAAGGCCAAGCTCGTTTCATTGCCTTGGCCCATACAGCTCGTCGACTATGGAACGCCACTCCCTTCCACCACAGCTCCCCGGTCTACTTTTCGCGTATAGCCTGATTCCACCGTGGAAGCATGTCGTCTCCCGTCTCCTACCACGGTCTATTAAGGCCTCAGTTCACTGTTTAACGAAATCAGTATTTAGAAGGAACGCGCTAAAGAAAAAAGTAACTTGCCTACCTGCCCTCCTACGTGGCCTTGAACAAGCCGGCTGAATTTGATCAAACAAAATGATTTCATTCAAATAAGGCGACTTCACACAATCCTGTTGACCTGAATCAAACCAACTGACAACGATCGCTGACAACGATCAAGCTAGATGGCATCGATCAGACTAGGCGGCTTCTTTCGAACGAGGTGATCTCGATCGGCGCAGCGGCTTTGCTCACCACTATGAACACTTTGGGCGGGCATCAAGGTTCTACTGCACTGGGCTTTGATCTTCCACTTGGCTCTAAGGTCTTGAATATCAACAACGCATTGATCTGCTTTGGCAGTTACTGCATAGGCCTTCCCACCACTGGAGCATCAATCATTCTCCCGTTCGAGAGTTTGTACACCGCGCCCAACGACTGCTGCCTGTTCGTCCGCAATGATAATGCGAACTGCCCATTCTAACATATTTAACAACTAGGGGCGAGCCATCAGTCGAAAAGAATCGCGGGATATAATTCATCCATCCAAAACGGATGTTTCGCTCGTGCTGGTCGCTGACAGACGTCAAGAACTCAGCCGTCGTCCATCGATCAGGGCAGTCAAGTCCCAAGCCAACCGTCCCGTCAACGACTTTCTCACATATAAAGAAAAAGTACAGAAGCACTACATCACAAAGCGGCTCATAGGACGCTGGGAGGGTCGCTCTATCGTGCCATTGTTGATGCAGGCAAGGGTGAGGAGATATTGTGCCAGCAAACATCTTTCCAAAGCTCGCTATCAACCTGATGGAAGGTGCATACCAGATCTATGGCAATTGGCCACTCATATAGTCGAGCTACGACGGCAATGGCCGATCGTGCATGGAGAAACTCCGTCAGCGGAGGTCTCCAGGTGATCAACCCAGGGCTATATCTTCAATATAGGCTCTGGGGCTATCCCTTGGCCCTGAGAGGCACGCACCACCATTGTGTTGTCGGCCTGCGAGGCGGAATATATGGCCCAATCACAGGCTGGAGAGGAAGCTATCTGGTTACAAAGTTTGCTTACAACTCTTGCACCTGCCTTGCAGCTTGTCTCTAAAGCAACAAACATCTATCCAGACAAACAAAAGGTCATCAGCTTTTTTAAGAACCCGAAATCCACGGCCACACCAAGCACATTGGCATACAACACCAAGATCAAAAGCAAAGAAGTCAACTGATGCACATCCCCTCAGCCCAAAAAAGAAAAGACGGAATGACCAAACCACTGCCGACTAAGCCTTGTGACAATTAAGGGACGCGATTCGGCAGGGCCTGATTGTTTGCAGACTACTGGTACAAGTAATGGACAAGATTTCGCTGGAAATAAATAATTCGGTATTTCTTGCGGCATGGAGAGTCGGATATCTTTGTGCTTGGGGCCGGCTTCAATTGCAATGGCAATTTCTTTCAATAGTCCTGATTACTGGTCCAATAGGTTTATCCACTTCCATCTTTGCGTCAGTCTTGTGCCATCTCATCATCCTGGTGATTTTTCCAGGCTCGTAGCCTTTGTCTTGGTGGTATGTAAAGCAATGTACAATCTTGCCTAGGTTACGCGTCGTAAGTGTCCCATCTGAATCTCATCACCAGCATTCTATCCCATCTACTCATTGTCGATTGAGAAGAAAAGTCTCGGCCGAGACCTTTTGAGTTTTCATCTTGTTTCTGGCGTGCTTTTATTACAGGTAGCCTTCTAATACAGTCTTTGGCGCAGGGGAGCAAATGCGCGTAGATCGAATAGCTTTTTGCTAACGCGTTTCAGCTGAATATGCGTCGAAATTTCTCACAGGAAATAGGGCTAAATGGATTTCTTCTTGACATAGGCTGAGGACGCCTTAAGCGGTACGGCCATCGCAGCTTGTCTACCCGGTAAGATGTCATTTTTCTACCCTTGGACTCTGTATCGGGCAATAATTGGATCATAGAGAGAGAATAGAGTTAGCGACATAGCTATAACAGGGGCTAAAATTGACAGGCGACTTCTAATCCTCATCTTTTCAACGAATCAAGGCTGTAGCAAAGTTTGGCTCTCAAGAAGTTCTGCCATTTGGAGTTGACAGGCCCGAGCTTATTATGCGGCAATAGTGGCGCCATATAGATGAGAGCTAAGAGCGCGGGGAAGAATGGAGGATAATAGAAACGGAGATCCACGAGGGATGTTGAATATCGCTGGTTGAAGTTGATGATGATATTATTAAATTTCTCTTTTTCTCCGGAGGTAAAAAAAAAGGCAAAGGACAAAGAGGAGAGGGAAACCAAAAAAACATACAGGCGGCGTACTGAAAAACAAAAAGATGGACACGAGGGGAATTGAACCCCTGACCTTTCACATGCGAAGCGAAAATCATACCCCTAGACCACGCGCCCAATTAGTTACCGGCTCTCTCTCAAATTCTACCTATACGCTCATCATCCATCCCCTCCCATGCGAGGGCGCATCACTTTCGAAATCAGCTTCGATTAAGCATCAAGTCCAATGTCAAGCACATCGATAGAGCGCACATTATCCATGGTCACACACTAATCGCTGGGGCAAGCACCAAGATGAGAGTCGATAGATGGTTGGGAGCCACAATATCTCATAAACAGGTGATGACTAGGCAGAAGACGCCCTGTAGTTCGAGCAACGAGAGAGTCTTGGTTTCCTACTAAAAGAGTGAACCCACAACCCATAGAATACTACTACTTCCAAGGCACCGTTATATGGATTGAAGCTACTCAAAAAGCAATTCTATGGTGGGGTTGCTCGAAGTGAACGATATTGGGGCATATCTCAGCATGTCTTCCAGCCCAAATCGAGTCGCAGCCTGCATCCCATTGGAACCGGCTTGAGCCGCTCAAACCTTCTGATTGGGGACGGCACTGATCTTAGACCCTCGTATCAAACTGACCGTTGGTATCTACCAATTGAGCATCATATCAGGAACTATGCCCAACCCGTAGTACTCATTGGAGCTAGAAATTTCGAAAGGTTTGACAATCTAAATGAAGCCAAGAAGACACTTGGCCATTTCGGTTTCTTTGTAGCCGAGGGAGTCGATCCACAGTCATGCAAATCTAGAGGTTAAACTTCTTATACTATCTTGCGTATGTCCGCCCAATGGACCTCGTTTCGACCTGGCTGCAGCGTTACAGATCAGATGTTCATCTAGCAGATGACATGGGAAGAACCGCTCTATATTATGCCGTACTTTTCGGCCACAGAGATGCTTACAGGCTGGAGTCAATTGAATTGCTTTTTATCGGCTGGAACATCTCCTTGGCCATGGACAACGACGGCATATCTTCCATTATGGTTGCGGCACGGCAGGGACACGGTGTCGACATTATGCGGCTTCTTATGAATGCAGTGTAGGCTTCGAACTGGCGACGTATTCCGCTGATTCCCCTAGCGTTAAGTCACAAGCATAATAAAGAAATTGTTGACTCTCTGTTGTAGCGTGGAGATGATTTCAATTCTGTAGATCACATTGGCAAACCCGCCCTAATCGTACTTATTAGCAGAGCACAGGATGAACACAAACTGGCATTCTTACCTGCTAGACCGCGGCACACGAGCAGATTTTGCGACGCCCAATGGCATCACTGCACCGTTTGGGCTAGAAGACAGGAAGATGGGCCTGAAATTCTGGCAAAGATGCCTTTTAGCGAGCCCCGGTGGGATGGCGGTAAAGCCTCTTATAATGCTATAATGGAGTTGAGAGATCTTAAGCTCCGAGAGGCTTATGCTGAAGAGCCGGCACTCTGGGTTATGTCATTGCTTCAAGCTTTCGAAGTCAGGCGGGATATATGCCGGCATAATCACAAGAAATTTTTGAAGTGGGAAACGGCGCCTGTTATCAGGGGGTGGGAGCTCTCCGATATCGCGGCCTTTAAGAGCTCTTGGGAAATGGAAATCGACCTTGGCGCTTCTTTGGCCTCCTTGAAAAGTTCTAGCAGATGGCAGATCATTCCAGCTAAGAACAAAGGCATGATAGTGTTGTTCTATGAAGGACTTAGTCAGCCAATGAGCCCCCCAAAAAAAAAACGAAAAGAAAGCATGCAAAGCCTGGACACCTTTACCAGAGGGTTATCTTCTCGCAACTGTTCAGTGCTCGAGCCTAGGCTGGACCTCAACGATCTGTATCTCAACACCAGCAGTCCCGAGAAAATCGCTGCAATGCTTCGCCAGCCAACACCTGTTTCAGATACTGCTACTACTACGAGAGATGACACAATTACAGCCGACACCGAAGACGACTCGTTGCTTGGGCCCGCGATGGAGAATTCGGACTCTCTTGATGTTGACGATAAAGGGCAGTGGAGTTACAATGGCCAATTATCCACCACGATATTCATGCAGCGACTTCAAAACCAGTTTGGCAATTTGATCGCTTCTCTTCCGACGCGATCCAGGTCCAAATTTGTCGAGCAGGCTTCAAAAGATCCCATGACAGATACTGCGCCGTATACAATTTCCGTGAATTACGGCCTCCCGCCAGAAAGTCGCGCAAGGGTTCTCTGCCAGCTGGCTTTTGACGAAGCATGCGTTTGCTACCACTTTATCCACAACCCTTCATTTTGGACCTCTTTTGACCAGGTTTACGCGACACAACCGAATGATTACGGGGCAGAAGAGCGTGGCTTTTTGCCCCTTCTGTATGCTGTTGTTTCTGTTGGCTGTTTGTTCTCCAGTACCGAAGAAATTAAAAAAATGGCGAGTTAGCCATAATGCAAGGGTAAGATGTTGCTCCAAGCTATGTGACTTACAGGTCCAGCTCACCAAAGACTGACGTTCTTCAACCCAGGCTTCAATACTTTAGAGCTTGTCGAGCACTGCTTGATCTCACCGACTGTCGAGACCTAACCTCCCTCTAAGCAGTACTTTTCATGATTCTATTTCTACAGTCGTCTGCACCACTCATTGCCTGCTACCCTTACATCGGGATCGCTCAGAGGACATCCCTCCGTCTAGGCCTCCATCGGAAGATACGGGGCAACTTTGATCCAATCCAAAGCGAGCTTCGAAAACGAATGTTCTGGACCGTGTACGGTATAGATGTCTTCGTCAGCACCCGGCTTGTGCAGGTATTGATATGAAGCAGTATGAGCCAACTGCTCCGGCTAGCTCACGCCCACGTCCAATGGATGCTCTACCGACCATTCCTACAATTCGTGTCGGGGGACACCTGCCTGACGTCCCCGTGAGGAAGGAGAAGACGCCAGATCCTCATAGGGGGATAATAGCTTAGCGCCCCCAGTAGCTAGTTAGACCTTCAAGCTCTTATAACCCCATCATCGTGTTCCTACGTTTGTGACTGTAAAGACCACGCTTAGGGTTAAGACCTCCGACGCGCTTCTCCCTCGTTCCAATATATGGTAGCAATTGCTTGCACCACCACGATTGACGACCGATAATCCACCACGACGGAACCGGCACGATCTGCCGTCCTTGTGGCGCGACCGATCGTGGACAACACCTCCGGAAGACAGCCCGATGCCGAAAAAGGAGCGAAAAGCCGCACCCCCACGACAAGCCAACGGCCGTTTTCTACCGAAAAGAATCACAAACTCCACACTATAGACTCCCAAACCGACTGAGATTGAGAAGCTTATACCCCCGACCACACGCTGGAGGATTTCTAGCCCAATCCATCAAAAAACAACAACACCTCGCGCCCAACGCGTTACGCTCCGACGCGCTTCTCCCTCGTTCCGATATAATTCGTCTCTCAAGGCTTCCGAGCCGAAGGACTAGATAAACGGCTCTACATATGCGCCGATGCCTGCATCAGTGCTTCGAGAAACCTCATCGACATCACCAGAGATATGCAGGTCAAAGGGCTGCTGAGCGGCGCCGACTGGTTTCCCATGCATGCGACGTATTTTACCATTTTGACATTGACTTATCCGATACTTGAGAACAACCAAATTTCTACGCGTAAAACGGATGTTCTGGAAGGTGCATTTGAAGGCATGAGCGTGCTCGAGGCTTTGGCTAAGAACGGTTTGGCTATCGAGAGATGTCCTCGTCTTCCGGTCAGTTTGATGCTATCCAGGTGTTCCTTTTGAATATCACTACTGACACTTCCAAGTCGCTATTCAAGTACCTTCCCGAGACACTATTCAAGCCCAATCACCAAGTGGGAACTACCGACGTCGATAAAGCAGTCCTGTCCCAAACATACGTTTCCAGCACAAGTCCCCAACATGCCACGCTACAGACCCCAGCGTCCTCGAATGTGAACTCAGTCATGGACCGATCAAGCATACAACGAGAGATTGCTCCATCACAACAGCCTAGCTCCAATCAAGTAGAGTCAGACATGATGCGCATGTTCCTTCCGCCTGAAATGGTGGCTGCGCAAGCAGATAATGTTGACGACATATTTACACATTTTGGGATGGATATGTTTCATGCCAACGATGATAGCTAGAAGCTACGTGTAGTCTATGTTACACATCACACAGTAATAGAGACCCATATACTCTTCAATACACTCATCAGCACCTGTGTCACAGTTCTGTCTCAACTAATTATTACCTAATTGGGGCCAATTTAGTGTTGGAGTGGGACCCGGCCTCTTGAACCGACTTATCCGACCGACTTACCCGCGACCCGCCCCGAGTTAGCCTTCCGATTTATCCTTGCCCGATCTGATGTTGGCAGTTGTATGATTGTATGACAATGGACGGAGAAGGCAATACGTGGGTGCGTCCATTGGGTTTATTCATGAGGTGAGAGATGCAGCGGAGATTGTGAAAGATGTTAAAGGCAAAACAGTGGCTAGAATCAAGTCACTCCAGGAACGAAAGACGAGAAGTAGTACGAGTAGGAATATTTATTAAATGAAAGAGGGTATGATTAAAGGCTATCTATTGTACATTCTCACGTTTTTTGTTTCTCAATCTCTTCTTCACTTGCAATTAGCCATTGCAAACAACTGTTTCCACAACTCATCCATGTAAAACAGCGACGAGATATGGCTTCCGGGAAACAATCTGAGTGCTGCGGACTGATAACTAGCTACAAGCCAGTCGTTGGTGCCCCCTCCGATATAGTCACTCTGGGACCCAACCACCAGCATCGCCTTGGACGCATGCTCAGCGTCCAGAGTGCGCGGATCAAAGCCCCAGTCGGAGTGGATGATGTCAGAAACCTCCATGAAGCCATCCCAGTTTTTGCAGCACTTGATGGTACCGCGTGCCATTCGGTCAATAAACTCTGATTCTGTCAATTCATTTTTCGCTGCCCAGTCATAAAATAGCTGCTTCTCCTCAGAATCCATGGTATTGAATATCGTCTGTTTGAGAAATGCTCGTGCTCCGTCGAGAGACAGTAACTTGGATCCGATGGCAGACTTAAAGAGGCGCTGCAGTAAATGGAATGGAATGACTCTTGTAGGCGGCCCAATGGAAAACCAATTGTGCCAGTTGACCCTTTTTGCGTATCCCACATGATGCTTCAATGGAGAAAAGCCGCTTAGAAGCAGACATCCAGCGATTTTGCGACCGAATGGAAAGAGATCGTATGGGGCGCCGTACAGCATTTGCGCCTGCACAGTGCCGTATGACCCTCCCGCAAGGTAGAGAGTATCGAAATCGGCAGTGGGATAGAGATGGGTGAGCAAAGCAGCCATATCCCTCGCCAAGGAGACGTAGTAAGGCACAGTGAGATTACGAGTGCTTGAGTTGCCCATGCCTGGCAGCGTTGGTGAGATCCAGTGGGCTTGAATCTCGCTGCAGGACTCGGGAACGTTGGCTGCGGTGCCTACGCTCATGATGCCCGTAAAGAATAGGATGATGGTGCGCGACGTTGGGGGGCCGTTGTGCGCATAAGCTAGCTGTCTGTCTCCTGGCAGTAGGAGAATATGCTCTTCGTCTCCCTTGACTTTGTCGTATGGGTCGCTGATTGTTGAGTTGATGGCAGCCATTTTTAGTTGTTATAGATGTAAAGATGAACTTATTATAGCTGTATAGATGAGAACAAGACGACTGGTATTACATTGTTGAGATGACTGAGCACGTAAAAACGCATGTGGAAGAGAATTATAAACATTTTATAGAATATATAATACTAAATAATGTACTCGAAGCTGATCGCTTTGACTCGGGATCGCAATGTTCGCTATACTCACTGCCTATGTACAGGTAGTCTCAATAGGAGGACGTCTCGCGAACCGTATTCGTCGCATTCCAAGTTTTCACACCCGCTGTGACCCACTCAATCTTAGTTGGGATCGTTTTCATCGGATTGTCAGATAAGCGCGGCAGTGCCCGCAGCAAGTGTCCGCTTCTGGTAATGCCAAGCATGTCGCCGTTTCATGGAGCTGCGGCTACTTGATCCCTCGAGACTGTTGACACAAACGTCGTCTTCTCTAGAACCTCAAGCTTATTTTTTCTTTCTTTTTCTTTCTGGGGGGTTCCTTTTGGTGTTGCCGCGCTGACCTGCATGGCCGTCGCTATTATTGATGCACTTGCGACTTTATAAAACGGGCCGCCTAGCCAATAGCGCCATAGCTTAATTAGAATTAAAATGCCAGCTCAACCCCGAAACGCTTGTTGATACTCGTGCTACACGTCCAATAATACCGACGACAGCCGATGTCTGGACCAATAGCCAGCGAAAGCTATCGTTCCCAATGAGCGTTGCGCTGAGATTCCATGCCTTGCATTGCCATGACAGCCAGCAGCTGGCCCTTGGCAGGTACCAATTGCTTCGAAAAATAGAATTGACAACGGCAACAGGGTAGCTCATCAGCCTCGTATAGGTTTTTTGACCAAGCTTCCAGTAATTGAAGTTTACCAAGCATAGGTTCTACTGATTGACGGACATAGATACTCTTCATCATGTCATTGCTTTAGAGATTTTCTTCTTCGTTCTCTCTCAACATTCGTTGTTAGAACATGTTTTCACTAATTGGACATGGGAGCTGCCATGCCGTTTCGGCTCTATACGATGTTATTGTTCAGTATCATTGGGCAGCTCCAAATTAATCTACTCATGCGACAAGCTGTAAGAAATAAGACAGACTATAGTAGTTTTACAGTTCACCATCTTCATCATTTCTTCTTCTTTTTTTTTCTTTCTTTTTTTTTTTTTTTTTGGATTACGAGCATATGGACAAATGTTGCATCTCAACGCCTAGTATTTAATACCTTCTCCTAAATCATTTAAAGATATGACGCGATCGCCAACGCTAGTCTAGCATAATTTGTGTAACTGAAACACTGGAGGAAATTGGGCGACGCAAGAAATAACCACAAGATTAAGTTGAAGCTGTGTGAAGTATATACATATATGTTATATAGGCGTTATGGGAATCGGGGTCGGATGATCTTATAAAGCCATCCCGCCGACAATCGGAACTTGTCCGGGCGTGGTCCATCCATCGCCTGCCTGTTTCGTCCAAATGACTCGTAAAAGCGGAATAGCAGAATTACTCATGACGGCTTTCGAGGCTATGAATAATGCAGCAACATATGAATAGTAATACCGTGCTGTTCTATGATGAATTGAGTTTTCAGATTAGGTCAAGACGCCGAGCCGCGGTATGGCATGCCTAGTACGTGTTAGTCCATGCGAGTTGCGATTACATCTAGATTTTGCAGGGATGGTGTGGAGAAGAGACAATTGCTGATGCGAGGCAGGCAGACGAGGCACTTCTGCTGCGGGGGCGACAAATCGGGACGCTGTTCGAATACAGCAGCTGGTAGTACCGGCAGACTGGCTAGCAGAGCTGCCATTGGACGGAGGGATGGAGATCTAACTTGGCTTTAGGTTCTGGGGTTTTGACGGCTTGGCGGGAGCATGGCGCAACTACCCAAAGCAGTCAAGCATATACTGTTCGTATTCTTGATTTGCCGATAGCCCTGCAGAGTTAAGATATGTGGCTTGCTTTTTCCGGGAGTCTGCGGCCGTTGGTGCTACTAAGGCATGTATTAATTTACGACCGTTCAACTCTTTAGGAAGACGGCCGCGCAGAAGCCACGCCTCAACCATCCCAGACGGGTAATAGAGAAGAGCCATTTCTGGAAATCCAAGGTGAGATCTGCCGTCTGTCGCTGGCATACATAGGACTCGTTCAGGAGGACACGGGCTGTAACAAGGCGTGGCGAATAGAACACATCCGGATATTAATCCGTAGATACGGCGTCTGATCTACGCCACACAAGTATCCAGTACTCCGTTACAAGCATTGAACATCACAGGATACAAGTAATACAACGGGTAACGATGACCACAACATATCGAGACTAGATGTTGTTAGAAAGATTAAGCGAAGTCTTCCGGAAATTGTACGCACCAAGGAGTATACCTCTTTTATAGTTGTTATAAGCTTATCACTGGTGATGGAGCATATGTAAGCGTAATTTACTGTACTTATCGGATACAAGTAGATACTATCTAGATTGGTAGAAAAATTAATTACCTACGTCCTAGCTAAAGATAGCCAAGTGGCAAAGAAGTTGCTTATTGCTAGGTATGTGGCAACCTATAACGAATTACAATGTAGATTCACCGTGGGATGTCTATGGCTCGGGCGGCAGCGGCCGAATACCGCTATGCCTTGCCTTGTTAGCGGCCGAAGGGCAAAATGCACGACAGGAGAAGAGTTGCTTTTTACAGCAGGTAGTGAGTAATTCATTTCTGGTTAAGCATGGGTTAGAATGGCATCTATGATTGAATAGTAATGGTACCGTCACCGAGCATATAGTCTTGTAGTTAGATCGTCTCTTGAGCCTCTGGAATAGCTGAGCAAGCGTATCATCACATGTGGACTTTATGTCCATACGAACTCAATATGGCGCCATTTGGCCCGTATACAAACAATCCTTATCAGTCTCTAGTCGGATAAGACGGGATGAAGAAAAGCTACATGTCAAAAGTCCCATTTAACGTAATCAGTCTTGTCACAGCTATACGGATAACTGGTCTCTACATTGCTCTAATAGGAAGGAAACAGACCGAGCTGTATAGTTGCTCAAAAGTCCCAATGGGCGTGACGACTGTTGCGGCAACTCTACGGACAACTTTCTCTCCGGTTCGGACGAGGGAATCGAGAGACACAAGGTCAAAAGTCCCATTTGACGTGATCAATCTTGGTTTAATCCCTGCCATGATGCAAGAGGAGCCACGATGTAAAAGGAACAAGGGCAGAAGAGATTCTTATATATAAGTGTCTCGTCCTGCTCTGACCATCACCATCTCGACTCAACGACACTCACATCTCAAGATTGCCTGTCTGCTTCCATCTTCCGACAAGATGCTCTTCTCTTCTCTCGCCGTTGTTGCGGCCGCAAGTGCCGCGCTGGCATCTCCCGTCAAGCCCAGCGGCAAGACCGTCACTCTGCCCGTCAAGCGCGTCTCCAACGTCAAGTCGGCCAAGAACCTGGTCCAGAAAGAGCGCGCCCGTCTTGACAAGATCAACGGCGTCAAGACTGTCAACGTCGACGCTGTCTCCGGCCCCGTCACCAACGAGCTCATCACCTACGTGGCCGAGGTCACCATTGGCGGCAGCACCTACGACCTCATTGTCGACACTGGATGTAAGTCGACTCTTTTCGGATAGAGCAAAGACCTGATACTGACATCTGCTTCAGCCTCCAACACCTGGTGCGGTGCCCAGAACCGGTGCGAGCCCTCCTCCACCGGCCGATCCACCGGCGCCTCCGTCTCGGTGCCCTACGGCTCCGGCTCCTTCTCCGGCACCGAGTACATCGACACCGTCAGCTTCGGCGGCCTGACCGTCTCGAAGCAGTCGATTGGCGCTGCCTCCGAGTCCACTGGCTTCGACGGCGTCGACGGCATCATCGGCTTTGGCCCCGTGGGCCTCACCCAGCAGACCGTTGACGGCGCCAGCCAGGTTCCCACCTTTACGAACAACCTCCTCAGCCAGGGCTCCATCTCGACCGAGGTGCTGGGCGTGTCCTTCAGGCCCGAGTCCGGCAGCGACACCGACGACACCAACGGCGAACTGACGATTGGCGGCACCGACAGCTCCAAGTTCTCGGGCTCCATCACCTACTTCCCCACCGTCACGAGCGGCACCGCAGCCCGCTACTGGGGCATCTCCATCGCCAGCGTCTCCTACGGCTCGACGACTCTGGCCTCGTCCACCAGCGGCATCGTCGACACCGGCACGACGCTCATCTACATTGCCACCCCCGCCTACAACAAGTTCCTCTCGGCCACGGGCGGCTCGCTCGACCGCTCCGGCTTCACCATCTTCAACTCCAAGCCCACGTCCAACATCAACATCAAGTTTGGATCAACCACCTTCTCCCTCACCCCGGCACAGTACCTGGTGCCAACCTCGCAGTACAGCAACCTGGGCTTCCGACAGGGCAAGTTCTACGCCTGGATCTCCGACGGTGGCACCACCGGCGTCACCACCGTCATCGGCCAGAAGTTCCTCGAGAACTACTACTCCGTCTTTGACACCACAAACTCTCGCATTGGCTTTGCTACCGCGAAATAAATTGACTGAAATGTCCGTACGCTGCTTGTTGACGCTCTACCATGGTCTACGAAGTAACTTCGTTTAAAAGAGTGAAAATGTGGGTTTATAGCTAGAAAAATAAGCGTTATAAGGCGTGGCAGGATAAAAGTATATATGTCAACCGAAAATAAAAGAAATGTTATCTCATGAATTACCAACGAATCATCGGGATACTAATAGCCAGCTGTATGCCACTCTGCACTGAACCCAGTACACCATCGTAGCCAATTCACTCTCATCCGAACTCCAGTAGCGTTGCTGTCCAATAAAGTGAAAAACGTTGAGAGAACCCCTATATACTCATACAAAGTGTGAAATGGAAGACGACGCATCTCCATGGGTTTATTATTTGTAGCATACGCTGATTGCCGCTTTCCCCAAAATTCCTATCAAGAACGTGGAGAAGGCTCTACCGAAGCGCACCCTGTAGACTGTTAAAAGGTTATAGAATTGTTATGGAATGTTTAGTAGACAATAATGCGCCTGGGTCCCATCAGATCGGATGATCGACAATAAAAATGTCCAAATGTGGAAGCTACCATATAGAGATAAAGGCCGACGGAGAGGCTGACAAGCCTATACCGTGAATCGACAAGCGCAGTTCGCCCTGGTCTACAGAATATTATCTAAGAGACTGAGTAAAAAGGTCGTGAGTTACTCATAATCCTATTAATATTCGCAAATGTTTTCTCGTATTGAGGCTAAAAGAGTAGAGTAAGCTACAATGGACATGTAAAAGGGATTTCATGGCGCCTAACAGTGTGAGCTGGAAAAGAGCAAACAACATGGGACAAGAAAACGGATGCCGGCTACATTATAGGATGTTGCGTATCCGTACCAGCTACAGCCATTAGCCCCAGCCCCAGTAGCTTTGCCGTTTACTCTGTGTTAAGCTTAAGAGTCTATACCCATAACTTCTATTCTAAACACGGCATTGTGTCGTTTTTCGTATCCCACTCACAACAGAAGAACAGCCCAACAGGCGTATAGGGAATTTGTCTATCTGTATTAAAATATTCTATAGTGCAATACTAGCCCCAGTGATCGCTACTTTGGTGAGAACAATGAGGATGATTGAGAGCTGCATGAGCCCCAGGTCCCCAGCTAAATGCATATGTTTTGCTCGATAATGGCCTGGTCTAGAACTCGCTCCTCTTATTCTTTTCCTACATTTCATGCCTAATCATATGTGTTGTTCTGCGTAAGCCTCAGGTACGAGTGCAGAAGACCCTGCTTCCTGAAAGTCGGAAGTTATCCGGACGTGATTTATCGCCTGCATGATTATTTATTTAGCACAGGAAATAACCACGGCTTCCAAAGTCAATAGAGCTTCAAGCAAGTAAGTCAGCAATAATACTGTATTAAGGAAAGAATTTGTCCCCCTGAACGCAAAAGTTCGCTCACCGTTGTACCCCTTGCACTAATCTTTGAAGTAAATGATTAGACGGAAGGCTTAGATATGTATCTTACTCATATTCTCAATCTAAATCTTTCTGCTGGTCTGGAAAAGCCTTGGAGTATACGCTTGTGAGTTTCCATTACATCTACAGCTCACACGGATGGTGTGAACATTGAAGTGCTGGAACACTTCAGGCCCAGTCCAGTAGCGCCGCGACGAGCCGAGATATTGTCCCATGGAGCTTCTATCAGATGAGAGAATAGAGGTTAAGCCTGGTTCTTGTGATTAAAGGCGGAACATGGTATACTAGGTGGTAGCATGCGAGAAGAGGTACGCCTAGGGGTGCAGTCCGCTGCCCCTGCATGTTATTCCGTCAAATGTAAATATGCCGTTGGACTTTTCAACAACTTTATCTTAGCTTGATACACTTGAAGATTAGAAGAAAAATCATGATATTATCTTGGCAGCTTACTTTACGGGCCCTCGAATGTAGCAATTGGAGGACAGCCTGGCAGCCCGACCTTCGCTTATACTCCTATTTTTAGCCATTACGGTCTCTCATACTAGAATTTGGATGCATCTTGGAGAAGATAAATAGCCTTATTCCTCCCTTTGCCGTAACACACATCTTCTTTAGTACAACAGCATCTCAAGACACCTCAACGCCTCAAGTTCAACAACAATCTATCCAACAGGTTTCTCAATACCAACTCGAAGAACATTCATCAAAATGTACGCCGCAAAGATTGCCACTTCTCTTGGCCTTTTCCTCGGCTTGGCCACTGCTACTGTTAACATCGGCAAGGACTCTGCTGGCGATACTGGTAAATAAGCCCCCTCTCCGTAGCCTTATTACCATCTCACTCATTAACATATATTAGTCGCCTGGATCAGCGGCCAGTCCGAATGCCAAAATGTCTTTGTCGGCCCATCGGACCAGAACCCTTGTGGAACGCGCTTCACACTTAACAACGGCTTCACTTATTTCCTCTCAGGCTGTGGTGGCGCCGGATTGAGCTTGTTCAACAACGACAATTCTTTCAACAGCAACTGTCAATTTTCGCTGCAGAACCTTCAGTGCGGCGTCCAAGAGCAGTGGTCTTGCTTCTAAGCAGTTGATTCGGCGTCTCAAAGGCCGGCTGGCCAGTGGGAAAGTATATAGGTGCTGGATGAGATTAATAATCGAGTATTATCTACCACGTCTAGCGAGCTAGTTATATAAGCTTACTTCTTACACTCGTTTAAATTGACGTAAATAGTTAGTTATTGACAAGGGTTTATTGTACGTGCATTGAACATGAGTTGACTTGCAACTGTGACTTGTATTAAGGGCTGTAAGGGAAAATGGCGTCTGAACAAGAAATGGATACACAAAAGTACTACACCGGCTGATTACATATGCCGATTTAATGATTATTGACTAAGACGTGATTACAGCATCCATATTACTAGCTAGATGTAGCAAGCGATAACTGGCCGAATGCCTGGCCCATATATCCGCATCATTTCTGACAAAGTTGTCCATCTTGACGGACCTCCCATCTCTCGTTGCCCACACATGGCGAGCACCAGAAAACATCTGTTGGGTCGACTTGGCGCTTGATTTGCAGTAACCTTGCGTAGTTGCTGCCCCAAAAGGTTTGTTGATAATCTTTTTCGAACGGAAAGGCCTGTGGAGAATTGTTAGTATCTGCAAGTTGATAGGACTCAGAAAGGCCAAAATAGGAGATATATGACGTGCCTCGTTTATGTATGCGCCGCCTCCAGGTGTTAGATCGCGCAGAGGCTGGAAGTTCTTCTCTAAAACGGCTTTCGCTCTGTCCTCGTCGGTGCTGTTGAGCGGTGCAAAAGTTTCGCCATTCACTAATAGTCGTGTCATGAGTAAGAAAGGTATCATCAGTTAAAAGGTGATGCAGCAACTCACAAGCGTGAACGTAGGCAGTTCTCCATGCAGGGTTGACAGCATTGCCGCCTCCTCTTGGCACTGCCTCCTGAACACCCTTTCCAGCTACCATGTAAGCGGCCAATGAACCTTTGCTTCCAGAGGACAGTACTTCCTGGAGCGCATTTCCTAGTGCTTCTGAATCGCCCGTCAAGGCCTCTCCATCCAGAAGTCTAGAAACAAGATATGCACTTCCTCCTGCTGAATACATGTCATAGTTCTTGTCGAACCAACCCAGAAACGAATCGAACTGCTCGATGATGGTGTAGAATTGGACTTTGTTGGGCCAGCGCTGTTGAATAGTCTCGTTGATTGGATTAAATGCTTCGGTAATTACTTGGCTGCCGTCGATATCCTGCATAATGCAGCTTCCCACAAGTCCAGCAATGCGATCTGGGAGACCTGGTTCTTGAATGGGGTTTTGCATGTCTTTGGTCATAATGTTGTAACCTGATACACCTTGTTCCATCAAACTTGGCATTTGGGAGGCGATGTAGGCGAGAAGGTCGGGCACAAAGGACTCTTTGGTATCGGTGACAATTACGAGAGTCACACCTGTGACTTTTGGACTAGGATATGCCTTAAGCGTGGCAGATGTGATGACGCCAAACGTCGAGCCGCCTCCCTAGATTTTGACATTAGTAACAGAAGTTTCGTGGGAAATTGTCCACCGCTTACGCCTCGCATGGCCCAAAACAAGTCTGGGCTCTGGTCCTCGTTGACTGTCAAGATGTCTCCGCCTGGGGTGACGATTTCCATTTCCCACACGTTATCCGCCGCCAGGCCATGACTCGGTGCGAGGACCGAATGTCCGCCGCCTGTGATGTAGCCTCCAATGCCCACGCTCTTGGCGCCTCCGCCGACAATGGTTTGGTGGTGCTTGTCCGCGGCGGAGTAGACGTTGTACATTTGTGCACCGCCACCAACAGTATAAGAATCGCCAGAGATAATCCTTCCAGAGCCGCTGAGCTTGAGCTGGCCTTGGTTGTATGTGATTTGGTTGAGATGGTGGGTCCATATAGAGAGCGATCCGGGCGAGTTGGAGCGGCCCATGTAATCGTGGCCGGTATTCTTGATGTTGAGGCGGATGTTGTACTTGCGGGCTGGTTGCATATTGGTTAGCCAATGCGGATACCAGGAATACACAAAATGTGGAAGAAACTACCAAAATCAATGCCAATCTTGACGTGCTCAGCAGACGATGCATTCACCACGTAGGCGGGATATCCAGCAGAGGAACAGGTTGTATTCATCTCCGGCAGGCAGGTATAGTTGTCGTATTGGTCCCACATCACAGAAACTGGATTCTCGGTGTGGAACTCGTACGTCGTCCATTCTTCAGCGACGTCTGCACATTGGCTCGCATTGTAAGTAGGCTGGTCCGGGTGACATACGGCCCCAGGAGGAGAAGGCTGGAGGAGTCGTCCATCAAGTGTCTGATTGAGGGCTGCCCAAGTGCTGGCAGATGGCCAAGAAGATGTGCCTGGATAGGCCTTGCAGGATTCGGTTTCAGAACGAAGAGCGTGAGCTCCGCTGACCATGCCAGACAGAGCAAACAGCAGTTGATAACTGAGTGCCAACATTTGAAGGATTACTACACACCACTTGAGCTTATCGAAAGCGTATGCTGGCATGAAGCAAAGTGCTTTCCGTTCTTCCGTTCAGCGACGGACGCGCTCGAATTTATACCTGCCTGCAATCAACTAAAACCAGCCATACAAGTGGATGCTCGGTCGACGTCAAAGTGTCGGTATAGAAAGGTAAGAAGCTGAATATCTTGGCCCATGAAACGATGAATACGGCAGGAATTTGGCGTGATCCTCCAACGCCGCGGGGATTGCCTTGATCGCATAATTGCCGGCTGGCCAACTGCCGTCGAGCTGGCTGGGGTACCGTAGCAGTGGCCATCTGCCAGGCCAATCAACAGAGGCCGCATCGCTCGCAAAAGCAAAGGATTCGGGTGTGGCGTTTGCGCTAGCCGCCAGATTTGGCAAAATGTTGCGAGAGTGACGAGGGTTGAGAATGTGGAATTCCCGCTGAGTCATGGCCAAGGCAGAAGGAAAGCTCGTCGATCGGGTCAGCATCGTACCGAAGCTTCTGTCCATAAAAGGTAGTTTTCTGCCCGTAAAAAGGAGAGCTGCGTGTGAAAGGAGAGCTGCGCATGTACTCTGGCGATTCACTCAGGGGAGATTTTTGTGGGTATTTGCTTGGCTGTGGCTGTGGCTGCACCGATTGCGTGGCCCGTATACGAAGCTCCTTCGCACACTTGATAAGACACATGTGATAGAGGGCATATCCAGGATCAAACCCTCTATTGACAAAATAGTCAATGGGGTAGATGGTGTGTGTTCCAACGCGATATCAACAAGAGCAATTGTTATCGAGTTTTGTGAGAGAATCGGGTACGTGATCAGCCGAGAGATCAAGAGCAGGGAAGCCAAAGTTAGAGTTGAATCGGATGCTTTGAACCGATTACAGGCAGATACAGTAGGTTTATGATTCTACTAGAATCGTGCTGAGCCTTACTGCGATTCTCATTAATGTACCGTTGTTTTCGTTCCCTGCCACGCCTGTCGCTGACCGATATGATTCTGAAAGGTTTCGACTTGAATTAGTGGAAGTTACAGAACCATGGTTGTAGGCGTATACATGAACACCAGAAAAAGAGGCAACTTACCCGTAATGAGAAGAAGTAACAACTGTCTGAATGTATCAGCAAAGGCACAGATTATCCGAAAAGTAAAATAAATTCGGCAAATCGCCAGGCAGGCAAACATGGCGAGGTAGAGCTCGGGAAGCCAAGCTGTCATTAATTTCTCAACTCGAAACCCTTCGAATTGAATGTAGATGAGAAAGAACATGAATTGGAGAATTTGGGTACACAATTGCTGTAGATACTCAAGAGTAGCGCGGAGGAAATCCATGGCTGAAGCGCGAAAGGACACCTTGGCGGGTGCTGGTAACGATATTGGCGGCTGAAAGAGGACAAAGAAGCGGGAATTACAGTCACAAATGTACCATTAAATATATCGTGGGTCGCGGTATATATATATGGATTGTAGATATGGCCACGTACGCCTAAAGCAGCATAATAGGTCAAGCCAGACATTTGAGTTTTCAAAAAAAGTTTGTACCGACTGTGGCGTTCATCTCGAGGCGAAATCACGCATCTAAAAATGAATTACCGCATCACGGATAAAAGCCAGATGACAGAAAAAAAACTCGGTGAAAATGGCAGTGATCAAAAAGGAAGCCCTAAGCGTGTCATGGTGACATAAATGGAAAACAAGAGACATAATGTATGATTCATAACAACATGAGGGCGTGGCTGACATCGCAAACAGTGGCGTCCTGTATAGACTTCGTACGTTGAAAAGGTTCTAGAAGCCTTAAAGTTGAAAGACTTGGCGTTCTGTATAACTCATCTGAAATGAAGAAACTGCACAAGGCCTCCAGTAAAATGTTTTATCCATTGCAACTCGCAGGATTTGTTAATTGGTAATACATCTATCTGACTAGCAAGTTGATAGACTCTCACATAAGCGCTATGGGCATTTGTAGTAACTTGTTTGCTGCTATTCTGCCTGTTTTTTTGTATCAAGCCCTGCAAGACTGTAAATGCTTCTTACGCTTTCTTTTGTAGTAAATGTGTGTTAGGTATGCCAAAGTCGCCTTCCCTGATGTATATTTGTACCAGGCTTGCTCTCTTGTGCGAGCCATTCAGCTCCAGAAAACTTGACGCGCCTATAGACGAAGGCAACCATCGTGTTTCATAAGGTCTGAATAATCGCATAATGAACTACTCTTTCTGCTCGAAATGCAGCATCAACTGTTATGTTGCTGGATTCGTCATTGTCGACGGTGTTGAGTAACCCATATTTTGTCTGAATGCGCAGATTCTGCAGGGGCGGCGCGATGGAAAGTCGCTTGAAGAATTTAAGGATACACAAACGCATTATTGGAACGGGAGGGGCGAGACTGGCTTTCGAGATAGATTGCAAAACTTCACCGTGTGGAGGAGGCCTTGTTTAGAACAGCTATTGAATGAACGCTTGTATGGAACAGGTATTTGCAAGGCTGGCTTGAGCGTGATATAGTACACCTCGACAGTGGTATTCGCAGGCGAAATTCTGGTGTAGGTCAGATCAGAACCACGTATATTACACGTATATGTACATCCATCTATTGGTTCAGGTCAAACCAGTTGCTCCCACTCAGATCCATGTTGAACCCCTCCAGCTGAGCCGCATCCATCATATTGTTCTGAAAGTACTGATCCAACAAGCCCTGTCTCTAGTTAGTCTCTAGTCCTCTGCTCATGTTCACAACAAAGCAGTCTGATTCCACTTACCCAGTCAAGCCCCTCTGTGCCATCAATCATTTGCGACATTGTCCCTGCGAATGGGAAGAGTTCTTCGGAAGGATTATCCGGGATAAACTCCTTTGCGGGGGGTTCGTTTCGGCGAGTATGGCCGGACTCTTTCTCTGCAACCTTTTGCACCATTAGATCGAGCGCCAAAGCCGCGATTTGCGCCTCGGGGGAGGTTGAACCACCGGACGCCCAGATTTGTTGTGATGTTTTCAACGCGCGATACTCTCTCTCGGCCAAACTTCCATCGTTCTTACCAGTAGTAAAGGGGCGTGATGTTCTTCGGAGCGAAACTGAAAGATGTAGACAAAGCACCATGGCAGCTAGAAGAAAGTCATGCACGGTGAGTGACGACATCATCCACCGATCATCATATAGACGGCCTCCAGGCTGCGATGCTTGGTGTATATCCGCCTGGCGAGCCAGAATATCGAGGGCCGCCTCAGCACAGGCACGCCTAGAGTGCTCAGCCCTGTGACTGTCCACTTCAGAGGTGATGAAGCGTCGATGCAGGACAATGATGCCTTTCAGTTTGAGCATCTCCAGCGTACATCTCTCAAATATCACGCTCGACGTATCCATAAACGACTGGCTAACGTCCTTTGCTTTCAAGACATCCGGCATAGCACTGTATGCTTCCCTCAATTCGTTATCCAGCACGATTGTGGTGTCATAAGTCGGTGGCTGTATAGAGAGTGAGTGCGCAACAATCTTCTTAAAAGCGGCCATGATGCCGGCCTTTGCAATTGGATATCGGATGGGCGTGTTTTCGTATAGTGGTCGACCTGGAGGTAGCAAAGTCATTCCTATCTCAAGATCAGAATACTGTAAATTTCTGGGCACTTTGGTGTCGCAAAGCTCGGTCGGAATCATGCTAGGGAGCCCCATCTGAAAGGACATGAGTGCATCTACTTGGATTATATTGTGCCAAACGCGACGTCGCATTTCTCCATCAAAGACGGAAATTCCTCGTAAGTTATCTGGGTCGTGATGATAGCCCATTCTAAAGGCGAGGCGAATCAAAGTACCCATTTCGAACCAATGATCAGAAGTGAGCTTCTTATGCGCCATAAAGGAACACTGCAAGTGGATGACGAGGATTTCTAGGGAGTAGGAGTTCGCCGTAGCAAACTTTCCCAGTATAAGACATTGGATAGCTCTTCGTCGTAAGGTAAGAAGAGTAGAGGTTGTAGTAATTGATTCGGATGGAGCTGAGATGAAGCGAAGCGTCGTTGTGAGGCTCAAAACAGAGAATAGGAGGGAAATCCAAAGCGGTGGTGCCTTTGTGGGAGATTCCCAGAACTTCTCATACTGGAGTGGCCGTCGCCGTCAGCCTTGAACAGCGGAGTCTTGAGATTAAAAGGCGTAACTTACTTCTTTTTGAAATTTTTCCGGATGCAGAATACCTAGTGAGTTACCCATATGAATATAACAAGTCCAAAGAACATATTGAGGGATCAGCCACTTTACCTGAAGCCATGAATCCCGAATTGAAATACTGAGAAATAAGCGCATCGCACGTTTGCCTTGGCAGCAGATCGGTCAAGACATCGTCGATGTCGACGGCCGGAAATGCGCCAAACAAAAACCCGGCTTCCTCTTCCAGTCCATAGCTCTTGTGCGGTGGCTCTTCCTGAAGCAAGGGGCGATCAAATGCCGAAAGATGCTCCCGAACCTCTTTAATTCCGTCCAGTATGGCCATCCAGTGGCTTGGGTCTACGTAGCTGACTTGACCGTCGCCAGATTCATGGCGATGAGGTAGCTCAGGAGGTAAAACGTGATCTTCTTGATTGCTTTGTGTTGACGTTGATGTTGACATGACAGACAACTCATACTTTTGATATGAGGCTGACACTCTGCTCGTATTGGAGCTGGCCGTTGACTGTCCGGGATGCTCGATGGGGGAGGTCGACGACACCATTGACGATAACATGCTTTCCAAGTTATCTAACCGCTCCTGAATGTTCACTTTGGGCGTGCGAGGCTTGTTTCGAATGGCGTTGGGCGCATAGCGGCAGGATGCTGCTTGGCCTCGCTTGGAGCACCCTTCGCAGGGCTGGCCCCGGCTGCACATTTGCCTAGTGATGGGTAACATAGGTAGGTAAGTATAACTCGAGGGCTATCGTTCTGGCGTGAAATTAGAACCTCGCACATAGACTTACTTTCGGACTCGACATGGCTCGCAAGAGACCGGGGCTCGATTGCGCTTCTCGATCTTCCTAGAGCTAAACTCCATTGCGCGACGGCACGGAGATGGAAAGATTGACAGACAGGTGGATAGATAGGTAAACAGACAAAGAGACGGACAGAGAAGCGGACAGAGAAGCGGACAATGATGCGGACAAAGAAGCGGACAAAGAAGCGGATTAAGAGACGGACAGCTGGACAGACAGGTGGACGGAGAGACAAAGGCAGACAATCAAGCAAGAAAGGGTTATAATTGCAGATCAAGGCGTTACTGATACAAGAAACCTGGGCGGCAAAGGTGCAACTGCAGAGTAGCTGTACAGTCGCTCATCGACAGTTGAAGAGGACCGACAGTGGAGCAGGCGGAGATATTATTGCCGCTTGGATCCGACAGCACCTGATCCACCCGCCAAAGACTCCGAAGCCAATCATTCCTCGATCAGAATACCGTGAATGGACTAGACTCTCCAGCTACATATTTGCAGCGGAGATATTATCCCCGCGCTCCATATTAGTGGTCCTTTCCGCCAGCTGCTGCTTTCGAGGCTTCGGCGGTCTGGTAAAAGCGAAGTCTGTAAAAGCGAAGTGTTTCGCCAAGTCAAGAGGCTTCCAACATGGAATTGAAACGCGTAATCATATTGACTGACAGTAGAAGACTTACTTTTAAAATATAAAGGCAGCCAATACCATCGAAATGTCGAAAACAAAAGTGCAAACTCGCTTCTCTGGTTTCTCAGCCTCAAGAGCCATCTACCTCAAATCACCATATCTCTTAACAAATATTTTTTCACCTGCGAACATTGACCATGGCTAGCCACGCCTATGCTTCCGTCATCTACGGGAGACTCTTCGTCACGCTCCCCGTCCCCAGCACGAGAACCGATCTTTCGAACCAAATCATCATCGTCAGTGGCTCAAACACGGGCCTCGGCCTCGAGTCTACTCGCCATCTGTCTCGTCTAGGTGTCGGCAAAATCATCATGGCCGTCAGAACTCTTGCCAAAGGCGAAGCAGCCAAGAAAGAGATTCTCAAGTCCACAGGCAAGCCCGATTCCACCATTGAGATCTGGCAAATCGACATGGACAGCCAGGACTCGGTCAAGGCATTCGCCGAGCGAGCTTCTCAGCTGCCTCGGTTAGACGGCGTGTTGGCCAACGCAGGTCTCATGACCACACAATTTACCCTCAGCGAAGGCAATGAAAAGACTCTCAATGTCAACGTCGTCAACACGTTTCTCCTCTTCTTCCTTCTCCTTCCGGCAATGCGCAGATCCGAGCAGCAGACTGGCTATGCGTGCCGGTTTGTGATTGTCAACAGCGCGTTGCACATGGCAGCTCCTCTGGCCGAGCTCGATGCGCCAGTGATATTCGATCGACTCAATGACCCAAAGCAAGCACTCATGGACGGGAGATATCCTCTGTCAAAGCTTCTTGTCCTCTATGCGACCCGCGAGATCGCCGAGAGAGCCAAGTTGTCCAACAAGGGCAAATTCATCATCAACGCGCCGAACCCAAGCTGGTGCAAGTCTGATCTAGGCAAGGAGTTGGAGTCGTTCGGTTACAACATGGCTGAAAAGATTATGGCTCGTTCTACAGAAGAGGGAAGCCGTGCTTTGGTGAACGGCCTGCTCTTTGATGAAACGAGCAATGGTCAATACCTGACAAATTGCAAAGTACAAGCGTAAGTGTTGATCACCTCGAAATGCATATACGGCTTATAAAGTACTAACGAATCATGTGTCTATTTAGTCCGGCAAAGCATGTTACGAACCAGTGGGGTCAGCAAGTACAGAGGAAATTCTTTGAAGAGCTCGTGGGCAAGCTCGAGGCCATTGCTCCAGGCGTAACGTCCAGTCTTTGAGCATGTATTTTGAGCAAGTAAACACTCCTCTTGCCAGCGAAAGTTTTACGCATATTACAATTCAGGAAGGGCGACGGTTGAGTTCGGCACATCTGTTCACGCTTCAAAACATTGAAGCTGGATGATTGGATGGCTCTCTCTACTTATTTATCAATTATTAATTCTAGATTATTCCACACTACCTCTGTTGCCTTTATAAATTTGTTTTCCGTATCAATAAATTTGAAATTCATATAACTTTGAATAGCCCATTCGTATGACTACAAGTACCTATAGTTAGATGAGGTGCACGCCTTGTATCTGATGACTGACAGCAAGTGCCATGGTATTGCGCTTCAATCGCTGACGCATTAGCTACCACAACCACTATAGCTTCAGCGAGTAATAGTGCTCTCTGCCACTAGACCTCTGGATATTGTGAAATTCCATCATATGCAGGTACATGTAGCAAAGCTCTATGCTCATCCAGGCAAAGGAACCATGGCAAAGCAAGTGAAACACCCCCGGAAATAATATAACTATGCGCCGAACGCCTCAACTACTCTCAAGATGGCGTTGTAGCCGCATATGCCATTGAGATTGCATCAAAAACATAGGCGCTGCAACCTGAACGAAGGTGGATCGAGTCTTCATGTTCTCTTCTCTCATTGACCTCGGCACCCAAACAATTGAAGCGGCGGGCAAGAATAATTGTCGATTACTGCAATCGACGAAAGGGAACGGGAAGCAATAACAGCAGCTCCCATTCACTAGACAAGGTCATTCGATTAGTCGACGAGGTAGGAGACAATGATTTGCCCCGTGGTCATTCATCTACCTAGGTGGCGGTAGCTTTGTTAATTCATAAGGTACCTAGTGGATTATATAGGTACTTTTGTAAGTAAATGGCACGTTTTTATGCTAAGGAGCCTTGTCAATCTTTTGTCTGCTGCAAGGATTTACCGTCATTCTTGACCCTTCAGCGGGTGATAATTTCACTGCAACGTTTCGTAGAGCTTTTGAGAGTCTCAAGATTTCTTCTTTGGGCATTATGTTTCATCAGAGAGCTTGACTGAAAGCTACCGCACTTCCTACAAGGAAATTCTACTAAAATGTGTCAATTGTACACTTTGTTGGGGCTGATTGATGCGAAATATATCGATTTTTGTAGGGTAGGGGACTTTCGTCTACTCGGCGGCGCTAGACGACTCCTAGCCCGACACATATTGAATAAGAAACACTATTCAGACAAGTACTAGCATGATACTACCGTTCGGATTGCTGGGTAACACACTCGACGGTCATAGAGCTCTTGCTGCCTTCGAGCGACGTCATCTGGCTAGCGATTGTGGTGGCTTGTCGACATCGAGTTCCCATTAATGAAGCAGATCTTGAAGACACTTCCCTTGGGTTTCACCTTCGCAACGCTGCCTTTCGCAGCATTGCTTCATTGGTCTCCGATGATCTGCACCACTCTGCCTAGGCGCCTTTTTATACGCTTGCAAGCTCTTTGCGAAGCCATATTCTTAAGAGAACATTATCCTCCCATTCGTCCTGTAGGTCGCACAGTTGCTTTTTGCCTCTTTTGGTCGAACGTTGGCGCGTGAAGGATGAGTCGTGCCGGTGGCTGAGGGGAAGCCGTCCGAGCTGCACAGGGTGACAGAAGCTGGGCACGACAAGTTGGTATATATGTCGTCTACAGCAAATGTGATGGAAGATGTGAGCGTCCCGAAGGCAGCTGCCAGCATCTGGCTGCCGATGTCCCTTGTAGGCTTCGGCTGTCCGGCGTGCGGTTAATAGCCAACTCAGAACTGGTACCGAGAAAGGGAATCCGACTGTCCAGTTAAAACATTGCATTGCGATGGCCACAAAGTGGCGTTGACGCAATGTGATTTCTGCCCAGTGCTCTGAATACAAATCAGAGTGAAGGAAGTCAACCAAGCGCGGGTAAAAGGCGGGAGTCTCGAGCCGATGATTGTCATTCGGTTTTTGTGCTTTGAGTATACTGGCAGCTGGTGGAAGAATGCTGAGGCGTCTAATACTTTAATGTATTTCTTTCCACGGAGAGATGAGATAATGTCCTCCTGGGATGGAATGGGGTAGACGTCTGGGACCGTGAATTCGTTTAGAGCTCGTAGGTTAATGACCATACGGCTTTTTCTCTCCAACAAGTTTTCAATTTCTTTAAATTTGGCCTTGATATCTTTTGAGCCTCCCCAGTGCGACCCGTTTTGGGCGACCAGAACTCGCGTGTCTGTACACTTTGCCGGGGGCTTCAAAGCATTTCGGGTGTTCCTGCCATTGTCTTCCGGCCATGTCAAACCCTGCCTTCAGGAACAGGTCGATCCATTCATCGCGTTGCTCCGCAGTGAAGCCCAGCACCCTGGTTCTGACATACGGACTCCTTCGTGATGACTTGGTATTGGTTGGTGAATTCACTAGCAGGTGGACACCACTCGGGTGGCCTCATTGGTATTGCCATTGTAATAGTCCCAGTCAACCTGCTTTTGTTTGTCCTTTTCAAGGGGTCTTTCCAAGCAATATCTGTGTTTCAGCAACGTTGCCCTTCCATCTCATGCCATCACATCCATAACGCAGTATCCGTAGCGAAAGGCATTTTGCGTGCTCGTGGTGCCAGCATCGCCGTGTCTTCATTCCTTCTTGCGATCCAGGTGTCTCTGTGTCCACGAATTTCACCCCTTTCAGTATTCCTGCAGGGCCAGAACCCTCGTTGTTCTCGACTTGTGTGGGTTGTTCCATCGGTCGACATCGTTTCAGACCAACCGTCTCATTTTCCAATGACCGCAATTCATCGTTCATTGAGGTGGTCAGTTATCTGTTAGATTCTGCGAGGTCTTACACCCCAAGCTGCAACGGAGCGAGCACTCGTTCGGTGTTGCCTCTGGCGTGTGCGTCTTGATGAAAGATGCGACAATTAATTGTTGTTGCGACCTCGGATGTGGTTTTTGCCACGGCTTCAGGCTCCTCAGATTTATTCTATGAATCTCATGGTAGCCAAATGCCTCGCCGTCTAATTAATGACGCGCATAATTGGATCAACGAGATGATATCGTGCTGAGCTTGGCACTTGGATTTCATCCATCTTCCAAGAAGGAACCATCAAAGGCTTCTACGCCTGCTGGTTTCAGTATCAGTGGCCGTTTCATTGCTCCAGCGCTGCGTTATTGAGTCATTGGCGAGGAACTCTATCTTCGGCGTGGAAACATTGTCTTGAACCTGATAAGTGATCTTGCTGATCTGGCGTTATTGGACGCATTAATCTGCACACGGGTCACTTGTTGCCAATGTGTTTTTAATCTCATTATGAGTCGCCTTTTTGTCGGCATTGTCCTGCTTGCGCTCGGCGAGCGATCATTCAGTGGCGTCAACTCGCGTGCCCAAGCATTTCACGAGGTTGTGGTGGTTTGGTTGAACGTTTAGAAGGACGGCTTGATCGCCAGCGTTATTGTTTATTGTCGTTGAGCCGCTTGCGGCTTGAGGAGGGGTAAGTCTTGCAAGATTTGATTGATGAATTGGTCTTGGGCAAGTGCTGCCTGACATTGGCCTTGAGCTGTGGCCTTGCGTTTGGTTTGCGCGAATGCATATTGGGTTAAGAACTGCCGGGCTTAAGGCAGCGCCTGGTGTTTCTATTGACGGAGTTGGCTGACTCGGCGTAAGGCTGACGGTATGCGTTGGAGAAGAATGAAGAGTAAGATCGCCGAGGCCTACAACGTGGGCATTAAGAGCTGATGCGTTGCCGCAGATTGCCTGCATAAGTATGGGCTTGGGATAGGTTGTTCTGTCCTGTGATCTTTGAAAACTTTAAAACGCGTCAGTGAACTTTTCGTTTCGTTCGGACGGCGTTCCATAAAAAGGTTCAGAGCAGTAGTCCGTTAGCGAAGCCGTTATCCATGGGGTATTTTTCGCGCCGAAACCCCTCAATCACTTTCCCGTGCTCTCACAAGACAAGGTCGCCGGGAAAGTCCTTCGTAAGTACTCTGGCGCTGACATCGCTCCAGGTTTATCTTCATAACATAAGAGACTAAGCCTAACTTGACATAGAACAACGTCTTGGAGAACGCAGAAAGCCCTGAGCTGCAAAAAAAGCAAGCTGCAACCGAAAGGGGAAGCCCATTGGTTCTGAGCAGTTATAAAGATCGTCGATTTAGTCATGGGTACGACATGTTCGCAAATATGTCGTCTGCGGCAGATGGAATGAAAGATGTGAGCGTCTCGAAGTCGGAAAATTTTGGATTGATCTCTTGTTGAGCCTCGAGTAGTTTGTTCTTGGTTGACGTGTGCGATTCGACGGCCTCTTCAGCAACGGCCCTGCAAACAGAAAAGCATTAGTAGTGCTCGGAGACAGTGCCACTCGACGAATTGATCGCGGCTTGATAGCTGACATATTTTTGAGAAGTGTTAGAATATTCCCCTCGACAACTCTCATCCCACGCAGCATCTGTAGCAAAGGGCTTTGGTGTAACGCAGCGGCTATCTTTGCTCCGGTTTGTTCACACATACAAGAAACAGGAATACGACTGTGTCAGAGAGGATCCAAGTGCCGAGCGAAGGCTTCGAGTCCTTATACCTCTGGCGTCGTCCCATATCGGCGAAATCGAATATCAGCATACCTAAAATAGCCCGCTGAGCTTCAAGCACCAGCGCCAAATGTACCTTATTTACAAACGACAAAGTCTTTCAAGCCATAGTACTTCACCTGAGATGCCAGGAGCTTGGGCTGCGTGCGTAAGGTAGTCTTTTCGGGGAGGAGATTCCAATCCCACGCCCCCATAATGTCCTTGTACTCATTGGCCTTTACTTACGAGTACAACGTTCCGTCAGAACAAATCCCTTTCCAAAGAGTCTCTGTATCCCACAAGAATGGGCCATCTTGATGAATGCTGCCCATCTGAGCTACCCTCGCGCTCAGAGGAAAGTTATCCAGCACCATAATTCTGTTGTCCAAAAGACGGCACGACGGGTCATCTTGATGGGTGCTGCCCATCTTAACCTTTTGGATATTCTGCTCTCGGCGAATCTGAACTCGAATAACTCGATCGTTGCCGTATCCTTTCCGAAATGAGGGCTTAATGCTTAATGAGAGCGACGACTCCGAACCTGCCATTACCATTCATAGCCGTTCCATTGAGAATATGAGCCTAGATGAAAATGAAGGCGAACGAGGAATCTCTGGTGATGACACATATTTTCACGCCGTATATAGTTCATCTGCATTTGCCTAGGAGGGGCAGATTCTTGTCATTTTTGGGAGGATGGAGTTCTTCACCGGACCGACTGGGAGTGACATCTAGTTCGCTGACCTTGGTTGGTGCCCTTAGGACCCGGGCACGGGTGTTGGGCTTTGAACCAAGTTTTGGGACCATGGTGAGAGTGTTTCGCGTGTATCAGTCGTGACTGAACGATGGCACTCGACTTCCGTGCTTGGCAAATTCTTAAATGGTGCCTGCGCGGCCAAGATGTTTGGGGCTATATCCAAGCCCACACTTGGGCTCAGGAAAAAGGGAAAAGCTATCCAGCACCCCAGTTCTATGATCCAAGAAGTGGCACTTGGGTCAACCCTGACATCGACCAGAGGCGCTCGCCTGCGCTCCAACAGTATCGTTGTCGACCCTTTCCGAAAAGCAGCTCCCAGGGTGCACCCGTACGGAGGTTGCCTGCTGACGTGGAGATTTCTGAGGCCCGGTGCGTGCATCACCAGCCACGCCAATAGGGGGCTTGAGAATCTCGCGAATGGTTGGTGTCTTTGATGAGTTTTGAGATAGTATGTGCTTTGCGTTGGCGACGGCTGAACTTATGACCGATGCTCAGACAGACATGTTTGGCCGTGTAGCACCCGTGCTTCCAAGCACCTAGTCATGGTGGCTTAGTAGCACGATTCATGCACTTCTCGTATCTCTGTGCCCTACCAACGTGTGTACCGCGGCTTGATGATGTCTTGTATGTATTGCCGGCTCCAAAAGTCTTCACAAAGGTAATCGCCGAGAACATCAGGAACGTACAAACAAAACACATCGACGACAGGGCCATAGAATTTAGCAACCTTCACCAGGTCGACTACCTTGGGTTTGTGATGACCAACTACAAACTTGGCTATAAGTATATCGCAACAGCCGTAGAGTTTATTCCTGACTCAAATGTCCAATATCGAAACCAACGAAAGAGAAGCAGGCAAGAAAGGACACAGGAAAGGCGCAGTGTCAAGCCTTTTTTTTTAAAAGAAAAATCTCCAAGCAAAGGTAAGGCAGGAGGTGAGCCTCATGTATCCAGTTGGGATAGATAGTGTGGAGAATTTCTGGACGCAGTCAATCCAGAACCGAAGTGGTCCGTCTCTTTGACAATGTTCAGATTTTGATGTGCTTTTGCGCTGGCAAAAGTTGGATTCATCACCAATGCCATGGAACATCTAGTTGAGATAACTCGCCTACGGTGTATCGTACTGCTGCATCACGAGCACTGTTCCCTTGTTAAATGCTCGGTCACTTCCAGCCTCGATGACGTGGTCTTCCCTGTTTTACATCGGATTCTTGTCCCAGACTTTTGTCTTCCTGTCTTTACAGAGCCTCTGCGTATGCCTCTTCTCCTCATTCGTCAGTTACTTCTGTGGTCGCCTAAGTGATTGGCTTGCATGGCACATCTAGTTGCGCAATGGGCAGCGTATTCTTGGGCTGTTTGACTGAATGTGAAAATTTCCAACACTGTGAGGAGGGTTGTCATACGGAGCATTTTCACCAACGTTGCCGCAAAGATGCTAGGCAGGCAGTGAGGATTGGAGCTCGTCTCGGACACAGCCAATCTAGAAGTCAAACGGCGCGCCAGCCTGAATCTAGTTCTGCAAATGCCTGAATCTTAAACTCATCCTAGAATGCATAAGAAGTTGACGCGAGCACTCTCCGACGGCCAAGCCCTGCAAACGGCTTGATTTAGGGAAGAAGGAATTTTTAGCTTTGAAGAAACAGCAGATGCGGCCACTGCCTTCCCATTGACTGCTGCGGCAGGAGGCAAGCAGAATGGCTGGAAGTGGTTCAGTTCTTTATTTTGTCTTCGTGTGATCACGAAGATCATGGTGCCGCGCTCATTGATTGGCAACCGGGACAAGGCACTTGCGTTAATGCAGCAGGCGAAGCGGAACTTGGGTTTAGTGTATCTGTGGCGGTAATTGAAAGCAGAGTCTCTAGCGCGGGCAAGTCTGTAACTTATCTGGAGAGAGCTCGCGAGGTGAATAAAAGTGAGTTGTTGGAGATGGTGGCTAAAAGGGTAAGTCGAGGCTATCACTAGTAGCAAGTATGCAATGTCGGTCCTCTTCCCCGCAAATTCCCCCGCGAGATCCGGGCATTGCTGTCATCGTCCTCTTCTTCTAATTCTTTCAGGAACCAGCGTCATTTCCTGGGGATATAGGTATAAGCCAAAGGCTCTTGAAAATGGTGACGAAAACAGTCAAACTTGTGAAAATAGTGACGTAAACAAACCGCCAAATGAGAAAGAGAATCTTTTTATTAAAAGTACGAGAACAGAAAGGATATTGACAGCTGATGGCCAGAGAGATTCTTCATTTCCCCATCTCATCTTGTCAAGCTGCTGAACAGAGGTCAAAAAGCGAGGGTAATGTTTACTGAACAACATTAAACTTCTGTAACATATCTGTGGGTGCTTTAGCGAAGTTGGTGTAATTACACGGTGGCCTCTGACAAGACTAAAAGTGCTGTGCATTTAATATCAGTTTTCTCACACTAACGCTTGTCTTGGGTTGACTCCTAAATGTTCGAGCAACCCTCTACTGTAGATATAAGTGAAGTGCGATAAGAGAAAGAAGATATTCGCCACCAGAGATATCTGCAGAGCTGCGATGAGTTTCATAGAACACAGAAGCTGCTGGAGAAGTTGAACGTAACGAGCAACACTGAGAGAAAAGGTTAGCCTCCAATCCAACGCCGCACAAATAGAACGGTCACAATGGCCACGTTTCAGTCTCGCTCAATTTGTTCAAGAAGAGGGGAGAGGAGAGGAGAAGAGAGAAGAAAGCTGGAGGAGAAAAAAATAGAAAGTGATCTGCCACTTAAGCAAGAGTTGAGAGGGGGCGAGCGCAGAAGAGAGGGAAGGAATACCTAGCAAGAACAGCCAAATTCATCGATTCAAGGACGTGTACAACCCGATTCTGTTATATAAGATAGAGACTTATTTTCTTTAACAAACAGTGAGAAAGCATAGAGAAACGTGATATCTGATGGGCAGAGGATTCTGGCAAGAGGCGATGGAGGAGAGAGAAGCTAACTACCACAGCTCATTCCATCACCGCAGAACAGTGGCAGGACTTAGAGTACTCCTAAAGACAGATCTGCGAGGCCTCTTAGGACATCTTTGCTCATATATAGGAGTAGTCTAATTGGGCGCCAAGCATAGGGAGGCCGAAGTATGCACTCCGTACATCGAAGACCACGTGGAAGGGGAATGATGAGGAGTTGCTCTCACAATTGACAGCGGCTCCACAGCCGACTTTATCAATGCTTGATTGGTGGCAGAAGAACAGAGTCCTCAAATATTGCTTCCAGAACCGGGCGTGGTCTAACTAGCAAATGGTGAGCTCACGCGTGTGGATAGAGGCGTGTATGCTCGAGTGGTAGTAGGAGAAAGCCTAGCTAGCTACAGTTAAGGCGTACCTGTTGAGAGGACAACAAGATTGGAAAATACTCCTCGGACACACGCCCCCTAGTCGCCCGCAGAGCCTTCACTTCCAGAGCACCAAGATTTAGAGCCTCAGAATCAACGCTCAAGGCAATAAAGGTGTCTGGACCGAGAATTGAGATTGAGACTTATCGGATGTCAAATATATGTCGGGCTCTGGTAATGTCGGCGGCTTACAAAAAGATGGCGGAACAGACTTGACCTGATGGAGCGATGTATACCTGGAAGCTTTCTACCAACTGCTGCAGGTCTTCTTGGGTGCCAACGTAGTAAGATATGGCTTTCATGCCTACCAAATCGGTACTGATGACTCCAGATCATGGCCGTGACGGTGTTGAGAAGACTAGCGGGTTGAGTGCGTTGTTTCAGTCTTTGCAGTAAGTGACTGACTTGGTACGGGGCTCTGGCGCTGATGGATAGGTTCGGCTGGCAGCAGGAGGGCGCTGCGGTAGGAATAGTGATAATTGCGGTGGCATCGAGCGGCATTACATCTGAGGTGCCAAGCAGGTGAAGTTGATGCTTGGTGACATTATGCTTCATGCAACTGTCTCAGCCCCTTGTGAGGCGCAAACATTCCCGTATAGAATTTGGCGAATGAGCCTTGGAATGTGAGCAAAGGGCATTCTTTCGCTGTTGTGCTGTTGCACCTAGATGGTGTCTCTGAGATATACAGGAGAATGCGACCAAGTCGTGTTACTGGCGAGTATCTTTTTGGCTAAACCAACGTAAACTTTGCTTTTCTATTTCCAGCCAAGGTGCTAGCGGAATATCGTGTCGAAAACGTAGTTCTCAATGCGTGCCTCTCTGCATACAGCCGAACGAGGTCAGCGACGAGTCTAACCCATATCTTCCTTCAGCACAACATTATCAGCGTCTTCTGTACAACCAGGTTGCTCCACATCTTGTGAAGCGCCTTATAGGGAAAGAATAAAACGTCCACAAGAAAGGACAATGGCTCCAGTACGTATAGTTAGTTAGCAAGTTCGAAATGCTCTCTTTTCTTTTCGTCCTCCATGATTATCGGACTGATATCGTCCTCCCTTTTGCATTCTTTCTGGAATTCCGCCAGTTCTTGATTCATATCAGGCTGTATTAGAACCATTCTTTCCAGAGTGGTAGCGGCTCCACGATCGGAAGGGGGGTCTGGCTCCTCTGTCGTGGCATGGTGACATTCATGTGTTTGACGAATATAATAGAATTGTTCCTGGTCGCGCGCTCTGTTTAATAGCTTTTTCTTAACACGCTGATAACAGCGAATGAAGTGATGATGAAGAGAGTATATTCAAACTGATTTAAAATTAGTGTTGTGTGTATTCTTAGTTGTTGTCGTGACTTACGTTTCCCCTGGAGGCCCGACCAAGCTTTGAATGTGCTCATGGTAGGTTGAAAATTGCCGGATTCTAATGTATGGTGCACTTTCTCGCTGGTTGTATTGGCCGTAGGAATTTGGAACCAACCTGGCACATTCCCTCATCCCAACACACATTCTCCTATGCCGGCAACCTGCCGCGGTCCCCACTCCCCAGATGCATTCATCCGAATGGTAGTGCGTCATGCTCTATGATGAAGGCTATAACGCCATAGAGCTTCGTAGATAGATTGCACCTTGTCCCTTTCTACATCAACTGGCTAACTGGATACCATGATGGACTACTCGCTCGCCCAGCAGCTAGCCATCAAGCAC